GTAATTCCACTATGCTCAAGTTCATGTGGTGTGGGACATTCCGTCGAATTACAAGATGAAATAGTGGGATTCAACTTTGTTCTCATAAACCCTTTGATCCGTAGATATTTTTTTTTCATACTTGAGGCTGGCGGTAGATTATGGGCCCTGGTAATGTTACAAGGTACACAATGGATTGCACGTGATGACCCCAGGTGTCGCGCACATGTCGTATAACACAAAGCGGATCGAGTGGTGGTTTATATTTTGTTCTGTTGTGCAGTGGCGTAGCGAGGTCGGGCGTCACCCGGTGCGGCATTTGATGGTGTCACCCCCCCCCCTTCAAACTTTCGATTTGCACTCCCCCTCAAACATTCGATTTGCACCTCGTAAAAGACTATTTAACACTCGAATTAATCACTTAATTAAGTGGAATTATCATTTTTCTCTATATATTTTGCTATTTTTTGACTTGGTGCCACCCCCCCCCACTAAATGGTGTCACCCGGTGCGGTCTGCACCGCCTCTGCTGTTGTGTTATATGGGGTGGGGTGGGTGAGGGTTGTATGGAGTAATGTTGTAGAACACAGTATTTTTGTTTTCTTTATGTTTAGTTTTTAAAAAAAAAATTGTTTTTAAAACAGTTGATAAACCTGACATGCACTTTAGTTTACACACGATAAGGTTTCATTACGTTTTACAACCATTTGCAATCACTGTTTAACATGGATTGGTGGTGATCTATGCACATGCTTTATAACACTATATGGGATATAAAAATATTCCTCTTTAGATCTAACGATCCATTGAGCAGATGAAATGGAGTTCATATGTTTCTTGACCTCGGCATAAAAAGGGATAATGTGGTCAGCACTAAGAACAGCCGCCGTTACTTTCCCTAACGTGAGTTAGGTACCCATCAGAGTTGGGTGGACTCAGGGACGTTTCACTAACTTGAACCCGGATTCGAACTCGAAAGTATCGGGATTTGCAGTCTAGCACTGGGATATAGAATACTTAAATGACATCTTTTAGTTAGGCCTATGTGTAAGCTACAATATCCAGCTACAAAATTACAGTTTTAAACATAATTTCCTTACAGTTGTTATGATTTAGCATTCCTCTTTCTAAATAAAATTTTTCAGTTTAGTATTTAAGTTTCATGTAGTGCACGACTCCCTCCATGCCCCCCCCCCCCCCCCCCACACACACTCACCAGCCAAAAGTTTGATTTTCTTGAAAAGGGTCATCCATAAACAACGTCACGTTTTCTAAGACGGTTTTTGCCTTCCCTATCGAAACAAAAAAAAAAAAAAACCCAGCAGAAGTAAAACCTAAGGCCTAAGACCAACACACACTCAAAATGACTTTTTTTTTTTGCTGCACCCGCTTGCCATGTAACATCGTCACAAAAGTCCGAACAGAGGCGTAGAGAGGGCGGGGGCGTGGGGTACATATGTCCCCGGGCGCCGACCCAAAGGGGCGCCAAAATGGGTTGAAAAAAAAATAAAAGCTCATTTTAGCTGCAGTTTTGCATTATAAATATAAAAAATATATGGGGGGGGGGGGGGGGTGCCAAATTGAAAGGTTGTCCCCGGGCGCGGAATGGTCGCTACGCCTCTGAGTCCGAACCCCCTTTTCCCCTAGGAGTGTGACGTCGTTTATAGACGACAACAGCCGGTTTCGGATAAAATTATTAGCGAGCCCATTAATTTACGACCGGGCTGGTTGTATTTTCAGATGATGTATAAACGTTTTATTTGGTATATCATTTCTAAAGTTGTTTTTTTTTCATTTTATAATGTAGCCTATACAGTAGTTAGAAGTATAAATTGGTTTTATGGTAAAGTAATGAAAAATAAAGGTTTGTGTTGATGTCTACTAAAGTAAAGTAAAGATTTCTCTTACGACCTAGCGATCCATTAGGTAGAGGAAGTAGAGAGTATATATTTCTTGGCCTCGGGATAGTGTGGTCAACTCTATTCCCAGCCGCCTTTACTTTCCCCAACGTATGTCAGGTACCCATCAGAGCTGGGTGTACTCAGGGATGTCCGAACCGAGATCCGAACTCGAGACCTTTAGGTTAGCAGCCCAACACTCTACCATTCGTCCAAGATCCTTCGGGTTAGTTTACACAAACAGGCTACCATTTGATCAAGTTTGACATTTTTAGGGACCCACAAAAACAATTTTTTACAAAACACGCAAGTTGTATTTAATGTTTATTCGCGAATCCGCCATGTCGCAAGCTTCAAAACCGATACTCTTGTTGTCATAGTTACTTTATTCAGTCTAAAATAGCAAACCAATCAGCAATGTTTTCTAAACCACACGATCTGTTCCCTACGTCTCATACTACCATTAGACTCTTTTGTAGGTGAAGTAATGGCTTTTACCTTGTTTACACGTTTAGCGATTTGCAACAAAATACACGCAGGCTACGTAGTAAACGAAAAAAAAGGATACATCGGATGTAGTGATTTTAAAGAAAAAAATACCTCTATGACAAAATTGGCTCGATTCAATGATAGACAGAGTACATTATGTTAGGGGAGGTTGTGTGTGTATGTGTGTGTATATGTATATGTATATGTATATGCATATGCATATGTATATGTATATGTATATGTATATGTATATGTATATGTATATGTATATGTATATGTATATGCATATGCATATGCATATGCATATGCATATGCATATGCATATGTATATGTATATGTATATGTATATGTATATGTATATGTATATGTATATGTATATGTATATGTATATGTATATGTATATGTATATGTATATGTATATGTATATGTATATGTATATGTATATGTATATGTATATGTATATGTATATGTATATGTATATGTATATGTATATGTATATGTATATGTATATGTATATGTATATGTATATGTATATGTATATGTATATGTATATGTATATGTATATATATATATATATGTATATATATATATGTATATATATATATGTAGATATATATATGTATATATATATATATATATATATATATATATATATATATATATATATATATATATATATAGTATGCCAAGTGTTTTTAATAGTTGATAGTAAAGTAAGCCTATTCTACCTCATATTTACCGTGATTAACCTACCAATTCACCTCGTAAGACTAATTAAATGTGTTCTTCGTTGAACGAACCACTCCCGGGAACGTAGGCTTTTTTCTACTTTAAACCAATGGCCGATGTACTTTTTTCCATTCCTAAAATAAACACACAGATCAAATCTTACTTAAATAGTAACGTTATCAGCGGTAGTATATTTGTATCTGTTGTAATATGATTATACACATTGTTTTAAGTGCCATCCTACCAAATAAATACATTATTATTCTAGTAACTTGGGATAAAAGACCTCATAGCAATACAACTGTAAAGAAAAAAAAATTGACATGCATGATGTATTTTATTCAGGTGATGCTATGCATAGCTTTATTGATCTATGTACTAAAATTAGAGTACAATTGTCATTCTTCTGCGTAGTTGTGTCCCTTTGTTTCTTTGATTCCCTCCCCTTATTTGAGTATCGTCCCCCAGTTCCCTACGATCAATAATCGCATTGATTCTATTGTGTTGGGGATCCAATGTCTAATGAATAAGCCTTGTTATTACCCTACACATTTTATTGTCTGTTGCAGGTGAGGCAAAAACATTTGATCCTAATTTCAAGGGGCCGACTAAAAACAGGTAGATCTTGATCTGATACGGGTGGCGATATATTATAAAATTATTAATATAGAGTTGTATTTGATTCAAAACTGGTGTTACTGTAGCGCTTTTATTACGGCACTTATGAAATTATATACTAATCAGTGTTTCTTCCAGACCTTTTTTCTACGGGGGGGGGGGGGGAAGCGGACTAAAATTTTCTATAAAATTTTTCTATATATTTCGTTCGGGGGAGGGGGGGAGGGGGGTGGGGTAGAGTTTCATGAGATGTCTGGAAGAAACTCTGATACCAACTTATAGAGATATAATACACCTATAACATTATTATAGTGTCCTGTTGTCTACGCCTCGCTCATATCATTATAAAATTACCCTTATATTATAGACCTATGTTACGCCTTAAACATACGTTTGTAGTGTGAGGTTGGGGATGAAGGGGAGGGAACCAAGATAAAAAAGCTAGACATTTCTTTGTGTGCCTGGGATCTTATTAATGTTTAGCACACATTTTCTCTCGCAAATCTGGATTTGAACTTACAAGCTTACATTTATTAGGGTTAGATTAAGGACAAAAAAGTAACTTGTAGTAAGTGTTAGTAATCAAATATGTGATATAAACACATTTTTATTTTCAAGTGTGAATTTGAATTAGTTTAGGCTGAGGTTAGATTAACTTTCAGTAGTTGCTAGTTTAAACTGCATTGTGTCCAATATTATTAACAGAAATGTACATGAGAGTAACGTTCATGTGACTTTTTAACTATAATTTCAATACTGAACAGTAGTGAGCAGAGGCTAGGTGTCAGTGTGGTCGAGTTGGAAAAGTCTTAAGTTCGAACCCCAAGACAGATTAGCCTTAATAATAATAGTTGAGAACAGTAACTCTTCTAGGAGAGACAACTCCAAAATCAAACTATTGCTGCCTTGGTTGGACAAAGACTATGACTACTGAAGCAAATCCAAAAAAGAAAATCAGGCTGAAATCGGAGTCAACGGCTTATATGGCACATAGTCAGTTGACATGTAATACTTAATTGTCTTGGAGGAAATCGCTTCCACATCTAGAATTAAGAAAGAAGAAGAAGAGAGACTTGTTCTATGTCATGTTGTGGTAACCAATGAACTAAAATTATACAAACTGTTCTACCCTAGGTCCTGCACAGATGTGATCTGTTGTTTTATTTTTCTGGTCTTTATAGCAGCAATGGTGGCCTGCTCTATAGCTGGTGAGTGGGTATAGAAATATTATCAGTGGTCACACAGGTGTGTTGTTAGGGCTCATAGAGAGATGTTGACAATAAGTGCTTTTTTTTTCTTTTTTTTTAAAACTCAACTGAAAACATTAAATTACAAAATAAAAATTCAATATTACTTAAAAAAAAATTTAAAAGCAAAAAATGAAATAAAATTTCAAAATTAATCTAAAAACATTTTAAGCCAATTAAAAATCCAATACTAATTAAAAACCTTTTGAAAACAAAAGAAAAATTATAATTTAAAAATTAAAAAAAATCAATTTAAAAACATTTTTTAAATTTGTTAAAATTCAGTATTATTTAAAAACAGTTTTAACCAGTTTAAAATTCAACAGAATTCTAAAACTACTTTTAAACCACTTACACATTGAAGACGATTTTAAAACTTTATTAAGGCTATGCCAGAGGGGACCCGGTGAAGTTGATTTATCCTACAGACAGCTATGGCAACATTTGTGGGGAAGGAAATTACAAGTAGGTCAAATCTTAACCTTTTCATGATCATAACATACTAAATTGCATTTTTCTGAATGTTTCAGCTTGAGCTGTTTTGATTTTTGTTTTGTTTACAAAAGTGTAGGCCTACAAAGATAAACTTATTTAACTGATCAATATTTTACTGTCTTAAGTTTATCTATTTGAATGGCTGACCTAGTTTAGTAGGTCAAATCTTAACCCTTTCATGATCATAACATACTAAATTGCATTTTTCTGAATGTTTCAGTTTGAGCTGTTTTGATTTTTGTTTTGTTTACAAAAGTGTAGGCCTACAAAGATAAACTTATTTAACTGATCAATATTTTACTTTCTTAAGTTTATCTATTTGAATGGCTGACCTAGTTTAGGCTACAATGAAGTTCAGTTTATGGATAACTAGCATGGTATAATTATAAATAGATTTATAAATACAAATGTTTGAATATTTTTTATGATTGAGGGTGTTTTTTTTCCTTATACTAATCTCAACTTTTGTTGTATTAACAGAGATAAAAAATACTTGGTGTTTTTTGATATCCTGAAGTGTGCCCAAACTGGCCTGGCGGTCGTTACTATGGGGTGTCCAACACCACAGGTACTTAAACATCAGTTGTTTTTTTTTACAACTACAAACAAGGGAAATTGATTTTTTCTTGAATAAGCATAGAGATATAGAGATGAAAAGAAATTTCTTCCTAAAAAGGCAAATTAATGATTTGTAATGAGCAAGCTATAAAAGATGTTTCTGCCTTGCAGAACTAGTTTTAGAAATTTGGCAGACAAAATTCTGGACAATGAGCTATGCTGTTAATTGTGCACAACATTCACCTTGGTCTCGTTATAATATATATATATATATATATATATATATATATATATATATATATATATAATCTACAGTGTGTAAATGCGATAAACATTCATATCAAATGTTCTAAACATATTTTTAAACGTTTTTATTTACCTCCTTTACTATGAAACATTAAATGCAGTGTTTAACCATCCTTCAAATTAAAAAAAAATGTTTTTTTTTTGGTGTAAAATACAATATACCAAAAAAAAAATTAAATTGTTTGCACATTTTAAAAACAAGTGATGAAATCTCTTCTAGATCTGTGTGAAGTCATGTCCAACAGAGTACTGGTCCTTTGTTCAAGCTGTCATCCTTGAAACAGCAGCAAGTACAATGTTGTCGTCTGAAAGAGAAAAAATGATCTGCAAATACAATGTTGATCCACTGTCTGCATCGGTCAGTTCGATTTTATTTTTTATGTTTTAAACTTGTGAAAAAGTAATTCCTATATATATAATTTATATTGGTTTGAGTTTTTTTGCCAAATAAAATTTCATTTTGTTTTAGTTAGATAGTGATCTTAATTAAAAATTTGAAAAATATTTTCTCTATAAGCTATGAAATATAAAACCTTTGATATTTATGTAGATCTATATTTTATATTTTCAAACTCATTAAAATTCATGGCTTAGACTATCCCTGATAGTGTAATATTCTGAAACAACTTTAAAATATATAATATGTCTATTATTTCTTAAAACCATTACTATACTTTTCTTTAAATAAAATGTACAATTTAATCTGCTAGAAAACTGTCAAACAGTTGGTTGAACATACAGACTGTGCATCTTATACTATCCCTGATAGTGTAATTTTCTGAAACATCTTTAAAATATATAATATATCTATAATTTCTAAAAAAAATTACCCTACTTTTGATCTAACCTCCTAGAAAACTGTCGAACAGTTGGTTGAACATACAGACTGTGCATCTTATTATGTCAAAACAACACCAGGTCAGTACTCGTATTGGCTGCACTGTATAAATAATAAAAATTGAATAGTATCTATTTTTATCATTAATAATTATAATTGGAAGAGTTTATACATTAGTAAATAATAAAACATGAATATTATCTATTTTGATCATTAATAATTATAATTTGAAGAGTTTGTAGTATATCTCTAAACAATTGTGTATAATGTTTTAGAAAAAAAACTTGTTTAAACATTAGTAATTAATAAAACTTGAATAGTATCTACTTTAATCATTAATAATTATAATTTGAAGAGTTTATTTATAGTATATCTTTAAACAATTGTGTATACTGTTTTAGTGAAAATTGTTTATTCATTAGTAAATGATAAAACTTGAATAGTACCTATTTCAAACATTATTTATTTTAATACTTACAATTTGAGAAGTATATACTATATCTCTAAACAATAGTAAACAATTTTAAAACTTGAATTTCATCAACTTTAAATGTTATTGAACCTGGATTTATTTCAAGCTATTATATAAAAATCTTTATCGATTTAAAACATTTTTAAATTTTATAAAACACTCTGCAGTGATAAATCGATGTATACCATCTATCTTTATGGACATTGTTGATTTGGGAGCTGACCTTTCTTATACTTATAACAACATAAGCTACAATATTAAAGATGCCAGCAACAACAGTGTCACAGCCAACATGATCAGTGAAGGGAGCTAGTATGTATTTTTTTAAAAATTTTAACTCAAGTTAAGATTAAATTTTTTTTAAATGTTAATTTTTAAAAATAAAGTTAAGAGTGATTTAGATTTTTCAATTTATATTTTTAGCTACATGGCATTGTTTTATCAAGTTAAGGAATTTGTGGAGCTTGTGTTTAAAGATATTCTGGCATCTTGGTGGATGATCCTCATGTAAGATTATTTTTATTAGAAAAATGTCTTAATTTAAATTATCATTTTATTATTTTATATTTGTTAATATTATCTTTATTCTAAAATTAAAGATCAACATTTTTTTTACGCATTTGTAAAAAAATTTCTTTAAATAATGTAACTGTTAGTTTTTGTTGGTTTCTGTTTGTGTTTGACAAAAGTTTTTCTGCCTGTTGATTGCAGTGGATGTGGTGTGTCACTGATTCTCTGCATGCTGTGGATGATCTTACTCAGATGGCTAGCTGGAATAATGGTCTGGGTCACTCTCATCTGCATTTATGGGCTACTTTCATTTAGTAAGTATTACACATTTTCTTTATTCAATAGATGAAATGTATAACATAATAATATATAATGTATTGGCAATAGTTTAAAACAAAACTTAGGGGACAGAAATATTTCTCTATGTCAAAAGAATTTAATTTTAAACAATACATTTGAAATACATGGTATTTTGTAAGGTCCCCATTATTTATTTTTTCTGAACTGATTTTTCATTTCAAGATTTTTGTTTTAAACAAATTCCACTGTTTATGATTTAAATAAATTAAAAAAAAAACCCAACATAATTTAAAAATATAGAATTATTACTTTTGTTTATGTGTTTATAAATGATTTCCACCATCATGTATTTTAGCCTGCTACTACACATTTAACCAGTACTACACACTGAAAGGTCTCAATGCCACTGAAGAGTACGGGTTATCTCAAGCTTTTGCCACAAACTTTAGTTATTATTTGTCCCTGAAAAAAACTTGGCTTGCTTTTGGTAAGCAGCATTTTATAAAATTGTGATTCATTGTTTTTTTTATACTATGTCAATATTGAATACCATCCATATCCTTCACACATATTTAATTTGGCCTATAATGTAAATAAGAAATTATTTTTAATTAAATGGTAAACAGTTTTGCTTAGCCTTTGGATACTGAATGGTGTAAACTGCTTAACTTAATAAAAGTTAAAGATAATATTTAACTACTATTAGACCTATATGTGTCTAGTTTTGTAAATTTCTGTAAAGAAATGAAATGGCTGCTTAAAGTGTTGATACTTGGATGAAAAGTAAACTCAGCTTCATTTTATCAGGCTGTTCTACAGCAACACTCCTGATCATCCTTCTCCTCATCTTCTTGTTTCTTGTCAAGAGAATTTGTATTGCGATAGAGCTGATTAAAGAGGCCAGCAGGTCAGTAGCTAGTACAAAATGGAGGCTTAGTGTAAGGTCAAGGCTGACTTTATTCTTTAGCAAGCTTAGATGGGTTTGTAGTTTGTGTGTGAAAATAAAGAATTTAACTTTGATTTGTGATTCTGAATTTTCATTAGATTAACCTTACAACTATTTATATAAGAAGTATTTTAAATGTTGTGAACTCTCTCTTTTCAGAGCTGTAGGTGGCATGTTTTCTACTTTGTTCTGGCCAATCATTCCCTTCTTGTTACAGATTGCCTTTTTAGTGTACTGGGTGGCTAGTGTAATGTATCCCTTTTTTGTAATAGAAGTTTAAAATTTGTTAGAAAATGAAATAGTTTTTTTTTAAATGTTAAATTTTTACTGATGATTGTTAATACTAAACCTGATAAATAACTTAAGCTTTTTAATTTAATATTTTCACTTCTCTTTTCTTTTTATACTTTAATTTGTTACAATTTTTAAAAATAAAAGCTATACATACAAATATTCTGTAAATATTGAAAAAATACATTTTCAAAGCCATTTCATTAAAGCCTTGACTTAAAGGCAGCTTTATCGCCTCCATGGGAAATTCCCAATACTATAGCAACGCTACCAACACAAGCAAGGATAGTGTCAACTACTATCTATCAAGGATACCATGTCAACCCAATGTACGTAGGGAGGGCTTACTTTACAAGTTATAAACTTGATATGCAAATTTAATGTACATTTATCTACCAGTAACTGAGTATAGGCATGCTCAAATCTAATTATAATTCTTAATTAAAAATTCTTTTATTTACAAACACAATTTTAGTCAAGAACTATTCATGTATGTTTTTGTGAATAGACCAACCTAACTTATTTTTTGAAAATTACATTTTCTTTTAGAATTCTACATTGGGATCATTATGTGAATTTGTGAAATATGGAGGAAATGAGTATGTTGAACAGTTTTTATTTCTATTGTTTTTTTGTTTTTTTTTAATCCGAAATTTCACAAAGTATATTGTTTAACAATATTTCATTCACCAAGTTTAGCAAAGATCTACTTTGATTGATTCTGCTGTTAGTTATACATATAGTGTTGTTAATCCACTCTGCTATTTCTTGGAGTGATTCTGTTATTCTTTAAACATAACTATGAACCCAGAAAAAATTAATTGTGGGTATGAAACAAATAAAAATAATTGTTTAAAAAAAAAAACCACTTTTAACTGAACTATTATCTATTCATTGTTATTTTGAAAAATATATAATAAATTTTATATTCCAGATATGTTATACCCTTGGAAGTTTTTATGTTATTTATGTTGCTGTGGATTCTGAATTTTATAATAGCCTTGGGTCAAATGGTTTTGGCTGGTGCATTTGGCTCCTACTATTGGGCATGGGAGAAACCCAAAGATATCCCAGCATTCCCTCTGTTTGTCTCACTCTATCACTCACTCAGGTATGTATTTCCCTAATGAGCTTAAGTAAGGAAGCTAGATATATTTTTTGGTTAATTGTCTTGAAGCTTATATACTATATACAGTGTTTCTTCCAGACTTTTTTCTCCATGGGGGGGGGGGGCACTTGAAAATTTAGGGGGTGGACTAAAATTTCCGGGGGGGGGGGGGGGGGGCTGCGGACACGGTTAAAAGTATATATTTCCTATATATATTCCATTTCGTTAGGGTGGGGGGGGGGGGGTAGACTTTCTACTGAGCCCCCCCCCAATAGTTGCCTGGAAGAAAATCTGCTTATATAAACCAAAAGCAGTGCCAACTTCTAAGTAATTGTGATTTTAATATATTGATGTGCAAAAGTTAAGACCAGATCATTTAAAAAAAAAAATCCCTTTGAATATCTTTAATATGTTGATGTTACTCAAACAAGTAGTTTTGTTATTTTAGACATACGACAAGAATTTGATTGTTGCACATTTAAAAGTTAATTTACCCCAAGATTGATCATTGCAGCTGACAAGTATGAAATTAATGAAAAAAAAGGTCTGTGATCATTACACAGCACACAAAATACATTTTTTTTTGTTACAGGTACCACTTAGGATCCCTGGCTTTTGGTTCATTTATTATAGCTGTCATACAACTTATTCGGATATTACTTGAATACTTGGACTACAAGTTGAAAGACTCGCAAAATAAAGCTGCAAAATTTATTTTAGCGTAAGTCTTCATAAAACATTTAAATTGCATAGTCTTATTTTTGGATTTTTATAAAATGAATAACTTCAATATATTTTTGCTTATCAAACATATTTTGTAAAATTACTGCTGGACTGCTATAAACTATAATTTACTTAAACTTTATGTATTTTACTATTCTTTTACAGATGTTTAAAATGTTGTTTTTGGTGTTTGGAGAAATTTATGAAATTTCTCAACAAAAATGCATACGTCATGGTAAACATTATTCTTTTCAGTGTCAATAGAATTGAAACAGATTGGCTTTTTATTTAAAATATTTTGCATTTTGCAATAAAAAACAGCTTTCAAACAACATGGAAAGAGAACATTTTTATTTCCTTAATTTCAATTAGAACTTTAACAAGTAATAAATCTTCATTTCTGAGGTAGTAGATTTCATTTAAATAAATGAGTTAAGAAACTTTTAAAAAATCATATTTTATTTTCAGATTGCTATTCATGGGAAAAATTTTTGTATCTCAGCCAAGGATGCATTTTTATTAATTATGAGAAATTCAATCAGGTAGGCTTTTTAACTAGAAATTTGAATTTATAAAAGTATTTACATTTTCTTTTATAAATATATACTTACCAGCAGTAGAAAAATTAAATATTGCTCTCCAATTATAGAGTTCTTGTATTGGATAAAGTCACAGATTTCCTGTTGTTTTTAAGTAAAGTGTTGGTGACTGGTGCCATATGTAAGTAATTTTATACTTAATTTTTAAAAATTTTTTTAGTCTGTAAGCAAAAAAGGAAGCTATTACAAAATCTGGAGATATTAGTTAAACAAGTAGATCCGGAGAAGATTTGTTTCTTTACTATCTTTTCATGTTTTATAAATTATTAACTTTGTAATAGTACTTAGGACGCAATCTTTAAAAAAAATAAGAGCGTGTTCATCTCTTGTAAGAAATTTGAGATATTTTTTTATGAATAACCAAACAATTTTTTATATGTATTTAATTTTTATCCACAGTCACGATGTCTTTCTTTTGGTTTAAGGGTAGCATCACATTTTTTGACAAATACATAGTCCGACCCAGCTTAAATTATTATTTAACACCTGTCATTGTAAGTTCTAATTCAAAAATTTCATATTTAATACATCGAAATTAATTAATTAAATCAACTTCTTCTACCCTCAGAAATGAAGGAACATGTAGTTTAACACAATTTGATAAATCAATGCCAAATATTTTTGTTTACCTAGCTACACTTCCAGTTTAATTATGTCACCTTTTTATTACTAGGAGATGGGTGGGTGGAGGGTGAAGAGATTTGAAAACCAGTAGCCATGTCCACATAACCTCAGATAAAAATTTTGTTTATACTTTAATGATAATTGTTTACTAGTTTGATTGCGACAATCAAAGACAAAATTAGAACATTTTCTGAGCCATTTCCATTTTTACTGATTTTTTCCCCTAGCACACTAACATTAATTAATTAAATTAATTACATCATAATATCGCTCTTAAAACTTTTTTAATGTGAGTGTCTAAGTTACTTAATTTTATCACTATTTTTGTTTACAGATTCAAACAGTGAGCACATATTTGATGGCAAGTGCATTTTTCAGTGTTTACAGCATGGCAGTAGACACACTTTTTCTTTGTTTTTGTAAGTGTTGAGTAAATTGCTGTTTTTACATCGGTAAAATAAAACACCACTTAGTTTGCTTGCACTATTTTCTAAAAATAAAAATGTTTTAAAATGGTATATATATATATATATATATATATATATATATATATATATATATATATATATATATATATATATATATATATATATATATTTATAAATATATATATATACATATATATATATATATATACATATATATATATATATATACATATATATATATATATATATATATATATATATATATATATATATATATATATATATATATATATATATATATATATATATATATATATATATAAAATTTTATTTTACAAACAGCACTGTCAAAGTGCTAAACTGTAATACTATTCTGTCAAACAGTGGAAGACATTGAAATGAATGATGGGTCTCCTGAAAAACCTTACTTCATGAGTAAAGGATTGATGAAAGTGCTTGGAAAGAAAAACTTCAAACAGAATGAGCCATCTGCACCAAGCAATGGCAGAAAAACTTCTAGAGTGTCACCACAGAGAAAGGGGAGACCATTACCAATACCTAAAAACTCCAAGGTTTAGGAAAAAAGAAATTGTTTTCATGACTGTGTTCATAATGTTAATGTAGATAGGACCACAATTTTAAGTTGATTAAAACACTTTCTGGCAATATTTGCATGCATATCAACTAATTTTTTTCTGTTAGGCCTAATAATTAATTACACTAATCTATCAAAATTGTGCAAGTGTTACATTTTTTCCCCCTCTATATTTTAATATTTAGGAAATTTAATTTAATCATGCTCTCAATTGTTTTTGCCCACACTCTAGTGTTGACTATCATTTGCGGCAATGTGATATTTTGTATAGAAATTGATCACATTTAATATAGAATCTATGTAAAAAAAAGTACGAGTTATAAAAGAAAAAACTAATTTTTAATTAAAACAAATTACATTGATTTACATTACAAAGAAGTATATAGGCTTTTTTTGGAATGCTTTGAAATAATAACTGTTATTAGTTTTTCCCCAAGCATATTGGCTTTTTAATGTTCAATACATAAGATGTTGACTGTTTTTTTAAAACAAATAGATTTATAAAAGGGCATTAAACACATGCCTGATTTACTTTGTATATGCATACCATCTGATGTATTTTTGAGTTATTTTGTATTCTTGCAGCTTTCTTAATTTAACTTTCGTAATACTTGAAAGGTTCTTTCCTGCAGATAGTCTATTTTGATTCAAGTTTTTCCATGGTTTAAAATTTCTTTTATTCTATGGTACATTTCTATTATTGTCCATTACATCATTCATAAATTAATCAAAAGTAAATCATGAATTTTACATGACAAAGTATGAAAACATGTTTTACCTCACTAATATCACTCTCAAATATTTGAACTTTTTGTTGTTTGCACCTTTATAGTTTTGTTTCCAGACTTGTCAGTTCAATTAGCTTCTTATAATTCACTTTATTCTTTGCCGCTAATATACTGTATAAGCCTGGTATTTCTTTACAATACATGTTATGATGCTACTTGTATTTTACATAAAGTATATTGAAATGAAGTGTTTTGAAAAATGTTTAAATGTGATATATCTAAATAATATTTTGTATGTCTGTAAAAACAAATCCTCTATATTTAAATAAATATTTAAGGTTATATATACATCACTATTTGGACTAACATTTTGTTGTATAATTATAACTATTTTAATGTTGTACAAGACAGCAGGAAATTGTTTTCAAATACAACTCTAAAAATTTACTGAATACTCTACAACCACAAAATCTTAATGACACTTTAAATCAATATTATGGGATAAAGAAAACAAGACAGAAAAATAAATAAAATTCTGTAATTCAGCTTTGTAATATTTTTATTTCAGAAAAAAATAAATAACATATAATTGTCAAATATACTACAAAGATGTAGCCTCAGCAATAAAAAACAGATTTTTTACCAACACATTTTTTTAAAGCTGCATGAACAAGTATATGAGATGGTCTCCAGACATCAACAACAGATAATTTCAAATATATATCCAATTTTCATTTCTGCTTGTGTTAAATGATCACTTGAGAAGGTAGTTCATACATACATATTCATGGATGGAACATTGAAAATATTTATATAGTTTTGGAAACCAAATACCAGAAAAAAAAAATATTATTAAAAGTTTGCTGCAACTACAACCAATCACATTCATGTTTATAAAAACTCGCTGTTCCAACCAATCACATTCACCCTTATATAACTTGCCTTATCAATCAACTCATTTCAAAAGTATCTTTCTAAGAATAGAATCCTTCACCAAACATAAGATTATGAAAACAGATAAATCGAAGATAATAATATCTTCATTCCTACAATATAATCAAGCAAAAACCATCTTTTCAAGTACATTAAGTTTTAACTAATTTTACTAATATTTTTTAATAATGAAATTTAGTTTTGAAATCTTCAGAAACTTGGGACCCAAGTCCACAAATACTTTGGTAAGAATTGTATGGTATAATACTCATCAAATAAAATATATTGATACAAAACAGAAAAAAATATTCTTCAAGCAACAATCACATCAGCAAATAAAGAAAAAACATAATGGAATAATTTTTTAGAGACTTGGCCAGTTAACTAGTTATACTTTTGAATGATCATCTGACACTACTGGTCATTAAATTATGTAGTTGTTTAATGTTAGTTCAATGTTGTTTTTTTCACAATTAGTAGATGTAAAAAAAATTCTATGGTTAAAATATCAAATATTGGATGATTATGTTCTTTGTTAATGAGTTATGATAATAGATTATTAGCTATTAAGAAAATGTTTTGGCTAGAGGTTCATACTGCACAAAACTTAACTTTTAACATTTTAAGCCCTGATAAAAAGGTGGTCATTCCATTCATTTGATTCATCTTAAAATAAATTTAGTCATTATAACGAAAAGAGACTAAACCAACACTACCTTCTGCCTATAAACAATATTTTAAAATGTAACTATAACTAATATATGAGGTCAATGAAATTTGTCTAAATTGTAGTTCCAAAAAATGTCAATCAAAATACTTTTCGTGTACTTAGTTCTATTTAATAACCATCTTAATCTAGGTACCTCTTGCACAAGTAAATTTACTATTACCCTTTTATCTACAACGGTCATTTAAAAATCCATACATCTTAACTTAAAGCAGCGTATCACACATTCAAATGTAATGAGACCATATTTTTTTAAAAACATTTTAAATGGAAATGTAAATGCAGTCATCATTTTGATTAGTACAAAGTTGAAATTCATTCAGTTCAGAATTTTCTTTCATAGAAATAAAACTGACAATGACATGAGCTCACCCAGCAAAATAATAAGCCTGAAACGATATTACCACAAGAAACCAAATAACGCTAACACCAGCCTCATCAGTTGTCCTACACTAAACAACAGTCTGCCTATAACATACACGTGGTTCAGCTAGCAATGCGACGCAATCATTTTAACCATATTCAACATGTAGACTTGAGTCTCCCGCCACCCAGCAAAAACTGGATGGTGCGATCTATTAAAAACACGGAGAGAATATCTCCCACCACAATGCCCAGCACTGTCATACGGAACTGTAAAGAAAAAAATAAATTATGTTTCAAAATTAAATGTAAGGCAGAAATTCCTAAAGTAGATAGAATGGAACATAAATGCAAATAATGACTACAACATAGCTTAGCTGACTGAGTGTATGATCTCGTTTAGAATTCGTACAGGCAGGTAATATTATTTAAGTAGAGTATTTTTTGCCACATTAAGAGGTACAGAAGGAAATTTACTTTACTGGCTGAGGGATATGCTAAAACAATTTCTTTTTAAGCACATAAATAACTAGAACCATAAAAATAATTTTTGAGGGTTTGAAACACCAGTACCTACTTTTATAGCATGCATTTAACTGTTAAACCTTGAATCCAGCATTTTATATAATTTCTTAATTAACTAGATTAAAATATTTCTATGTGCTGGTTACAAACAAAAGACATTATGATGGCTTAATTGTTAGTTTTCTGTGGATTTCTAATGACTGTAACAACATAATCAGGACATAACATGTATGGCTTACATCTGAAGGCAGCTCCACCAGCTCAAACTGTTGCTGTAGCTCTGGTATGACACCACTAGCCAGCAGGAGAACAGCAAGGGTGGAAAACATGAGACTGTAGATCAGAGGCTTGTTGTCACGCAGCCTCTCCATGAACGGCTCTCCCTGTGTTGGGATGGACAAAATAATAAATGGCACGACTTTAATCTACTGTACATTAGTTTATAAACATGCATGGTTACACACTACTACATAGTAGTTTATAAACAGGCAAATATACATGGGTTATAGTTTATAAACAGGTACAGATTGATCCAACAACTGCTTAGTTTATAAACAAGCATAGATACATCATACTATGTATTACATAATACAAATAGACACAGATACATCCTATCACAAGTTAATTAATAAACATCCACTGGTATATCCTTCAAGATTCTATCAATAGATAGTACACGAGTTACTACTTGATACTATGTAACTGTACAAAATATCACATCTATTGAGAATGTTTGAAGGTGATTAAAATACAACATTACAGATTTTTCCCCCCCTATCAACATCACTGTAATGTTAGGACTACACTATCCCCTTGTATGCAGAGGTAATTAAAACAGATCAACTCTACTTCATTTGCCCATCTGTCTTGGGCACAAATGAAAAAAGATGGTGTATATTAGGACTACGTTTAGGTTTAAGTCTAGTTTAACTAAATGAACAAAACGACTTTCATCAAGTATTGCTGACTGTGCTAGCTGTACCAAAATATCTGACAAAATGTTAAGATGGTAAAAAATGTTTACCTTATAATTAACAGCAAAAGTTGAAACCTGCAAGGACATGGAGATGATGTAGACTGTTGTGTTCAACAAACTTGGTTCAAAATGTTTCTCCAAATTTACAAATTCTCCCTCTTCTCTAGAAAAGTTTAAAATAAAGTACTTTGTGAACATAGAAATAGGTAATATTTTTAAGAGGGTTTACTGATCAATAATAGCATCACATTACATATTTTTATTGCTAAATTTACCATACTTGTCTAAAAATTCTAAACAATTGGACTCAGCAGGCATAGTTCCTCCCTTTCCTACCCTTTATCCTGGCAGACCAAACTGGCTCAAAGATACAATGCTCATTGCTGTCATTGGATACTTATTCTTAATGTCTCTCACCCAACTTTCCTTAGGACCCACATGATCATAGCAACCTTGATGCCACCACTTAGGACATGAGTTTGACTGAAAGAGCCATACCACTCTCTCTCTTGGGCATATGTTTAAACAATGCTCATTAGCAAGGAAGACTGGAACATGATTAGAACCAAGCATTTCTCTCACCCAGGTTAAAGACATGTGGGTTACCCCAGGCTTTGGACCAATTGGGTTGGACACCAGGGGCTATTCAATCAGGGGATGACCAATGATTGTGAGACAGGGTTCCAAACTCATGCCTTTCTAGATAACAAGCACACATTCTACTGCTTGACCACCCCATCCCCCAAGACAATACTAATATCTTAGCTAATCCCACTCTGGTCTGTTAAGTATCTCACTAACAGTTTCATAATATGCTTTAACTGTGAGTTGCTTGTTGAAAATAAGTAGCCAAAATAACGGGATTATGACCTGCTTTATAAGTAAGAGATCTGGAGACTTTGTTATGTAAGGGATGCAAGAAAGTCATTGAAATGTTTTGATATTATTTACTTTTATTTTACACTATGTTGTCTTACAATTAACTATTTGTTTAGAAACCAAAATAAACAAATCCTTTAAGTTAATAATTTTATGTGTGGAATCTTTGTTTTGATTTGCCATTACAGATGGAAAACTTAAAGAGTTTTTTTAAAGAAGAAACATAAAATACCTTTTAGGCATTCTAGCTTTGGCCTCTTGCACCAGGTACACCAGACAGGTAAAGTGAACACAAAACTGCAAGAACACTGTCAGGACGGTGTAGACATTGAAGATGTTAGGCAAAGGTCTCTCTTTCGACAGAGTCTTCAAGGGCTGAAACATACAAGCGTGCAAGGTTCTAAGGCAGAGAATTGAAAAGAGTACTTATATTAGGACAGAGCAAGTTCATTTGTTTCTAAGAACTCAGAGACATCATATTAAAAAAGTATGGTGCCATTACGTTCCCTGATTTGAGTCAGTCACCTATCAAGTTAAGTGGGAAGTAAACTTAAGAATAATAAAAATATTACACATCAAATCTAAAAAAAAAAAACAACTTGAAACTTGATTTAATCAAAGGTTACCATTACTTAAAAATTAACTAGTGTCTTACATATGTTTTTAGTGAACTGGTATTCAGTACTGTTTTATTAATTTTTCTTTTCTGTTTCTTAGACAGGATAAGACTAAGACTATCATTTTCAATCAAACTGCAATTACTATTAACTTCTTCACATCAGGTCATGGCATTCCATCATCCCCATTTAATACTGTCTGACATTTTCCAAGTGATTTTTTTCTCATCCCCGATTCCACCCTAATGCTTGCGTAGTGATGATGAGGTATGGTTTACGCATTGTCCTATTCACCCCCCCCCCATGTTATATACGTGTAACACATAACTCAGCTCCAGTGCTTACCTTAGAGCGAGATATAAACAAAAAGCAGCCCGCCAACAATAATCCTTGCATGGTTGCTTGACCGTCACTGAACTTGATGCCATCCAGGTACAGAACACTCTGACTGTAAGCGAGTACAAGGGCATTCAGGGCTAGGATCTTAAACATCTGCAATGTTGTTACCAGAGTACAGCGCCCTTGCTTGATTATATTGCACACTAGAAGGAAGAAAATGGTAGACAGCATAAAAAATATTTCAAGCAAAAACAAACAAAAACATCAATGATATGGTTGGTAAAGAGGCTTGAACTTATTATATTAGTTTAAGTCTAGTTGCTGAAAGAAAATATGGTCTTTATCAATTAGCCATACATGTATTCATAAAGTTATGGGACGTTATGGCCTCACCAGTAGAGAGCTAGGCTACTAACAGAAAGTCTCAGGTACGAAACCGGGTCCAAGTCACTAGAACATCCCTGAGTCCACCCAGCTCTAATGGGTACCTACCTTGTTAGGGAAAGTAAAGGCAGCTGAGCTAGATCTCAACAGGATTCTTTACTTTACTTTTTTTTATATTCATAAAGCTGGTATAATTCATCATATTTTGAGCCTGAAACTAAACCTTTGACATAGTCAAAGGCTTTAAACCCAACCCTATGTTAAACTGTCTATATTTCTTGCTGAGACCAATATATTTCTTGTTGAGACCAATATATTTCTTGCTGAGACCAATATATTTCTTGCTGAGACCAATATATTTCTTGATGAGACCAACTTGGTATGGCTAATCAATAAAACCCATCCAATATTTTCCACGACTCACCACTCATGACTGTGGATAACTTGGATGTAAAAGGTGAAGCTATACTTGCATCACCCAGCTTGATCACTTGAGCTTTCTCTTCCTCCTCCATTTCCTTTAGAAGAGCTTGCAACTTTTTCTTTAATAAAATTAAATAAAAACTCAATTAAAATTAATTAATTACCCAAAGTCAGTGGTCATTAACCTACTTAAGGCAAAGAGCTGTAATATGAATTATGACACTTTACACATTTATTGGAAAGTAAGTTACTTCTAAAAATAACACAACCTTCTCCAACAGGTTTTTATAATTAATGTAATAAAACACTTTTTTTATTATACTTTAAGGGCATGGGCGGGTGATGAGTACCAACTTCCTTATTTCCGAGTCTAAAGATGTAATACTTGGCTAATAGTTATAACTCAAAGAGATAAGCATAAAAATATTTTTTTTAATTTTTTAAATCCTCCGTTGCCATGGTGACAGCGGCCATATTGGATTTTATTGACGATTTTTAAATGGAAATAACTCAAAAATGGTTTGTACAAATTTCATAAAAACTTAATACATTCTGGAGACACATGTGTTTAACACTTCCTATTGATTACATTTTCAAAAAAGAAGATAGTTTATTTTTTACTTTTTTTTCCCATACATCACTGTAAAAATGTCATTATTTCGTCCAATTTTTTCACTATTTGAACAATAAAATTTTTTTTTTTTTTAAATTTCCAAAAGTGTTCAATACGTTTTATTTGAACATATATACAGAGTAACTGGAAAAAATTTAGTTCAGTTCTGATAATAATAAACAAAGTTATTTCAATAATTGTTCACAAAAGTATCAAACTGAGAAAAACGCAAAAAACCAACAAAAAGTTGCAAAAAAAGAAAATTTACAGCTGTATGTCACTAAAATTGACCACATTTATTGCCTGAAGTATGGTGCTGCTGAATATATTCCTTCTGAGCTTGTTCAGCTGTAAGTTTCCTTTTTTTCTGGCTTTCTTTGTTTTACCTAGAGCTGTAGTAAAGCTGTTGCGAAGGCGTCTTTTTTGGCGTCCTTCACTGAGTCTTTGACTATGGTTTCCTTCTTTTGACAGCAATGCCATAGCATGCATGGGCCCAATGCTGAATTATGCTATCGCAGAAACAGCAGTATATTTTGCATGGTCTCGTGTCTAATGCCAATTATGATAAGACGATGTCTTTGTTTATTGTGAATGGCCTTGTTGTGGATTCTTTTGCAGTTGTATACTTACGGTTTACAACATTTTTATTACTGCCACACCATGCTTGAAGCAAACCCTTTACACTTTTTTCACCAATAGTAGCCACTACATCACAGTTACACTCTTGGCAAGGAAATGTATTGATAACATCAAGAAGCAAATCACAGTCGACAATAATTCTGCATGACTGTTGTTTACTACCATACTAGATGTAACAGTGCTTTCTTCTGTCTGTAAAAACTGTCTTACATTGCCGCAGTTTCTTAGTAAATGTGCATATTACATCTGCACCAGTGCTTGTCTGAATAGTGCTAGATTGAGTAGAGGTAGACTCTAGATGCATTCAGTTGCATTCGGACGTGCCCTTGCTTTAGTAAATTCGTTAGATGTGTGTATCTATTTTTAGCGAGTGTTTTGTTCTACCCATTATCGAAAGAGAAACAAACTAAATCGTCTCACTGCTTATGATAATTCACACAAACTAATCTAAACTGTTAATAGTATATTTAATTTAAATAATTATATGTTAAAATAATGTAAGTATTTCACAGAAGCTTAGAGAAACAAAACTAGATCAAACTTAGCAACGCGCTGAAACTAAGGGAATGTTTACTTCCGAAGCGAAACGACCAATCGCTAACTAGCTTCCGCCGTTGAATGCCAATGAAAAAATTGAGGTCAAAAATTTGCATACCGGAAAAACCCGAATGAGTAAAATAAACAACTTTATGACGTATAAAAATAATCACATTAAAATAGGTATTTTGATTGGTCCTTTAATTTTAGAACAAATAAAGAAAGGAGGTCACGGCCTTTCCATTGATATGAAACACATTAGGCTTCCGCAAAATCTAATAGTACTTTTCTAGGTCGAAAAATGGCTATTTTTACCGAAAAAGTGATCAAATTACCCTGAACACACTACTTTGAACCCGGTTTTTCATAAATAAATAATGTTTTCAGGGTCATAACAATGTCATTTTTAGATTCAACGATGGTTATTCTGTATAGATCAAGTAAAAGTGGGAAATCGATGATTTAGTGGATTTATGACGAAAAGTACACCCGCCCATGCCCTTAAACATTAATCAATTTATTCATTCAAAGAACCAAATGTAGATCTGGATGTTGGTAGTTCTGTCCACCGCTTTAAGCTAAAAGTGCAGGATTAAGAATATATTTGCTGTACCAGACAAGTAACCCCATTAAATACAATTACAGGACAGAAGTATCACAACACCTGCTGAGGGTGAAGATTTTCTCCCCTGTTAACAGCTCTCATCTTTGCAATTCTTCCCATCGGCCGACCAGGGGGCCCACGAGGTGCCTTATCAACAGAAGTTCCAGGATCTGTCTCCTAAAGATGGTGAACATGAAGCAAGGATTTAAAGCTTTGGACAAAAATGTAACTGCTGTATTTCAATACATAAATAAGTAAATGTTTTGATTAAAAAAACAACCCATCTTAATATCAGCAAGAAAACTCTGCAAATGCATGAAAACATTTTACATTTTTTACCATAAATATATAGGCTATACAACTACATTATGATTAAGATTTGAGACCACTGTTGTTCTTATTTGATTCTATAGTAAAAGAGGTTTCGACTCACATTTGGAGTTTCTTCTTTCTTCTTTTTTTCTGGAACTCTTTCAGGGGCATTAGCAAGGAGTGCCACACCTGTGACAATAATTTTAAATAAGTGGTTTTCCTGTTCCTTAAATAAATTTTTGTAAACATCTGACATTGTTTTAAAAGTGTTTAAATACAGTGAAATACAAAATAAAACCTTACCAACATCAGCATGCTTGAGAGCACCCACATCATTGGTACCATCTCCACACATCAGAGTGACATAGCCTTGGGATTTTAATGAGGTGATGATCAGTTCCTACAAGTAAAAAAAACAAACATGGTATGCAAGTATGTTTTTTCCACAAGAAGAGTTTCAGTGACAACTCTTGCAAAGACTTGAGCAATAATTACCTTCTGTTTTGGGGCAACACGTGCAAAGACTTTGGTGTTTGCCAGCAATAAATGAAAAAATTTCTTGTCTGTTGTTTGAAGGTATGTTAAAGCCTATAAAAAAAAAAAAAAAAGAAACGACTTAAAATGTAATAATATATTAATTTAATTTCATGTTAACTGTAACAAATCTAAAAGATTAAATTAACTAACAAAACTCTGACACATAATTTTATATGCAATGTAAGTAACATAAAAACAACTATTACATTCCCCGTTACAAGAGGGATGTACAAATTGTATGGCCTTTTTTCACAGTAGCACAAAAAGTAGACCAAAGCTCTACTGCACCTACCTCACCAGTGAGACACAGGTCGTACAGGTTGAGCAGATCTTTCTTGGCATTAGCTGGTTTTGCTTGGACAATAATTTTGTCATCAATAGATTGCCAGTGCCACTCATCAGCTACAAAGAATGAAAATAAAAACTTTTCAATAAAATCACTTTAAAGTAATTCATATGAAAATTTTTTAAAATTACAAGCCAACCTACATCTAATTTGGAACTAACATTTTAGCCCAGGTGATTGACAGTGAGATCAGCTGGAATTAGATACTATCTAATAATACTTAAAAATACAAAATTGCATTCTGAACTAAAAAAAAATTGTTCTGAAAATAGCCATGCCAATGCTGAGATGAAAACATACTATTTTAAAACTCATACAGCCAAAGAAAACATAAGGGATTATTTTGAGTCCACATAAGATAGAGATATCAGTATTTACAGCCTACGTAAAGTAAATGGAAATTTTTCTTTTTGACAAGGGCAGTAATGACACATTTTTTCCCAAACAAAACATGTCTTTGTGGAGTAATGGTAAATTACCAACTTAACATGAGAGAATAGCAGTAAATTTGAGTACAAATAGGCCCGATGTCAAAACCTAGCATTTTAGATTTATTTATTTTTCTTTATAACAGTAACATTTAAAAAAAAATTTGACTGAAAATCTACCAAACTATGTGACAATTCAAAGTAATTCATTCCATTAAAGACAACACAGTAATTAAACAATTGACACAAACTATCCATACCCAAATCATTAGGGGGTTGCAGAATAACTGTTGCATCTTTTCTTGTCATTTTCAACTCTTTGGCCACATGGCAAGCTGTCAATGGGTTGTCACCAGTAATCATGGCCACCTGTAGGTTTTTACATTACATTTTAAACATTGGTTTTGTTTTTAACCCTATTCAAGGAAGATAACCCTATGTGTAACCCTCTACAATGGAACTGGTCCCTTTGGGTACATCAAATTATTTTGATCTAAGGACTAAAATTGGAGGATGGCTTTGGGATTTTTTGTAAACTCTAATTTTTCATATGTGCACACAACTGCAGTAATAAGTTTATGAAAATTCAATATGTTAAGTATTAAAAGTAGCGGACTAATATGCTTAATTTAAAGAGACCATAAGTTTGAATATTCTCAGTATATTTTGAATAGAGTTAATAAAGCAATTATTACTTAGGGACTATTAGTCCAATTCCTAAACAGCTTTTGCCATTGAAATCAGCTGTTAGTAGCACTGAATTTAAAACTCAATATCAGCCCTAGGCACTATGGCTCAAACTTTTCTATAGTATGATGGGTACTCACATGATGTGAGGCATTGATGATTTCTCTAATGGCAGCTTTAGAGTCAGACTTGAGGGGGCAAGAGATGATGACAAAGCCAGCAAACTCCAAATCTTTTTCCACAGCATCACGAGTTATGTCCCTTACCTGAATTGACAACATTGTGTATGTTTAAATAACTGAATAACAATTTCAAAACATGCCATCTCATTTACAGGATTAAACACAGACAAGATCACTTTTCAACTTGATCAGAAAAATAAATCTAATGGAAAATCTAAATACTGTTTACAATAAGTATGAATTTTGCATACAGGCAAATTATAAATTCAACTGCAAACTTTCACATTTTGAACAATAAGTGTTTTAGGAATACTCATCTAGTAGATGATCATGTCAGATGGTATTTTCTGACCCCATAAAGGATCCAGTATCATAAGATTTAAGATCTAATACCTGGTACAGAACATATTCTCTAACTCAGATTTTTATTTCTCAACTAAATATAGAAACAGTTATCTACCTCCTGATGTGTCATGGACCCAAGTTTCCTGTAACCAAGGGCTAGAACTCTAGCTCCTCTGCGTGCCATCTTGAGGTACACATCATCATAATTGCTTGGTAGTTTACTGAACTAAACACAATGTAGAAAAATATTTTGGATAATGGTAACTATAATTCACACATTTTTGTTTATCATTCTAAGTTTTCAGGAGGGTTATCTGACTTTCTACCAACGGACCGGTACTGAGCTAGCATTGTTATTTAAGTCTTTGGGCAATATTTCATTAATGATATAACCTTTAGGTCATCTTAGTTTAAGTAATTAAATAAAGTACTATTTCAGTAGACATTAAATAATTTGCTTTTTTAAATATATTTTTTTTAGTTTATTAAATTTTATTGATGTTTAAATTGAATTTTTATACTAATAATCAACTTTAAAGGGATTGACTGTAGAAAAAAACCCCAAACATTTAGTATATACAATTGGCACTAACCATTGACTTCAATGTCTCTGGCGCTCCCTTAACAGCAGCACTGTACTGAATTTCTGTACTTCCAGGGGGTGTATGACCAATAATTACAGACATTCGCTTCAGTGAACTTTGGAAGTGGAAGCGGTGATATATTTTGAGCCCATGAGTTTTTCTCTTCTGTGGGACAACTGTTTCTCCTGTTAACAAAATTACAATTAATTTTTTTCAACCTACAGGTTAATATACAACTAGCATAATGGGAAATTAATAAATATAATTAATTATCATTAATCTTAAAATGCTGTTAAGATTGTAAGTGCTTGTGTGACTGGCCTTTGGTAAGTGTCCACTCCACCGCTTTTAGTGTTGCCTTCTCTAAAGGATCCCCAACCAACTCTTCATCAAGCTGCACTAAAGAATGACAAGTAGCTAAAACTTGGGTTGTTTCTAGAGGTGCATCATGGGCCGCTATCAGTTCAGAGCCACTGAAATTTATTGTAAGTCATCTATTAGATATTATCTTTCTAACATTTTTAGGAATATTTTCCATCAAATTAAAAAAAAAACCAAGCTAATAGTGTTTTTATTGTAGTTCCTATAACAAAAATGCATTAGATATAGAAAACACTAAAACATAAAACTGTTTTAAGCAATACTTAAAGTAAAAAAATAATTTTCCTTAATAAATTAGGAAAATTTGTGTTCATATTATAAATTTCAAAAACAGAGTGCAGAATGTAATAATGGACATATGAGTGTAAAAGATCAATCATAAGACACCTACTTAAGACCAGTGATGCCCTCTACCACTAAATTATCACTTGTCAAAGTTCCAGTCTTGTCAAAACAACAGATGTCAATTTTACCAGCAAAAGGAATTCTAAATGGCTCTGTGCAATACACATCTAGATAAACAAAAAGACAGATTAAAGGTTGTCTCTGATTATTTAAATAATTATGACAGAAGCAGTTTTTAAATATTTAAATACTAACTATACAAAAGACATAGATGACAAAAAAATGTTCATAATGTTTGAGTAAAGAGAAGTGAAAATAATAAGGTAATTATTACGTACACAGTTTTGTCAATGCTAGCAATGATGTATTTACTGCAAGAGACAACTCTATTGGAAGTTCAGGGGGAACAACCGATGTTAAAATCAGAGTACACTCTAAGAATAGTTTATAACGATTTCTGGATGGATCTTCAGTACCTGAAAAATAAGTTATACAAAAACAATTGTTCAAAATTTTAAAATTGCTTCTAAATGAAGAAAAATAATACAGCTTAAAAAAAGAAACAAACCTTTAATCCACACATAAGAGGCAGCAATAATGGCAAACACCAATAAAAACATGATGAAAAAGAAAGTTTCTAGATTGTTAGCAGTAACTCTTTTTACTCCGAACAAAATAGTCCTCAGTAGCTTCCCTTGTGATGTATTAAAACTATGCCGCAAAACATAGGCAATGCATCCATTGTCACTGGCTGGAAAAATAATTTTAATTATTAAATTTGATAATAATACCCACGAATGCTTAAAGCCAACAATTTAAGAATAAATAGGGATGGAAGATAGAATACATAACTACAACAATAGGTAAAGTACTTGTTTATTACATGTTTATTTACTCTGGTTGGTTAGAGTGAATTTTTACCTTTTAAGCCTGGTCCTGATTTACTGGGTGGTGTGTGCTGTACAACCTTGGTTCCACCAAATAAAACATGAAGTTTCCCATCTTGTTCCAGGTTTAAGAAATGATTTGGTTCTAAATGTTCTACGGGCTCCTAATACACAAGGAATAGAAAAGTGAGAAAGGTTAAATATCTAAGCAAAAAAAAATTTCAATAAAGAAGTCATCATTTTATAAGTGTTAAGTATAGTATTTTAAACAAATAGCACCTGTTTGCTGAATATTATTATCTCACCTTCATGACAGGGACAGATTCTCCTGTTAACATTGACTCATCCACTATACATGGTCCTCTAAGTAGAAGCATATCACAGGGAACAATTTTTTCTTCCTGAGAGCGGACTGTCAAATAGGGAAATAATTATTTTAATTAAAATGAAAATAAAAAGCCAATTAAAATTGTGTTTCAGACAACAAAAAATAAATTATCAGTACATTTCAACTCACCAATGGAAACAATATCCCCAGGTAAAAGTTCATCTGTCATTATTTTAACCCACTTCCTATTTCTGTACACCTTACAAATAAAATGACAAACATTGAAATTATATGTTCATATTATTTTATTTTAAGAAATAACATAGATCTAGGTTTCATAAAATTAAAGATATTGTTCTTTAGTTTATCTAAAAAATTTATTAATTTCCAATTTAACTTTTAAAACAAAATTAGTAAATAAATCTGAAACATGAAATTTGATTTTTAAGATACCTGTATAAGATAAGGTTTGTTTCCCATTTTTCTTATTTCAGCCATATTTCGTAATTGCTGTTGGACAAGTGTAGCTTCAAAGGCTATTAACATGAATAAAGTGAAAACAGAGTAGTACCAGTACTCATCCAGACACCAAAGTCCAACACAAAAAACCTGAAATATATTAAACAAGGGTAATAAAAGATGCAAAACTATTGATCAGTATTGTATATTTATCAATACATAAATACAAAACATTTTAGTATTACATGAGACCAAACAATTGAGAAGCCAGAACATTAAAAACTTAAAATATTGTGCCCAAACAGTTAGTTACTAATCTATATTTCTTTTTATCAGTGTAGTTCTGGAATTTACTAAGTCAGCTTACTTGGAAAACAAAAAATGGTGCAGTAGCTCTTTCTCTAAAAAGCTCCAAAAACTTTGGTATATCCATTACCATTCTGAAATAGTTTTATAATATGTAATTTTACGTAAATTTATATTGATTTTTTAAATTATTAATTCAGAACATAAAAGTTCAACAAATAAACAGATGTTTTACCTTTCTATTACTTTTTTAACTCATAGAATCCAACTTTAATCAAATGTTCCTATGGTAAAAACCCACAGAGCATAGTACAGCTGTGGAGCTGTATAATGTATAGAAAACGTTGATGATGTAAATACTTACGAATTTTTTCCAAACTTTTTCTCTGCAATTGCAACTTCTTCATCCTCTTGATAACCCTTACATTCCATATAGAATCCCACAGAGTTGTCAATGGGAAATGTGAGAGGAACAAACTGTTTGTGCTCCTCTGCATCATATGAGTATTTGGTTTTTTGAAAAATAAACCAAAGTGGATCATCCCCATCTGTCTGAAAATGTATTTTTTATTAACAGAAGATTTTTAAATAATGAAAATTAGGAGGAAAAAACTTCAATCAGTATTGTTAAGTAGCAATAAAACAATTTTTGCTCATGCCAAGAAAATTTAACCATGTTTTAAAAAGAATTTGTAGCTGAGTCTTAACTTACTTTTTTGTGATGAAGCTTAACCAATTCAGTAGAGCCATTATTTGGTGTTGGTACAACCTTGATCCACTGAGCTTGAAAAGGGTCACTTACCTAAGGATTGTTAATGCAGATTCATCAAAAAGAAAAATATAAACGAAAAAAATTTGGGAGTGAGACTGTGTTAAGTTGTCTTAAAATGACTATTGTATAATTTATCTAGTAGTAAGTAATACTAATGTCACAATCTCGCAATGTGTTTTAGTTTTTATAAAAATAAAATTAGGGCCTATTGAAGTCCCTATACTTTAAAAAATTGTAATCAGTTTTATGAGTTTGGGAATGCAGGAGAATATGTGATACCAGCGTCTTTCACACTACAATTATTTTTTTTAATCATCTTTAAAAAGGGGTTGTATGTAATAGTATGTAGAGTGAAGTGCCATGCACGGTCAGAGGCACAAAGCGATCTTCGTCTGTTTATTGCTTCGTATAATAATTGTTTGGATGTTTTATACAAAACTACCGGTATCTGCTGTACGCATGTCCATTTCTAAATATATCCAGATCAAATTATTTTTTTGTTTTCTCCTTCTAGGAGACAAGTTTTTAAATTTTAAGTTTGGGTATGACGTCAGCCGGTGATCCCAGTTCCCCCGGATGAAAACACAAGGGCTGGATGAGATGAATAAAACAAACCAATCAAAGCTTTTTGTAATTAGGTTAACTATAAATAACTTCTACATATGTGCGGGACACTGTAAATACTATAGCTAAGGCTATTAAAGCAACCTGAGAGGTGAAATGGGGGTGGCCGCAGCTTGGATAACGATTAGGGTGGTTTATCCTCACCGCGTAACCAACGACTTGAGCTAGACAAGCCTAGATCTAGATACTCTATATTTCAAGCTAAGTCTAGAATCTGTAAAGTTTATAAATTTTTCTGTTGTTTTAAATTATTTCGATCATTTAATTCTTCTAGAACTAGTTTGTGTCTCCACATACAAGCATGTCTAAGCAAGTGTTAGGTTGTCTTGTTAGTAATTGTTACGCCCCTTTGTTATGATTATTAAAGATGCGTCCCTTGAGTTGTCACTGGGTCATCCGTGATGTGTAGTTAATAAATTTAATTAAATTGTTTTTTATTTGGTTTTGCAATCTATTAATTAATAATATAATCAACAACACGTTTAAAAGTGTAAAATATTTAGTTTATTGGCTTAAGACGTATGAAATACGATCATTACGCGAGCAGGTGCAGGCAACCGCGTGGGAGAAAAATATATCGCAAGTAGTGAATAAAACATGAATATCTCAAATTCTATGCGTCGGAATACAAAATGGCTTACACATATTAGAGTAGAATGGCAGCAGGGTAATACAGTACTTTTGGTTTGTTTCTGTGTGAAACGGTTACAAAATAGCGCACGATGAAAATCGGGAGTTAGGAATTTTTCGCTGTGTGATCGGCTGTGGCACTTCACTCCTAGGCTAGATTGCCTAGATCTATTCTATCCCATGTAATTAATCATTATGAATGGCTCGTATTGATGTGAGGACAATATTATGAATATTACAGATTTAGAATAATTCTTAGAATCACAGTTGACAATTCACAATTGAGGGTGTGGGGAAATTGCGAGACGCGAAAAGCGAAATGGCGATGCGGGAAAATGCGAGAAGGTAATGCGAGACATACCTGCGGAATCAAGGTAAATAGCGAGACACCTTTTGCGAAAAAAAAGTTTTTTATCATACTTTCTTCATCTTTATTTATTTAATTTTTTTTTTTAAACAAACAAGCATGTAGCCATACCCTTTAACACGAGGTTGTATGTTGTTATTTTTTTATCTAGATTTTATTATACATATAGATAGATACTAAGAAGATAGATCTATATCTAGATCTATCTATTTAAAAAATCCTAACATCGTTGCTGTGCTACTGTCATCGCCCGCTCTCGTTAGCGAGAGGAAAATCCCGTCTCAGTCGACATTAATTTTAAAAATCTAGCCCGCTCATGTTTTTAGAAACGTGAGCTGTATCATTGTGAATTGGTATAATCTTGTCAGCAGCAGATATATTCTGTAACATGTATTAATGGATTGTTGTACTTGCAAAAAGTGTAAAAGTATAAACAATTCTAAAAAGTGTAATTTATTTTTTATTAAGTAATTTTAACTACAAACAAAATTTACAAATAAAATCTTCTGAAACAATCCTAGCACTACTCAAACACACATCGTCACACCATCTTTCACACATAGTACATCCAACCCAGTTCATTAGACCATTTATACTGCGCTAACACAGAACACGAATATGAACAGAATGAAAAAAAAATGTGCGTTTGTAGATAATCTGAATAAAGTCCGCTATCGACAAAACTACCATTTAATAGCTAAAAGAGGTCATTCATAAATGACGTCACGCTTTTTTTGACGATTTTTACCCCCCCCCCCCCTCCGTCACACATTTTCACTAAAATGACGTCACACCTCCGCCTAGAACCCCCTTCAAAATTGCAGTTGAATTTTTTTTTTTAAACATCGATATTTTTCCAAAATCTTGTCTGATATCTATCAAAATAGAGTATTTTAATCAATTCCTATTACAATTTATTAAAACAGTTTTCTAAAATTCTTTTTCTAACATTGCTTTTTTATACTGTGACGTCACAACATCTACCCCCCCCCCCCCCCCACCCTCCCCCTCATCACATTTTTATGCAACAATACAAAATATGTTTGCGGCGGCAGCGGATTCGGGCACGGTGATCTTCAAAGACGGTAAATCAGGCGGCCTCGGCGTTCCACACAAAAGACAGAAGTTGATCTATCGTCGGCGGTATATCCGTCGGTTTCGAACAAGGTGGTATTCTAGCGACGGAGAAATCGGAAGTTTTAACAATGTAAACGAAATGTCTTTGAAGTCTGGACCAAATACCACTGAAAATCGGGTGCGGTAAATTTTTCGCAGAAATCTTCGCATTTCAACACCATCCAGCGTTAGTATCGGGTTGTGGTAAAATGCGAGACAAAAAGTCACGTGACCGACCGTTTTCGCGCCCTTCTCGCATTTTCCCGCCTCGCCATTTCGCTTTTCGCGTCTCGCAATTTCCCCACACCCCACAATTGACATTGAATTGCAATTGTTAAATGACTTTTAACAAATTTAAAATAAAACAAATATAAGCCAAATAATTAAGAATGGAGTTTCCATAAGAAAATCGTGTGAGTAAGAGTTAGGCCCTATTTATAACTATTTAACTGATTACCTTTGAGCACGTCAAAGCACACCTGACGTGTACTGACCACAAACAAAATAACGACGTCAAAATCTGCAACAGACCGATTCCAGCCAAAGCTATAAGGCCTCCTTCAAAATAATCTTCAAGGCCATAAATAGATGTCCAAACATATGCCCATGTGGCATAAACAAATAAAAATGGAAAAACGTATCCATGTAAAATAAGTGGACGAAGATTGTAAAATGACAGCCGCTGAATTTCTTCAGACAAGGGGGCAGCCATTTTTACTCTCGATGATTACGAAAATGAACCTAAATTACGTAAAAACTCGCATTTTACAGTTACACAATATTTAAATAGTAACAAAGGAAAAAAAGAATAGAGCTTAAATCACACTCTTAAAAACATATTTTAAAATTTATATTCTAAAATATTTTAAAATCAGCCTTAATTTCATACATCAAATTGTCAAATGTTGTTAATTTTGTTTATTCGATGATGATGATTATTGATGATTCATGCATTGAAAAAAATATTAAATATGATTTAAGCTGCACTAAAAGTCGCTAGTCTTGTTGCAACCAGACATTATCCTTGCACCTTAGCCTGTAATATGTTATTTGTAATGTAACGTAACATTAAATGTATTCTAGTTGAGGATTATTCTTACAATTAAGTTAAAAAATATTCTCAAGACAAATCTCAGATTTGTAATCTGGCAAAAAAAGTGTGGTTGTGTCTAAGACATCTAAAACCTATAGCCTATCTACATATAAACCATAGGTCTGAATACTTTTGAAAACAATTTAATCTCAAATAGTTTTAATGCTGGTATAGTATTTATATTTTTTTAATATAGACTTCTATAGTAGACCAAGCTTTTGAAAAATATATGACGAGTTTCGTTATTTAGCGTTACCACTATTCCATTTGATTGCAAGTCATTCTGTTTTACTGTTTTACAGTTCTATAGTTCTGCTGTAAGATAGTTCAGATCTTTGTAGTAAACAGTCTTCTAATTTTTTGAGTACAATGTTTTCGGCAGTAACGCATCAAAGTAACAATAAACCACTAGCAGACTACAAGGCACCAAATCAAGTACCATTTAGTCCGTATGATTTTAATGGAGGGTAAGCCTGATCTCAGACACTGATCTGCTTGATTGATCATCTCAATTTTATTTTAAATATTTTTGTTTGAATTTTGAGCTTTGACGTTGTTTTTTTTTTTGGGGGTCTAGCTAAAAAGTATCTAGACTAGATTAGATCTAGATCTACTAGAGATATCAGTTATCAGATGAATTTATTCACTTGAATATTCAGAACTATTCAGCTCATTCATTTTGTTTAGGCCCTACTGTTTTGTATCTTGAAGCTTCTTCCGCATAGTCACTTATCAAAAATAATACTTAAAATGTGATAAGGAAAAGGATCCTACTCGAAACCCTCGGAATAGCAGTCAAAACACTAACATTTGACCACAGCTTCCCTATTATTAGGCCGTTCGATTCACAGCTTCCGGGTTTGTTGTTTCGAAGCTCACAGCTCATGCACTTACCATAAATGGCGACCAGTTTCGCTTTCACTAATGGGTAGAGGGATAAAACTAATGATTCCGAAGCCATCGTTAATTTTAGAAATCGGAACTATCCGTTTCTATTTAAGTATTTAAGTTAATTAAGAATTGTCGGATCTACTTTTGGTAGGCTTTTTGATGAGAATTACAGAATGATTTTTTTATTAAAAATGTATCAATAATAGCTTGCACACTAGTAAACTAAGCCAATTTAGCATATTTTAACTTTCTGTGCAAAGTCATTATTACTGAAAAAAATTCCAAAGTCAGGTCAGCCTGTGGCACCCTCCACTGAACATGACAGAAGGAAAAAAAAACTTGACCCGTGACCTTCATTAAAACAGAATTTGCTTTTGTTTTTTTTTCATTTTTAGTAAATATGTGCTTAATCTTACCCAATAAGTGATAAAAATTTGAAAATTAATTTTAATTACTGTTGTAAAGTGAGATAAACAGCTTAATAAACACGTGTTTTCTTGAGGGGGTGTGGCACATCCCGACATCGCATTGTTTGTAACTTTATATTTGTGTTTTATGACTATATTTGTTCACAATCAGCATGCTATGCTTTTAATTTTGATAAAGGGTAAGTATACCAAGTTACAAAACCTGAAATCTAACTAATAATTCATACTTTCAGTTTAAAAAAATAATGAAAACGATCATCAATGAAGAAAGCGTAAACATTCTATTTTTAGGTGTGACATAAAAAACAGTCATAAATCTAGCCGAATGATTGGATTCTTGCGCGTCACACATTTTCCCGCGCTTCGTGTTCACCAAAAAAGATTATAATAAAATGGCATTATTATTCTTACAGAGCATATCTCATGCCTACCATAAATTATTACCAGTTTATTGTAACGTGTGTAAAATTAATGCTTTCAAGTAAAAAATAGCAATAGTCTGGTTAAAAATACCTGCGGTATTTTATAGTTATTTGATTCGAAAGATAAGAATTTTATAGAGCTACTTTCACTAAGGCGCCGCTTGCGAGACAAACATAGAAATTAGGCCAAAAGTAGATCCGACAATTCTTAAATAACAGACTTAAATAGAAACGGATAGTTCCGATTTCTTAAATTAACGATGGCTTCGTAATCATTAGTTTTATCGCTCTACCCATTAGTGAAAGCGAAACTGGTCGCCATTTTTGGTAAGCGCATGAGCCGTGAGATGGCTTCAAAACAACAAACCCGGAAGCTGTGAATTCGAACGGCCTAACTTTTGGCCTAATTTCTTTGTTTGTCTCACAAGCGGCGCCTTAGTGAAAGTAGCTCTATATAATTCTTATCTTTGGAATCAAATAACTATAAAATACTGCTGCTATTTTTAACCAGTATGCTTATTTGAAACTTGAAAGCATTAATTTTACACACATTACAATAAACTGGTAATAACTTATTGTAGGCATGAGATAAGCTCTGTAAAAATAACAATGCCATTTTATTATAATCTTTATTTGGTGAACACGAAGCGCGGGAAAATATGTGACGCGCAAGAATCCAATCATTTGGCTAGATTTATGACTCTTTTTTATGTCACACCTAAAAATAGAATGTTTACGCTTTCTTCATTGATGATCGTTTTCATTATTTTTTAAACTGAAAGTATGAATTATTAGTTAGATTTCAGGTTTTTTAACTTGGTATACTTACCCTTTATCAATTTTAAAAGCATAGCTAGCATGCTGATTGTGTACAAATATAGTCATAAAACACAGAAATATAAAGTTCCAATTGCGATGTGCCACACCCCCTCAAGAAAGCATGTGTTTATTAAGCTGTTTATCTCACTTTACAACAGCAATTAAAATTAATTTTCAAATTTTTTTACTTATTGGGTAAGACTAAGCACATGTTTACTAATAGTTAAAAAAAAACATAAGTAAATTCTGTTTTAATGAAGGTCACAGGTCAAATTTTTTTTTCCTTTAGTCAAGTTCAGTGAAAGGTGCCACAGGCCAACCTGACTTTGGAATTTTTTTTATTAATAATGACTTTGCACAGAAAGTTAAATATGCTAAATTAGCTTAGTTTACTAGTGTGCTAGCTATTATTGATACTTTTTTAAATTAAAAAATCATTTTGAAATTGTCAACAAAATGCCTACCTATTATTGTATTAAACTACAACTTTCAACTTTGAAAATAGCTAGCCTTGTCACTGATCAATAATTGTTTGAATATTTTTTGTGTGAATTTATAACTGACTTAACACATTTTTATTTGACCGCCAGAACTGTCCTTGCAATTGCTGGTGAAGACTATGCTCTCATTGCCACAGACACACGTTTGAGTCAGGGCTTTTCCATTCATTCACGTGATTGTCCAAAAACTTATACCCTGTAAGTATCACAGTTAGTAACTTTCATTCTATTTTTTTGTTGTTTTTCATTTTCGCTTTAACATTTTTTATGTTTTCATACTCAGCACTAACAAAACTGTTCTGGGATGTTGTGGATTTCATGGTGATGTGCTTACACTGACAAAAACTATTGGAGCAAGACTCCAGGTATGTGATACTTATAGTATATAGAGTTTTTTTTTTTTTGCCTGTAAAAAGTTTTAATTAAGGATAGAGGTATTAATATAATATATAAATATAAACATGACATTCTGAAAATAATTTCTGTTCTTCTAAAACTTGAGTGTTTTATCTCATCTGCTGTAGATATTTGAAAAAGAGCACAGCAAAGTTATGCCAACTCCTTCTGTGTCTGCCATGCTTTCCACTATACTGTACTATCGCCGCTTCTTCCCATTCTATACCCATAATCTTGTAGCAGGATTAGATGATGATGGTAAAGTATTATACACTTGTAGTTTTTCTTTGTATTAAATTGTTACTGAATATTGTTTAATTATATTGAAATTTAATTATGTACCTGAACTGTATCACATGATTTAAATGAGTTATTTTATCTAATTTGTGATTATGTTTGGGATCTCTCAGGCAAAGGATGTGTCTATAGCTTCGATCCAGTTGGGTCCTATGAGAGAGAGGTTTACAGAGCCAAAGGTTCTGCCTCTGCCATGCTACAACCACTATTAGACAACCAGGTAGGTCACTGAGTACTTTATATTGTGTAGTATAGGATTGCGTATTGGAAGGAATGAGTGCACAACTGTTAATCCAAAAGTCACAAGGCCATATAATGTCAGCATCTGAAAAGTGCCTGACTAAGGGAAAGTAAATTCAGATGGGCATAGTGCTAACCCCAATATCCCTTCAAATGTCAAGGTCACTGAAACAGGTGAACACCTTTTTACCTGCCCAATAATCACCAGGTTCAAAATGGTAATTTTTATATTGTGTAGAACAGTAACGTTTCTATTTGTACAGTGCATGATTAGTAAAACACAGATTTGTAATTATATTTAGAAATACACTTTTTTAACCTTTCATGCATCCCTTATGTACACATATATATTACCTACTGTGGTGCAGCAAGAATTTTGTTGTTGCAGGGTTTCTTTTTATTTTGTGTTTAATTTATCTTTTTTTTATTTTCTAGATAGGAGGCAAGAATCAGCAGGGTTACAACGTCCAACCTATGCCACTGCAGCGCTGTATTGCTATGGTGAAGGACGTTTTCACCTCAGCAGCCGAACGTGACATCTACACTGGAGACAATATTCGCATCACTGTGGTCACTAAAGATGGGATCAACACTGAATCATTCCCGTTGAGGAAGGATTAGTTTTCTAACACTTTTTTTCTGTTGTATGTTTTGTCCCCAAGAAATTTATCAGTGTTGGATCATGCTTTTTTAACTATGGTATAATGCTAAGTTAATTTCATCCATTTTATTCATTATTTTCAAGTTCTTTTTGCTGCATTGTTTTTTAAAAAAATGTGTATTGTTTGTATTGGAAGAAACACAGGAACTGTTTATTATGTATAAACATCTGATAATAAATTTGAATTAAATTATCTATGGTTATAATTTTTTATTATATTTAAATGTTTTATTTTGAAGTATTAAGAATAGTCCATATTGCCCTGTTACATAGGATTATCCCAAATTTGTACAGCTAATTTTAGCTAGTCTGCAATGATGTTTTTACTGACATTTTTCTGTACAGAGTTTTATTGATCATTGAGATTCAGCATAGGTTACTTGAAATTAATTAGACAATTGGGTTTTAAAAAATGGATGTCTTACTTAAAAGGAATCATAGCAATTAAGAAATTAAAAAAAAATTACATCTTTAATATTAATTGTCATGTTGGTAAATGTTTTTGCAATTAATGCTTAATTATAATTGAAAAAAAAAACCCACAATAAATTCTTCAGCTTACAGGCTGGAATACAATTTAATTTTTTTATACCTTTGCCATTACAAAAATAAATAAATTTCAAATATATTAATTTTCAATCAGAGTAAAGATGAAGCATTAATTCAACACGGCTACATAATACAAAACTATATAAAGTCTGTGACAGATGACTAGTAAGATTGTGAGTCTTGGTAAACAATTTAAATATAGCATGACAACAAAGCTGTTTCTATAAAGAGTGCAATTTTCAAAAGCTACAACATAATCCTATAGAAAATTTTAAGCAAAAAGATACTGAGAATATAAGTTGCTTTTTGATTTCTGCTTCATGTTCTGGACAGGATAGATAAGTATTAACTTTAAGGGATGAGAAACAATATTCAATTCTTACACACATCACTTCTTTCTCTTCCCTTTCTTTTTTTTCTTTCCTCCTTTTTTCTTTTTTCCCTTTCCAGACTTTCCCTTTTTTCCTTTCTTTTTGGTTTTTGAATCTGATTTTTTCTCAACTTTAGGAATTGAAAAGTCTGGAATTTCTGGTACATCAGACTCAACAACAAGATCAGGCATTTCACCTTTCTCAGCTGCTTTTAATACTTTCCATGTCTCTGAGTTATACTTGCACATGTCTTTAGGAATAAGGCTGTTGTCGTTTCTTGTTTTGAGTTGAGCGCCTGCAGCAACTAGATATTTAACCGTGCTTGTTCTGTTATCTGGATCGAAGAGTAAATGCTTATACTGGGTGGTAAATTGGTTTTAGATAAATTTAAAGAAATTTTTAAATAACCATATATCATTGTGCACCATTATATGAAATATTTTTAATGTGTAGTACTGATTTTTGTAGGACTAAAAAAGATAATTTGTCTTACTGATATTTTGATCTCAAATTTATACATAACCCTCATGGTAAAAGTTTATCAATCAGTCATACACAAAAATCTGTGGATTTTTACTAGTAGATATCCCAAAAAGGTGAACTTATACTTTATTTAATGAGCTAAATAGTAATAAATTAAATAAGTATAAGAGTTAAATCAGCAGTAAATCCAATCCAACCAAGTGATGCTAGGTACATATGACTAGGTAAATCATTAAGTTTTAGAGTGGTAGGCAATTTGAGAGTTGGACACACTTGGGTCTGGCTGGCTTTAGAGCTGAAGCCTGTTAATCATCCTTATAAGACTAATAAATAAGGACCATTGAAATCATGTGTTCTATTATCACATTCCAACAAAATAACTTGATGTAAAACAAAAATAAGAAAAAAATTACTTCTAGCGGCTAAATGGAGAGGTGATACATTAGACCCTACTGTCTGATCCATATCAACACCAGCATCAAGAAGTATTTTCACAACCTCACTGTGTCCAGCTAAAAAGTTATCGAACAAAAAAATAAACATATCAAACTTAAAAAGTATATGGATTCTTTGTCTAGATAAAAGACCATCTCCAGCTATGCATTGCACTATTTATTCTTTCCCAAAAGTATGTAGAGCTGTAGATCTAATATACTACAGAGGGACTGTACTACAGTCACTGTAGTCCATTAAAATTAAATAGATTATTAGATACTGATACTGCTACTAAATCTAAGTAGACTCTAGATATATTATAAAAAATGAGTAAAAGATAAAATATTTTTTTAGTGACAGGCCTATGATGGGCTATGCCAATAATTATGAGTAGCCTAACTGAATTGATTAGTATTAGTATTACTTCATTTGGCATAACTAAGCTGTTTTTTTCTACATTATCTTACCGAGACATGCAACACTGAGCGGTGAATTACCATAGTCGTCAGTTACAGAAATGGGTATTTTCTTTCTTATTAGTTTCCTTAACGTGGAGATATCCCCTGCCTCAGCAGCAGCAACCATTCTCTTTTCAAAATGAACATTTGAGTATAAATTTACATGATTTGAATTTGAAGCAGTCAAAGTTCCCATTTCTTTAATTATTAATTATTTTTATGCAAATGAAATATAATAGTAATAATAGATCTATATCGGCTGTTACTTAGATCTTTATTATTTTTACTAAGACACTCCTCTGTAATTCAAATCAGGAACATGTCAATGTTATCAATTATTTTCAATGCAGCATAATATTAATAATATGCAATCGGGCTAAATAAAATGAAAAGCTAAATTTTGTTTTCATAATTGCCTGGCAACTCTCTTATCGACTTCTATCGTTAACTGCATTTCGTTCGGAACGCAACATAAACAATCTGGGACAAAAATCATAAAGTCTGTTTAAGTTGTGGCAAAAAACTAAATCCACTTTCATGGGTCTCGCTTACAATATGTATTTCTTTTAATGGGTTCCGAATGATAACGGAAACATATTTAAAGATGCGTTTTGTGCTATGAAATATTAGAAAATACCGCACTGCCAAAAAATAAAAATAAAATTATTTCAGCATGCTAGCTCTCTCGTGCTCTCGAAACACAAAGCTCATTTTTAATTATCATTTTTTAAATCCAAAACCAACATTTTATGTTTCAGTATATGGTTGCAGTCGAGCGGGGCGCAACAGTAAGATATCGCTTTATTTGTAAAATACTATAACTGCAATATGATTTGTAGTCTATAGTGTGAGTTAATAATAATAATAATATCAGCTGACAACGATGGATCTAACTTTACCAACTTATTTATTTTTAAATGGCCCAAACAGAAACCCCCATTGAGATATAATCTACTTAGGCAAGTTCGACGATTTGTCAATCCGTATAATGACTAATAAGCACAAAACTTCGATTCGGGTCATAAGTCGAAGCCTACTTAATTTTAATCAGAACTCACAAGGTAAAAGCAAACGGAGGTCATCCGAACTTTCCCGTATGTTTTTTTTTTTTTTTTTGGAAGATCGGGGATCCACCCAACCAATATACATTGAAACATATAGAATAAAATTTGAACGATTTGCCTCTTATAAAAATTATGAAAACTTATAAAAATTGCTAGGCCATTCCTCGATTAGCATATTACATATGAGTATGGCCGGGGGAAGGGAGAAGGGGGGGGGGGGGGTTAGCCCACAAAATGTTTAGCAACGCTCATAACAAACGAATTCGAGAAGTGTTTATTAGCATTAAATTCACGCCATACAGATCTGGTCTCTAATGCAATAAATAGCATTGAATGATAGCCAGAGTTTCTTCCAGGCATCTCTTCGGGGGGTGGGGGGGGGGGGGGAGCGAAGCCCCCCGAAATTTTTTTACCGCCCCCCCCCGAACGAAATGAAATTTATAGTTCATATAGAAAATATATACTTTTAACAGTGTCCCCCCCCCCCCCGAAGATAGTCTACCGCCCCCCGAAAATTACAAGTGCCCCCCCCCCCCCCCGGAGAAAAAGTCTGGAAGAAACACTGATGATAGCAAAGTCTCAATAGTTTGTACAGTAATAATAATAATAGGCCCTAATAATAATAACAATAATAACAGTTCCAAATTTCAATGTTTTTTACACGCTTTAAAATTCGCAACGTCTGTTTGTTTGTGTCTAATTCAAATCTTGCAACTTCATTTCTTCTGTTAACATTACTTTTCAGTTATTTACTGTATCTGGCGTAATTTGAATTAGGTTTATGAAGTAGGCCTGTAGACTAGATCAAGATCCTTGGCCTAGATCTAGATTCTAGAATCTACATATTACACACGATAACAACACAGTCGTTATTGGTCTGTTAAATTACTGTTTCATGCTTTTTGTTTGAGCTTGGTTGTCAAGTGACCTTTGGTCTTTTTATTGGACTTTGCATTGTATGAAAGGCTGCACACAGGATTTTGCAGTGTGTTATATTCTCTTCGTGTTTTGGCTTCCCATGGCATTGGCATTTGTGTTGCGTTGCGATTGTTGATTGTGGTCATGTGATACAGCGATTTGCATTTGAACCATCAATATTCAATAATCAATATTCATTGAATGCAATGTGTAGTGTAGTGTTAAGTGTATTATTATAGTTTATAGATCTAGTATTATTAGTATTATTAGTAAAATATTAGTAGTATTAGTAGGCCCTATTAATTAGAAGAATTGAATAAGCCTAGGGGCCTAGTAGGGGCTAGCTACTAGTTACTACTAATACTAGTCTAGCTAGAGATCTATCCCTGAGCTCTAGTGTTTATTCTGCTCTTACACGACTTACAGTGTTAGTGAGTAGTGTAGTGTAGTGTCATGCCATACACACAGGTCACAGTGCCATAGATGATCGAGGGCATAGCCATAGGCCTAGTAAATTTATTTTTATTATCTAGGCCTAGTAATTTTAGATTACAATTATTATTATAGGCCATTTATTATTAATTATTAATAGTTTAATAGGCTATTTAAAAAACTATTTTATATTTTATAGGCCTACTTTTACTTTATTAACTGAATAACTTAGGCTACTACTACTTGTCACTACTTGTAACTTGTTAATATTTGTTAGTACTAATAGTAAACTAATAGTACTGTTAGAGTTACTTAGATCTAATAGAAATAATAATTAGTAGGCCTATAGGCATAGGTCTAGTTAATATTAGTATAATTTGTACTATAGTAACTTAATAATGGTAATTAGTAAGGCCGATTCTAGCCGGAAAAAGATACGCATGCGCAATGGAGATAAACTACGACGTGATGTTTTCGATGGTACTGCGCATGTGTGTGTTTACAACTGTAGAACCCTAATCCTATCCCTAACCCTAGCTCAAATATTGAAGTCACTGTGCATGCGCAGAACTATCTTTTGCAGGCTAAGTGGAGATGCTGGGGCGAAAAATCTTTTTCCGAGTAGTCACTTCGAATTAGTAAATCTGTTAAAAAAACTAGAATCGATCTAGTGTAGATCATAAATTAAAAGGGGTGTTAGGTTACTGGTAGTTATCTAAATACACACATGGCTGGCTAATGTAAATGCTAACCATGTCCCTAACCCAAACCCTGGTCCTACCATACGCCTAACCCTAATTTCTAACCATAAAATAATTAAAATTAGTTGAGATTACAATACTACAAACAAACCAACACACCTAATTTATGGAAGAGTCTGTTATCGGACATCGGTATCTAAAATCATCCATTAACTTAAAAAGTTATAATCTAAATCAACTATCGAGATCTTTAGCCTATTAAAATTAATTTTAGAACATATTTTAGCTTATTTAATTTTAAACCTAATAGGGCCTAATTTTAATAAATTGTAATTTCTTCTTTTACAGGGTCTTCACACCAGGGGATGATAGCATATTAATTTCAGTTGTAGATCTATATACCATGCCAGCAAACTGACAGTATTACATTTTCTAAAATGTCAGCACTAGTCATTAAGTGTACTGGTTTCCTGGTACTAGGCACATTCTTTCTGTTCGTGCTGAACTTGACATTGTTGTGGTCATTGGTGGCATTGTTTGCGATTTATCTTGCAACAGGAGGATGGAGATTTATGAGGGTGTTTGCACTCACAGCAACCAGGGATCTTAAGTAAGTAGCTACAGAAAGTCACTTGTACAATTGTATTCTTAATAACACTCATGTTTAGGCTATATAAATTAAATTCTGAAAGTTTGATAAGCAGGGACACATAACTCTGTCCAAAGTTTGTGTGCTTGTGTTTTTAAAGAATTATTGTACTTACACACATTTTTAGAATGACATTACTCCTCTTCCCTCTTCAGTTGGTTCTTATTATAAAAACTGTGTAGCTGATACTATTACTATTGATGCCATAATCTTCCTCTTTGTTGGGCTAAACCAACTAAAGAAGGTGTTTTATTTTTAAAAAGTTATTTAATGATAGTGAAATAATAAAATGATTCTTGCAAATATTTCACATTAATTACTTTTTTTTTTTTTGCAACTAAGAAATACTGATGTACTTAATTTTTACTGTTACTGTGAGTAACTCTCTGACAGTTGGTTTTAAAACATGTTTTAAAGAAATAATCAATATTATATGAATTTCTTATTTCTTCAGTGCTCTGAGATGCTTGATTACAGTAAAACTTAGAGTGAGGAGAAATCTAAAGAATAATATGACAGTGGTAAAAATATTTGAAGGCACTGTACGCAAAAATCCAAACAAGGCATTCGTACACTTTCAGGACCAAGTGTGGACTTTTAATGATGCAAAACTCTATGCAGATAAAATTGCAAACTTCTTTTATGATTCTGGCTATAGAAAAGGGGATGTGATTGCTCTCTTCACAGAGAATTGTCCCCAGTACATTCCATTGTGGCTGGGTATGTCCAAAATGGGCATAGTTGCTGCACTTATTAATTTTAATTTGAGAGACATGTCACTGGCACATTGTATAAAGGTAAATTGTTTTTATAATTGAGCTCTTTGACAGCTTAAAAAACCTGTTTAAAATAAGTTGTTTGTTTTAAAATTATTTTACTCTTTTAAATCAGACACTGTTTTGTGTGATCATTTAGATTTCAGAGGCAAAAGCTGTTATTTTTGGTGAAAATTTGGTTGAAGGTAAGCAAACAGTAAAAAAATTGATTATATTAATTTGAAAGTAGCTGTTAAAGTAGGTTATACTTTTTATTTTGCTCTAAAAACACAAGAATGCTGCTACTGCCATTCAGTAAAATTTAATTAGTAGAATACTACACTATATTAAGACTGAATTTAGGGTAGTAGTTTAGCTCACCCCTAAATGACTTAATTTTTCAGGATGATTGCTTTTGTTGAATTAAAACTACTTATTAATACAAAAGTTTTGTCTTTTCCCCCCAGCCGTTAAAGATATTCGTCTTAGTTTACCACAGAGTACAGTTTACTTTTGTCTTGGAAATGTTAGCCAAGCAGATTTCTCAGCAGTCAACTTGGACAATGCTATAGAAACTATCCCATTGTATGAGATACCAACAGTCAACGTGAAATGTTCTGGTATGTCTTAAATATATTTTCTGTAGTAAGTTTTTTAAATCCATGTTTGTAGTAAACAGAAGTGATCCATATCCAAGCTTGCAAGTAAACACTGCTGTTGTGTTCTGTTAATACATATCTTCTGTTACTGAAAAAATTGTAAGTGTAGTTTGAACTTTGAAGTTTTTTCTGTCTTTATAAAATTTTATAACCGTAACACATGATTAAGCCAATTGTGATGAATATTATCAGTTTGTATAAGATTTGAAGTTTTAAAACAATTTACCCATGCAACAGATGTATAATGAATTAATGCATGTTTTAACTTAAGGCTGAATTGAAAATAAAGCTTGTATGATATAAATTGACTTGGTATCTTTCCTCAGATAAATTATACATTGACTACACCTCTGTGTACATCTTTCCCCAGATAGATTATTCTATGTCTACATGTCTAGTACAATATGCTATAAATAGACCTGGTATCTTTCCCCTGATAGATTATTCTATGTCTACACCTTTGGTACATTTTATATAAATAGACCTGGTATCTTTCCTCAGATAGATTATTCTATGCCTACACCTGTGGTACATTTGATATAAATAGACCTGGTATCTTTCCTCAGATAGATTATTCTATGCCTACACCTGTGGTACATTTGATATAAATAGACCTGGTATCTTTCCTCAGATAGATTATTCTATGCCTACACCTGTGGTACATTTGATATAAATAGACCTTATATCTTTCCCCAGATAGATTATTCTATGTCTACACCTCTGGTACATTTGATATAAATAGACCTGGTATCTTTCCCCAGATAGATTATTCTATGTCTACACCTCTGGTACATTTGATATAAATAGACCTTATATCTTTCCCCAGATAGATTATTCTATGTCTACACCTCTGGTACATTTGATATAAATAGACCTGGTATCTTTCCCCAGATAGATTATTCTATGTCTACACCTCTGGTACATTTGATATAAATAGACCTGGTATCTTTCCCCAGATAGATTATTCTATGTCTACACCTCTGGTACATTTGATATAAATAGACCTGGTATCTTTCCCCAGATAGATTATTCTATGTCTACACCTCAGGTACAACATATGCTATAAATAGACCTGGTATCTTTCCCCAGATAGATTATTCTATGTCTACACCTCAGGTACAACAGGCCTTCCTAAAGCAGCTGTTGTTACAAACACAAGGTAAGTATCTGGGCCACTTGTTATCACAGAAGTTACATGTTGATGATGTTGTGTTTTCTACATACCTGGGTACATGTGCACTTATCAATTGTTAACCTTATTATCTGTTGTGACTAGCTGTCAAACACTTGAGGTTTATTTTAAATATTGATAATGCAGATAAGTCAAATACTGATAAGTATGTTATAAACCTCGACCCCCTTTGGAATTTTTATCTTCAGCTTTTTTATCTTTAAGCAAGTATTATGATGCTTTAAAAAAAGTATTCATTGTTTTCATACCTGCTTTCGTTACATGTAACCTTAAAAAACTAGATTACTTTTTTTTTGCATCTTCTTTCATAACCTGTAACCTTTGGAAGATAAATACCAAAAAACAATTATCAATAGTCTTTACATCATGAGAACCATCTTTGTCAACCATAAAAAAAATTCAAAAGAATAAAAAGCTGTATTTTGTTATTCAGAATTTCTAACACTCTCTTAAGTCTTTTCAGCTTAATAAATTTCCACTTATTTCCTTTTGTAGCTTCTTCTTGTGTATTTAATTAACCTGTGTGTTTTATTATGTTGTTGTTGTTTTGTAAACCAGTTAAACTATTCAATTATAATATCTGTATGCTGACAACTTACCAGTTTATTATTGTTAAAAAAAACCCTACAAAGGTATTTATGTAATGTAGCAACCTTGATGTACTTATCTCTGATCAGGTTCTGTTACATTGTGTTGTTGTTTTGTAAACCAGTTAAACTATTCAATTATAATATCTGTATGCTGACGAACTAACCAGTTTATTATTGTTAAAAAAACCCTACAAAAGTATTTGTGATGTAGGAACCTTGATGTGCTTATCTCTGGTCAGGTTCTGTTACATGGTGTTGTTTTGTACACCTGTTAAACTATTCAATTATATCTGTATGCTGACGTACTAACCAGTTTATCATTGTTAAAAAAAAACCCTACAAAAATATTTGTGATGTTGGAACCTTGATGTGCTTATCTCTGGTCAGGTTCTGTTACATGGGCTACGGTGTTGAGCTGATGCTGGACATCAGCCCCAAAGATGTCATCTACATCTCCCTGCCACTGTACCACACAGCTGGGGGAATCATCGGTGCTGCGCAGGCCATCCTGTCTGGGACCACGCTGGCCCTGAGGACAAAGTTTTCAGCCAGCCAGTTCTGGACTGATTGTGTCAAGTACCAGTGTACAGTAAGTATAGGGGGAATGTCAAGTACTAGTGTACAGTAAGTATAGGGGGAATGTCAAGTACCAGTGTACAGTAAGTACAGGGGGGAATGTCAAGTACCAGTGTACAGGGGGAAACTTTTGTGTTGAGTACCAGTGTACAGTAAGTATAGGGGGAATGTCAAGTACCAGTGTACAGGGGGACATTTTTGTGTCAAGTACCAGTGTACAGGGGGAAACTTTTGTGTCAAGTACCAGTGTACAGTAAGTATAGGGGCAAACTTTTGTGTCAAGTACCAGTGTACAGTAAGTATAGGGGCAAACTTTTGTGTCAAGTACCAGTGTACAGTAAGTATAGGGGGAATGTCACGTACCAGTGTACAGTAAGTATAGGGGGAATGTCAAGTACCAGTGTACAGTAAGTATAGGGGGAATGTCAAGTACCAGTGTACAGTAAGTATAGGGGGAATGTCAAGTACAAGTGTACAGTAAGTATAGGGGGAAACTTTTGTGTCAAGTACCAGTGTACAGTAAGTATAGGGGCAAACTTTTGTGTCAAGTACCAGTGTACAGTAAGTATAGGGGGAATGTCACGTACCAGTGTACAGTAAGTATAGGGGGAATGTCAAGTACCAGTGTACAGTAAGTATAGGGGGGGAATGTCACGTACCAGTGTACAGTAAGTATAGGGGGAATGTCAAGTACCAGTGTACAGTAAGTATAGGGGGAATGTCAAGTACCAGTGTACAGTAAGTATAGGGGGAATGTCAAGTACCAGTGTACAGTAAGTACAGGGGCAATGTCACGTACCAGTGTACAGTAAGTACAGGGGGAATGTCAAGTACCAGTGTACAGTAAGTATAGGGGGAATGTCAAGTACCAGTGTACAGTAAGTATAGGGGGAATGTCAAGTACCAGTGTACAGTAAGTATAGGGGGAATGTCAAGTACAAGTGTACAGTAAGTATAGGGGGAAACTTTTGTGTCAAGTACCAGTGTACAGTAAGTATAGGGGGAAACTTTTGTGTCAAGTACCAGTGTACAGTAAGTATAGGGGGAATGTCACGTACCAGTGTACAGTAAGTATAGGGGGAATGTCAAGTACCAGTGTACAGTAAGTATAGGGGGGGAATGTCACGTACCAGTGTACAGTAAGTATAGGGGGAATGTCAAGTACCAGTGTACAGTAAGTATAGGGGGAATGTCACGTACCAGTGTACAGTAAGTATAGAGGGGAAACTTTTGTGTCAAGTACCAGTGTACAGTAAGTATAGTAGAAGCTTTTTTTGTCTTAGTTTAAACTAAAAATTAAAAAGTAAGTTGTTTAAATTCTGTATTAACAAAAAAGTCATTGTTACACTCTATCACTTAAAAATATGTGTTTTTAAAACTAGCTTCTGTATTGGGTATTTGCCAATTGAAGACGGCTTGGTGTTATTTTATTTCAAAATTTGAAATTATTTACCACATTACTCTAGATGAGAAAAATACCATTTAAAACTATCTGAGTAGACTGATGAGCTAAACTTAAAACAAAAACAACAATATCAATTATCATTGACTACTCATTATTATCAACCAGATTTCAAATATTAACTTAGGTTTAATTTTCATTAAAAGAAACATTAGGAAAATGCAAACTTTACTGTGAAATATTTTACATTCATTTGCTTAGATATTCTCTCTGTCTTCATATTTCTCTCTCTCCTATAAGTTTAGCTGATCCTTTAGTGTTGTTTTCTGTCTCAGGTGGCCCAGTACATAGGAGAGTTGTGTCGCTACCTGTTGGCCCAGCCTGTGAGACCTGAAGAAACACAGCATTCTGTCTCTGTCTTCATATTTCTCTCCATCTCTCTCCTATAAGCTGTAAGTAACTAATGCTTTAGTGTTGTCTTCTGTCTCAGGTAGCCCAGTACATAGGAGAGCTGTGTCGCTACCTGTTGGCCCAGCCTGTGAGACCTGAAGAAACACAGCATTCTGTCAGACTCATGTTTGGCAATGGAATCAAACCTCAAATATGGAAACAGTTTCAGGACAGATTTGGAATTAAAATGATTGGGGAGTTTTATGGCGCTACTGAAGGCAATTGTTCTATAGGTAACATGGCTTTGCTACTTCAGTACGTTTTTGTATTAATCTTAATAATAATGAGCTTTGAACCAAATAATTTTATTTTGTTATATATTGCCAAATGTGTTACATTGATGTTTAATGTAAAAAAAATACCTATAGGAGTTTATCACCATACTGAAAAATCTCTCTTAAGTTAAGTATTACATTTTTGATAGTTTCATTTTTTTTGCCTTATAGAAAGAAAGCGCCATGATTTTCTCTCCTATTCTTTATCTAGTTAACAACAGGAACAAAATTGGTGCAGTGGGATTCACCACAAGGATATTACCTTTCCTTTACCCAATTACTTTGATCAAAGTGGATCTTGAAACTAACGAGGTCTGCCGTGATAAGAATGGGGTGTGCATCAAAGCAGAACCAGGTTTGTCATTTTTTTTTTACTAATTTTCTGTTCATAGTAAACAAATGGGGCAAAGGTTAATGTGACTAACATTGCTGTTGTGTTACATCACTTATTGGGGTTGAAAATTAAGTTTTTTTGTGTTTAACCGCTTAATATTCATTCGTTCTATAAGTACATGCTACAGTAGATAATTATCTCTGACCATAGATTTTCTACTGTTATGTCAGTCTTGATTTAGGTATTTACTAGAGTTGTATCGAATGTTGCTATTAAAGATGAAGATAGACCATCTCTAGGATTTTAACTTAAACTATTTAAGGTAGTAACATGCACTGAACTAGGAATCACTTCATTCCCCATTAGCATTAAGTCGGATCCACAGTATTTTACCTTCATTTTCTTGTCACTTAAATATTAAGCATAAATGACATTCAATATGTAAACTAATTGCTAATTGTCAAAATTGATTTTTAGTCACTACTAAATTTTTGTTTTTTTGGGTCAAGTCTATGAATCACAAAGTTCTAAGCATCACTTATGGAAAAAAAAACGGAATAATATGGTCATGTACCTGTGTACCCCAATGTATTTTGTTTTTGACATCTACTGTAACATCTCTGATTACAGGTGAGCCAGGTGAGCTGGTAGGTAAAATAGTTAAAGGAGATCCAGTTCGTGAGTTTGATGGATATGTGGATGACAAAGCCACTACTAAAAAAGTTATCCGAGATGTTTTTTCCAAAGGAGACTTGGCATTTTCCACAGGTAGCTAGTATATACATACAAGTGGTGTACTAAAGTACTATATCTTACACTTACATCTACATATATATATACATACATTTACATATATGTGTATATATATACACATATTTATATTTATATATGTATATACAGTTATATATGCATGATTCAAAGTCTGATTGTTTTGTTCCAGGTGATATACTGGTTATGGATGAATTAGGATTTTTTTACTTCCGTGATAGAACTGGAGACACATTCAGATGGCGAGGAGAGAATGTTAGCACCAGTGAAGTCGAGGCCGTAATTAGCAATGTTGTTGGGCTAAAAGATGCAGTTGTGTATGGGGTGGAGGTCCCAGGTACATTCTTTTTAAAAAAAACATCAGTTTTTAATGTTAGGTTCCTTTAATTCTTATGAACTTCTTCATCAGTCAAAGTTTGTAATAAATGTATTTTTTAGTTGTAACACTGCTGTTGTTGTTACTGGTGTTTATTTTTAAAACTGTGTTAACTGTATTTACATATACCTCGCTGACTCTTTGAGTTTTATTATGATTGCATTACATGGCAGTTTATATGCTTTTTGCTGTAAGAATCTGTCTGTTTAATGTAAAAGAAAATAATATAAGTTGTACATTAGTTAGGGCCTAACTAGTGTTTAGATTTGATATGGTTAATACCATATTGCATAAAAATCCAGATGTTCAATACTCTCAACATTTAAATGTGGTGTGTATTTCATTTGAATGTCATGTAAATTCAGAATTAAAAGTTACTATTTTAGTCACTTTGATGGGTTTTTTTTTTAATATTAAAAACAAATGTTATGTTTATAATATTAATTTTATTTTTATGAAAAATTTTGGGAATTTGAGTGCAGAAATGTACTTGTCTATTTCAGGATATGAAGGTCGGGCTGGTATGGCAGCCATTGTAGATGAAACAGGTTCAATCAACACACATCAGTTAGGCCTGTCTTTGAGCCGTGCACTGCCTGCTTATGCCAGACCATTGTTTATAAGGCTGTTAAAGGAAGCTGACACAACTGGTAGGTTGAATTGATATTATAAGGCTGTTAAAGGAAGCTGACACATCTGGTAGGTTGAATTGATATTATAAGGCTGTTAAAGGAAGCTGACACAACTGGTAGGTTGAATTGATATTATAAGGCTGTTAAAGGAAGCTGACACAACTGGTAGGTTGAATTGATATTATAAGGCTGTTAAAGGAAGCTGACACAACTGGTAGGTTGAATTGATGTTATAAGGCTATTAAAGGAATAAAGGAAGCTGACACAACTGGTAGGTTGAATTGATATTTCAAGGCTGTTAAAGGAATTGACACAACTGTTAGCTTGAATTGTTATTCACCGGTTGGTCATGAAGCTGTCATTCATGAGTAGCTTGTAAAAAAAAGATGAAAAAAAAAGATATATTTTTTATTAAGAATAATGTATTATTCTTCAACTGCTGACCAAAAAATATGCAATCCAAAACAACTATGAAAACAGGAATTTGGGTACACAGTTATTTTTTTCTGTTGTGCATTTTTCTGGGAACATCTCATTAGAAAGAAACTTTAAAATTTATTGTTATTAGAAGTGGGTTAATACATCTTTTTATGATGAATGCTTTTTGATTTAGTAGATGAAAGTACAGAGTATTTAGTAATCTTGCTCTTTCTTAATTCGAACAGGCACATTCAAGCTAAAAAAAACCAACCTGAGAGATGAAGGGTTTAATGTGACCACCATCAAAGATCGTATCTTTATCCTGGATCAGCGGACACAGCAGTATCAGGTGTTGACTCCTGACGTCTATAAGAGTGTGCTGGACGGCAGGCTGAGAGTGTAACTGGGATGAATAAAATGTAATCAGATGGGTCACTCCTAGGATATTTATTTGTTTTTAGTATTTATTTAATTTTGTTTTATTGACACATTCAAATTTATTTACATTAAAAAAAAAAATTGTTTTATACTTTTTATATATAACTATATTATCTTATCTGAAAACTACATTATTTAGTAAAATTTAAAAATTCTTTTCATGAACAATAATTAGGAATGTCTTAAATGTTATTGATGATGTGTTTTTTTAGTCATGGAATCTCATTGTTTTGTTTAAAAAGGTGTGAATCATATAAAAGATAGTGTTTGATGTATATGACTATGCACGGATTTAATCCAATCCAAGTTATGCAAGCTTCAGATAACTCTGTTTCTACTCTCTGTGATACATATACCTCATCACATTTGCCTTTCTACCACTTGATCTACTTCACATGCCCTCTCTGATGTTGTCTGTTTATGACATTATTTGAAAAAGCTCATGCAATTCTATCTTCCCAAGACTGATTTATTAATTAATTACTGCATTGCTGATAGGATAAAATGTCTATTACAACTTTCGTTAATACTTTAGAATAATTTATTCTTAAAAATCAGTCTTGTTTAAATTAGTTTAACATCCTTGCGAATGGTTTAAGGCCACTTTGCTTGTTATTTGGGTGGGCATTTACATTTGTGTGTGTACAAGATGAATATACCATGATCAAGCTCATGAAGAATGTTACTGTTTTATGAGGCTCAATATTCTTGCATTCCATTCGTCTCTCTTCCTAGTTTGCAATTCTATATAATTCTTTTAAAATTTCTTGCATTGTGAAATGAAATTACCATGTTTAAACAAACTACTTTTGTTGAGGGTTATATTGCCAGGATTTATGAAGGAACTTTGTGACCTGCTCATTTATTTGGTGTCAGTTCTGGCAAGACTTACTTAACCTGAACCTTGATGTTGTTCTAACCTCTCTTAGGATAACCATCACCGTAACATTGCTTACTTATCCACTCTTTAGTAACCAGATATTTTTTTTTCTATATACTCAGCTTGCTCCAGCACCAACAAATTGCTGGCAGGTTTTTATGTTTAAATGTGTCTATTGGATAATTGAAATGATGTGTAGAATGTTGTAAGTTGGCTTGGGTTGACCTGTTTGTGACAACAGTGTGAAAGGTGGAAATATTTGATTTCAGAGTTGAATCCATCCATGACCATTAACTGATCCTAGTGTTGTAGTTCCTTTGTTTATACAGCATGATCATCTCATCCATGATTATAGAACTTAAAGTTTTCCTGTAAGCATTTAGATTTTTTTGACAGGAGGAAAGGCACACATGCAAGATACCAGTATTACAATAGTTTTTTCAATGAATATACTATGGCACAACTGTCTCTCCTCATACAAATGTGCTAATCTTAGTAAGTTACACTTGTTTCTTTCTTTTTAAAATTAGCTACAAATATTCCATGACCAAGTAAAAAGAATTCATGAAAATGATTTATGTACACAATCTTATGCTTTAGTAGTGTTTAGTTAGTACACACTGTGTACTTAGTAAAATTCTGTTTAAAACTTGTTTCTTATTTTATTAATTTAAATGTGATTAAAATATAAATAAAATGTGATTAAGTAATGTGATGTCTAGAAATGTCTTATGAATTATATATTTAATGACATCAAAGTTGAACAGAAAAATTATATTAAAAGATGTCACTGTTGTGTACTGTAATTTTTAGGGCATTTGTCATTTACTCTAAATATACATGTGACTCTGTTTGCATTAAATATAAACTAGTCCCTAGTCTTCTAAACTTATTTGTTACTACATTGTTTGGAAAGATAATCTTTGTTGAATAGAATAATCTAATTAAAAATTCTCTTTACTAAAAAGTATTCTATAACCTACAACATGTAATAGATAACAATAAATATATTTGATACCAATATTCACCTTTGTTGATTTGATACAATTTTTACAACATATTAAAAAAGTATTCAATTTAGATTTTCTAGAGGGGTTAAATAAATAATAGCACATATGCATCAAGTATCAACAAACTCAAAATGAAATCAAGCAAAAAGTATTTTTATTGCATGTATTGTCTAGTTATTCCTGATGTATGCAGGGAATAACTTTACTGATAAAATAACAAAGAACAATGTTTTATACACAAGTAATTTACCAACTTCTTCAGAAAAAAATAGCTATTCATAATGGTGTTAGGTGGCCTGAGAGAGATGAATCAACGGCCAATATTGTGGCATGAAAATAAAACAGTATAAAATTCATTGCTAATAGTTAAGCAAATACATCCTTTGCCTAATGTAAGTCAAGTACCCATCAGAACTGGGTGGATTACATGAAATTCTATGGACTCAAATACAGGATCCAGCCTCGAGAGTGGTCATGGACTTTAACATCTGACCATGCAGTCTCATATGGAAAGTAAATGCAAATTTTATTTGTGAATGTTAAATTAAACACAAAAATGGCTAATTAAATTAAAAAATATGAATGTTAATAACTATTAAGTACAATCCTAGATTTAACTGTCACCGACAACAAACTGAAACAATTCTGAAGCAATAACTTAAACTACTCACTTAAACTACGTATGAAATCCAAGTCAAATTATTGAAATTGTTTCAGAAATTATTTCAGTTTTTACCCTTATTTTTCTTTAAACTAAAAAGAATTCAAGCAACTTTTGTAAACAAACCCGTTCAGCTTAATTTTCATTTGTCAAACATGTAAAAAATGCATTGTAAGTATATGAATACATAAAAATAAATGTCATGAATTTGAAAAATTCTTAGCATATACATAAGTGCATTTACAATGCAACAGAAATAATAATTATAAATCTTATTCACAGAAAAAGATTAATATATTTGCACGCATTTTAATGATATTGAAAAACAAAATTTAAGCTCAAGGCCAGACAAAAAGTTTCAGCAATTTATTACCCAACATAATCTTTATCAGTTTCTTTAAGGGTGATAGTTCATATTCACCACAAAACAGATCACGTTGCCAAAACCAAATTTATAACCTAATCATTTCAGTCAACACTGTGTGTTGGTTATATCAAAAAGTTCATCATAAGCAGTAACAAAACAATACTTTCTGTAGCATTTGGAGAAAATCTTCAAGCTTTTTTTATGCTTTTAAATAATCTAATGAATGTATTTGGTCAAATGATGATTTGTGAAGATTTTGAATCAAGTTTAAAAGTAAAAAATAAATAAATTGCTAAACCAACCAAATTCTCAAAAGTATTGTAACTAACATTTCCAATTCTAAGATTGACTAGAACATCAAAACTGCAAGATTAGTCTATTATATCAACACTAAAATAACGCAATTTTAGAAAAGCAGTAAAACAACATTTAAAAAAAAAAAAAAATCACAGTTATAGTAACAGCATAGGCAGAGTTTTGAAATAATTTATTTACATCCATTCAGTGTTGGAACATTGGAATTGTGAACACTTAAAAAGAATGTCAATTAAAAGTGTACAGCGTATATATGACTAAGCAGATACAGCGAGCTTAAAGTACTGATTGCTTTTGTGATCCAACATCAAATCCACACTTTTATTTTATCACAGAAATAGAAACGTGTATGATATAAATGTAATGTCCTTTTGTGTCTAAGTAGTATGATAAAACATTTGCTATAGATGGCTGAAGGATTTTCTTCAGTTTGGTAAAAATGGCTAATTGGCTCTATTCTAAATTTAGTACAAAAAACAATTACCCTTCTAAATATGGTAAAAATGACATTTTGATTTGGTTTGCTTTTAAATGTTGTAGAAATGGATAATAGATTTTCTTTTGAATCGGGTAAAAAAAAAGTAAATTGATTTCCTTTTAAATTTGGTATTACGCTGATTTAACCTATTATATAATATATCATATAACTTAAATAAAAAACAAATTCCTGACTAGCAAAGAATAAATGAAGCATTAAAAACATTATAGATTGTATAAAGCTTAAATAAAGTCGTCAACATTGGTTATTAATTGGTGAATTATTCAAAAATGAAAAAAAAAGGATTTCTTTAAGGCAAACTTTGCATCCATGGAATGACATCAGATGACTTTAAACAAGTCACATCACAGTTGTTATTGTGTATTCAATGATTGGGTCTTCTTAACTGAGGCCTTTTTCAGCAGGGACTTTCCAGACTGGAGAGAAGAAAAAACCCTTATATAAATAGTTTATGATAGAACCTATATTTCTCTTTATCTATATATATAATTCTCTTCTGGGATCAGTTAGAAAACAAGCTGCAAGCGCCTCCTTGCAGTCCCCTCTCTTTCTCTCTATCACTATCACTACCACCCCCACCCCACCATTGTCTGGTGAGCAGTGTTCACTCTAAATGTTTACAAAGCTAAATGTTTACAAATCGTAGAGCCGGGTTTCTATTAGGGGCAGATAATTTAGTTCGATTTTAAACTTACAGGAGGTAACTAAGAAATAACTAAGCGGAGGCTGCTTTCACGGGGGGGGGGGGGGGGGGGGGGGTGTAGTATCGGGGTTAGGGGAAAGGGGGGGGGGGGGGTTAGTGTTTTAAAGCAAATATTTTCAGTGGCAGCATTGGTACTGTCGAATTTACAAATTATGAATTACTGAAAAGTAGAAAATAAAACAACTAAATAGCGGCATATGATACGCTGCGGGTCGGCTCGTATGTTTAAAACAACATATGTCTACATGAAGAACACATCTTTTTTGTTGTTATAGTTTTTAAAACACAACCCAAATAAAACTAAACCTAATTTTTTAAAACCAGGAATGAAGATGATGAAAATAAAAATATGAGATCAACTTAATAAATATTTATTTCAAAAGATTCACAGCAAAAATTATCCTTCACAAGTTGTGTACAAAATTTAAGGCATGACTAGTTAAGTTATGAGTAAACTTAAAGGGAAGAATATAATCTGATATGGATTTATAAATTAAGTCATGGTGATTTTATACTGTTTTTTGTTTGTAATTTTTGTTGCCTGGAAAATATTTTTAGAATTTGAACTTGATTGTAATTTAGAAATTCATTTAAAAAAAATGCAATTGAAATTCCACAAAAAAAACAAAAGATGATTTTAATACGGGGTAAGCTGATAAACCATCACCAACAAGAGCACTGTCCTTCTAGTTAAAATATCAATCAACTCATGGTTCTCTAGTATATAAATCAGTTAAAAATTTCTGAATGAAGTACATACCAATTTACCATGTCAAATGACTGCATGAATAAGAAACAAATGAGAAATATAACACACAATCAGATGAACCATCAAACATTGATATCTAGGTAAAAAAAAAACATAACTCACTTTGTTTTTGCTACTAGTTCCTTCCCCTTCACTATTGTACTCTGGATCACTGTGAGCAAATTCATCATCTTCTTCATAGCCTTCCATCAAATTAGCTTCATCATCATCATCATCTTCATATATTAATTCTTCTTCAGAATCTGCAAACATTAAGACATACAATTTTTGTTAGTACTTGCTAAATTTACTTTTTTTTTTAAACATAACAAACTGAAAAACCAAACTGCTTAGTACAGTATTTTTTTTAACATCCACTGTATTGTTTTCTGTTAACAAATTTAAATCATGCTCAAAATTTGGGCACAAAGTTCATTCAGCATGTTGGCTTTTGTTAGTTGACAGCAATTAGCCATTATGACCATATTTTAAAAAATAATACATGGTATTATAAATGATAGTTATCAGTAATGACACCGGTTGTAGATTTTCATAATTAATCGAAGAAAGAAAACTTAAGAGTTTATTGTACAAAAAATAAAATGAAGTACTCTTTATGACCTATAGAATTTCTGTGAAAGGTGTGGTCAGCACTATGTTGGGATTGTATGGTCAGCACTATGTTGGGATTATATGGTCAGCACTATGTTGGGATTGTATGGTCAGCACTATGTTGGGATTATATGGTCAGCACTATGTTGGGATTATATGGTCAGCACTATGTTGGGATTATATGGTCAGCACTATGATGGGATTGTGTGGTCAGCACTATGTTGGGATTGTATGGTCAGCACTATGTTGGGATCATATGGTCAGCACTATGATGGGATTGTGTGGTCAGCACTATGATGGATTGTGTGGTCAGCACTATGATGGGATTGTGTGGTCAGCACTATGATGGGATCATATGGTCAGCACTATGTTGGGATTATATGGTCAGCACTATAATGGGATTGTGTGGTCAGCACTATAATGGGATTGTATGGTCAGCACTATAATGGGATTGTATGGTCAGCACTATAATAGATTGTGTGGTCAGCACTATGATGGGATTGTGTGGTCAGCACTATAATGGGATTGTACGGTCAGCACTATGATGGGATTGTATGGTCAGCACTATGATGGGATTGTGTGATCAGCACTATAATGGGATTGTACGGTCAGCACTATGATGGGATTGTATGGTCAGCACTATGAATGAATAATATGGTCAGCACTATAATGGGATCGTGTGGTCAGCACTGATGAGATAATATGGTCAGCACTATGATGGGATATGGTCAGCATTGTAATGGGCTTGTGTGCTCAGCACTAGCACTGGTTGAGTTCAGTGATGCCTTACAATCTTGTTTAAGGGTAAACTTTAGGTGACCCTGTATCACAAGTAGCATTTCTAGTAAATTGCCAAGTATCAAATAGGCCTAGAGTAGAACTATCAAATAGCCTACATTATGATGTTTACAAAAGACCCCCCCTCCACACTACATGTAATGACATGTATTATTTAAGTGGATATTAAAAACTGGATAAAAAATAAAACAACAAAACAAAATAAGACTTACCCCCAGCTAAGTAGTACCTACTCTTAGGGTTTTCAATTTTAGACACTTGCTCAGCTAGGTCAGTGAAATAGGCCATCACAGGGAGCTGACTCTGTAATGGAGCAAATCTCTGGTCAAACTAACAGAAATTTGTAAAAAAAAACAAACAAACTTTTTTTTATCAGGTAAACAAATCTCTGGTCAAACCAACACACGGAAATTAAAAAAAACAAAACAACAAACAAACTTTTTTTTATCAGGTGAACAAACATGTTAAACACGCAGCACAAATCTTGTTATAAACATAGCCTCGTAATAGCAACTGTTATGAGTCATTATGTGATGGCGTATATAGATATTGAAGATAGTACAAAATCTTGTTATACAAAGTGCCTCATAATAGCAACTGCTCAGAGTAATTTTATGAAGGGGGTGTACAGATATTGAAGACAAATCTTGTTATATACAGCTTCTGATAATACCACTTTGAATGAGTCATTATGTGATTTTGTTTCTTATTCATAACATATAAAATACCAACTGTTTTGAGTCATTCAGTGAATCAGTTTACTATGCACAGTCTGATAATACCAACTGTTTTGAGTCGTTATGTGATTTTTGTTTCTTATACACAACATCTAAAAATACCAACTGTTTTGAGCCATTCAGTAAATCAGTTTACTATGCACAGTCTGATAATACCAACTGTTTAGAGTTGTTATTTGATTTGTTTTACAAGGCTAAACTCAATGCAATACAAATCTCCAAATAGACAACTTCAATGGTCCGAAGTCATTGTAAGATCCAGCAGTACAGTAGAAGTGTGTTAAAAACTAAGGAAAGTTGTTTGTTAACACACTATGGAAAGGTTTCTTTCTTTGTGGGCCTTCATTTCTTTGGTGGACATTTCCGACTCCTTGAAGAGCTTGTCTTGAAGGCCTCCCTTGGTCCAAGCAGAGAACAGGGTCTTGCCGTGATGGTAGCCAGTTTCCTATGAGATGTGAGGTCAATCTATTTTATAAGTTACCTAACCATTATCATTTAATTTACATAATTGTAAGTTTAGTTTAAACGTAAATATATTTTTATAAATATATTTTTTATGATATCTTTATTCAAACAATTTAATTTCATTTACATAATTTTAAGTTTAGTTTAAAGGTAAATATATTTTTATAAATATATCTTTTTAAGTATTGTTTGTTCAAATAATTTGAAATATAGTTTAAACAAGAGGCCCTAAGGTAAATATATTTTTATAAATATATTTTTTATGATATCTTTATTCAAATAATTTTAAATTACTTAATAATTTCATTAATAAATTTTAAGTTTAGTTGAAATAAGAGGTGCTAAAATTTTCTAATAGTTTATTATACGAACTCTCCCCCATTGTTAAATATAATTTGTTAACCTCTAACTTTTATATGGTTTGATTCAATTTTACTCAGTCTCTAATCTATTCCACACCATCAATTAGTCATAAAATTACTTAAAGAATCAGGTTAGCGTTATCCATATAGTAAAACATGAATATGCCTGATTCATGGTTAAATGTTTAGTGTAGTAAAATTTTTTACAAATTTACTTACAACAATTTCATCAAAACTCCCAAACTGCAGAGTGGCGTATCTGTCTATAGGTGGCCTTATATACTCGCAATAGTCAGAGTTTTTAACAACCTCAAGCTGTCTTACACATGACACGTATGCCAGGCGGGACTGGATTTCTGTCATATCAGGCACCTGGTTGTTCAGCAATATACACAATTATTAATTTTTTTTTTTAAATTCAGTTGTTTAAATAGTTGTAGTATTCTGAAATGTAACATATTAAGAAGAATAAATCATTATAGTTTTTTTTCTTCACATTATTTATTTAATACTGACATTATGCTTAGTAACTTAATTTGTTTGGTCACTGAAACAAATTTATTTTCTAGCTTTTTCTTAAAATTAAAATAGCTCCTGATTCTATTTGATTGGTGCACTATACTTAAAAAACATGATGCTACACTTGATTAACCCTTCAACTTGACAAAATCCTTGACTCTAAATTCACAACATGCCTCACTTGATTAACCCTTTAACTTGACAAAATCCTTGAATCTAAATTCACAACATGCTACACTTGATTAACCCTTACTCTAACTGGCTTGGCCCAGGGGTTCCATCTCTTCCACAGCAGCCACCAGCCAGAGAGACAGTCCCCGTAGTTGGTCAGGTCCTTCTCGTCCTGGCTGCCCACATCTATAGCAAAGACAAACTTGGCGCCAAGGTTGTGCATTACATCAGCTGTGAGAAATTCCACCAGTTTTTTTTTAAATCAAAGTTTTGCAAAAACTTACAATACAAAACATAAGGAGTAATAAATAAATAAAATAGATATAATTTTATTTCACAATATTTTATAAAATCTAATTATTAAAAATAATTTAAAGAAACACTAACATTAAGTAATTTTTGTTTTGTTATACAAGTTTTTACACACTAATATATCTGTATAAAAATCAACATAAACAATCAATACATTTTAAATAAAAAAAAAAACTAGAATACTAACATAGATTAACATTCAACAACACATAACAAAAGCTTACAATTGTCTATTTATAATACATTTCTATAATATTAAACTGTAAGCTTGGAAAAAGTCCGGAGTAAGATGGACCTATCAGCCACTGATGGGATTGTATAGGTGGGATCGCTAACTGCAACTGAAAGCTATTACTTACTAGTACCGTTATTTAAGAAAATATTAATATATTATTAGTTTATCAATGTAATGTTTTGGTAGTTTATGAAAAATATATTTGGTAGCTTAGAATGTAAAGGTTTTGTATTGTATAATATGAGAGTTTGGTAGGTTTCATATTTTTTTATGGAAGGGTTTAATAATTCATCATGTAAAGGTGAAAGCTGGTTTGAAACTGGCACTTTAAAAAAATCTTGGTAAAATGATGCAAAAAGAAGGAGTAAAGATAAGCCTCACAGCTACATGCAAATTTCTGGCATTAGAATGTTTTTGCTATACATGCAAATACAAAAAAAGAAAAATAACAACAAATAATTCTAAGCCCTACAAATTTGTTACATGATGAGTTGGTATTGGGTGAAACAGGTTTAAAAAAAAATAATTCTTAATCTGTCATTTGACATTCAAGCAGTTAATTTTTTTTTAATGGGCAAAATTTTGCCAATTTAATGTGAAGTTAAGTATTTTCAAGAGTTAATTTTAGTTAAGAGAGTCACATTCATATTTATAAACATGTTTAAATCACTTTTTGTTTTTTTAACTTATATAAAATTAATCTTGATTGGATTGGTCCATAAAAAATGTGAATTGTTTTAAAGAACTTGTGCTACTTCTACTTTTTAATAATATTTTTAAAATTTTTTAAATTTAAGTCAGTAACAGCTGTGTGTTAATTAAAAAAAAAATGAAGAATGCGTTTAATTTTCTTTTTAAAAACTATGATGGAAGGGCATGTGCAACTGGCATAGATTGGATGGATCCTACCTGGGACGTTATTGATATATGCACCATCTAGCAGCAAATGTCCATCATTTGGATCACAGAGTGGTGCAAGATAGGGGTGGATAGACATGCTGGCTCGGACATAACGCCACAGACTCCCTGGGGGATGGGGAAAATGAACAGGACATTGTTAGTACCCAAGGAAGGAGGAGAAGTACCTGGCAGGTTATTGACGTATCCACCATCCAACAGGAGGTGACCGTCCAGGGGGTCACATAGTGGCGGCAGGTAGCCTGAGAGCGACATGCTAGCTCGCACGTAGCGCCACACACTGCCTGGGTGCACGGACAAAAAAAAAACAGAAAAAATTAGTTCTACCTTTCAACAACGAATTACAGTGGTTTTCATAGTTTTTGATTTGTGGTCCCTCATACTTGTTGGCTGGACAATATACAAGAATTAAGTACTATTATACAAATAATAATGTCACTATGTACTGTAGGTCATTTCCATTGAAAGGTGTTGCACTGCTAAAAACAACTGTATCAAAACATAAAATTTAAAAATTAACAACAGTCATAGACATTTTTTGTTTACACATCGAAATTAATCGAAGTATTGTTAACAAACAATGATGGCGTAAAATAACAACTAAAATACAACCATTACAAATCTAACACAGTAATCTCTGTTTTGGCTAGCTTCAAGTAGTTGGCCTACCTAGAGAGTGGACCCTCATACTGGAGTTGGATATATTTGTTGTAATACAGAAGTAAGGTATCCAGAGGTCCTCAATCTGTCTGTCATGGAACACTGTCTCAATGGATTCATTGAAGGCCCAGCCTGGGGGAACAAGTGGTTGTACTACAGTTACACAAAGCTAGATAGCAACAATCCTATATTTATTTATTATACTTATAAAGTAGATCAACAGTTTAAAAAAAGTAAAATAAAGGTCAGTAGGCACAAACTAGATTAAACATCTAAGCTACAATAAGCTGATAAATTGACACTCAATATAATACTTCCTATATGTAAATGGAGTTAATATTTATAGACCATCGGCATAAAAATTCAATTGTCATGGGCCGACTCCGTTAACTGGGCTAATGACAACACTAAAGATCACGGAGTCAATTTTCATGGGCCATATTCATAAAGTCAGCCAATAATAACAACCATAAAGATAATGTATCATGGAGTTGATTGTCATGAGCCATCTACCTGGCCAATGACAACACTATAGGTAACTGCTTATGACTGTTCAGCCTCTACACATGGCATAAACTAAGCCTCACCAGCAGTGTGGACTTACCTGTAAACATAGAGGTGACAGGGTAAGTTAGATCCCATATCTTTTTCCAGAGAGACGTCATACCCTGATTAGCAAGAAACAAACAATTTTAAACTGGTAACCTTACATTACAACACTAACAATTTAATTCCCCCAAATGCTTAAATATGGGATGATGTGGTCTAGCGGTAGACAGCAAGACTGTTAACAAAAAGTCTCAGTAGAATCTATCCTGAGTCAACCAAGCTCTGATGGTTACCTAACTCATGTTAGGGAAAACAAAGGCGGATGGGTATAATGCTGACCACACTATTCCTTCATATGCTGAGAATCTGAAACAGATGAACTCTACTTCAACTGCTCCATGTAACATGGGATCAAACTGGAAAAGATGATGAAATACTTAAATATAGAAATACATATTTATCAAACAACCATAACAGAACTAACATTTTAAAGTAAAGATCGTCGGAATACAATTCCCAAGCAGCTTCACACTTCTCTGAACACAATTTAAACAGTAAACTTACAATGGACCACTCCCTCGCCCTCTGTGTAAAGCCAACATGGTTTCTCTCCTCTGCCCAGAGAGCTCCAATGAAAGCACCCATGCTGGTGCCGCCCACCATGTCTATGGGGATCCCTTCTTCCTGCATGGCCTTGATCATTCCAACATGTGCCAGCCCTCTGAGAAATACCACACAACATACACACTTCAGGCTATTCACAAGAAATATTCAAAGAAAAATATCACTAATATATTCAAACTTATGACTTTGTGGCAAGCTGGACAGGGTGCAGGATCAAATCCTTATCAAGCTAGAGTTTATTATTTCTTTTTTAACATGTTGTCAGAGCTAACTCAGCTCTAATCAGTCCCCAGTCTAAGTTTGGGTTAGTATATATGGCTGGTCATAGTCTTACTGACCCCACATCTACTTTACTTATTTTAACAAACTCTCATAGGCCACGAGGAATTAAAACAGCTGTTTAGATTTTATATATATCCAATACTTTATCCACTTTACACTACGATGCCTTTCAACTTTCATATCTACCTTTGACTACATTAACCAATTTGAATCTATACAAATTTAAGACAAATTCATTTTCTTAGGAATTTAACTGGTTTATTGAACTGGAAATATTTTCATTTTAGACATTACTCTTATTCTTTGATAGTTAAAAAAAAGTTTTTACTGTACCATTTCTGATATTACTCTTATAATGTGTTTCACTAACTTTACAACCACTATTTATATACTATGATACTGTAGATCTTAAATTTATTAACCGAAAATTATTGTTGTAATAAACACACTTTGTTGTGTCAATGACAGTGTAAATAAAAAAAAAAAACTGAGCAGAAAGACAGCATACCTTGCTCCACCACCTCCTAGAACTAGACCTATAGAGGTGCCAGTCAAAAATCTGGCCAGCCTACAGAAGTCCGCCATTCTGTCTGGTTCTGACTTGAAGAGTCTCTCATACATTTCCAGCTGAGGGAACAATTACTTTTGTTTACACAAATAGCCCAAATTACTAATGTAACTATAGCAACTAGCTAAAGCGATCTCACCTAAACTTTCTCGAATATTCTTATATAAAAAAACAGGGGATGGGAACTCGGGATATAGACATGAATTTTAATCCATTTTAAATACTTAAACTTTTTAAAATAGAATAAAATCTTGTAGAAAAAAGAATTGCACACCAGTGAACGCCAAATAAAATGTGCATAATAGTGCGGAATATTATTAGTACTTTATAAATTTACATTCGTTTTTGTTGAGAAATCGGAAATAGTGTAAATTAGTAAACGTTTCTATGTTTAATCTCACAGTAATTTTACATCATGAACTAATATTATTTATGAATTCTCCAAGCTAAATCATATAATAATATACGGTTATCATTGTGTGTGTATCTTTTTAAAATTAAAATCATATTCTGCTATTTTGAAAATACAATATTAAATTTTAAAAAAAAACCAGTAAGTGCTTTGTCACTTAACTTAAAACAAGAAAAAAAGTGTAAGTTAAAAAATATATACTTACAGTTTTAATAGGAGACTTGAGTCTAAGAACCCGCTTGGGGCAGCGCAGATGATGATGGGAAGACAACCACCCTCTGACGTTCAACCAGTCAGCCGTGTTCTTGGGAGTTTCAGCGTCTTCCTTATGTAGCAGCACCAGTTCTTTCTGGGCTCTCACAGCAATGTTCTCCAGCTCCTTCTCAATCTGTCAGAACAGGGGAAGATTATTCAACAGTCTTAGATTATCTCCCTTGATTTTAAAAAATAACAGAGGGATCAGTGTTTCTTCCAGACTTTTTTCTCCGGGTGGGCACCTGATATTTTCAGAGGGGGAGCGGGGACGGACACTAGTAAAAGTATATGTTTACTATATAAATCCCATCTTGTTCAAGGGGGGGGGGGGGGGCGGTAGAGAGAAACTATAAGAGGGATTAGAACAGAGCGCTGAGCCTATTGTTTGTTATTAGCTTATGAGTGTGCTTCCTTTTATACTTTTCAGTAGAGTTCATATGTTTTAAGTGACTGCTGCAGAAAAAGGGATAGTGTGATTAATTGTATGCCTAGTGTCTTTACTTTCATTGCAGGATCAACTCATGGATGTCCCACAGACTCAAGTCTGGGATGAGAACTCAAGCCTTTCAGGTTAGCAGGCATGTGTTATACCGTCCAACCACACCATTCCACATTAACTTACATGATTTCTAATAATACAATATTGATAGGTTCCTTGTTAGTTATATATATGATATAGAACCCTAAAAGAAAATAGATATATCCCCTTTCTCACTATTTTTGGTACCCTAGCATATACAGGACTTGTGTGGTCAACCTATAACTAGTCAACTTTGCTTTTCTGATTGTTTTTATGTTAAGACCTAGAAGCTCTATCAAGAAGTGACAATAGACATAGGATAAAACTACTCACTGGCCCAATGGTAGGCTCTTTATCAGCCAGACCAACAATCAAAATACAGTCGGCCTGCCTGAGACAGTTCTTACTCCACTTGGTCAACTGATAGTCACATTGGTACAGGACCATTCTGTGAATGTCCTCTTGTTGGCTCAGCCAGTTGAACAGACAGAACTCGTTCACGCTGGAACATTACACCAAAGGTATGAGACGTCAATCAAATAAACCACATTTCAAACACCACTAAGGCGTAAGTTACACAATGTTTAAATAACAAATTATTAAGGAAATGGATTTTGTTGTGTTTATATTGCTTAAAGTAACATACTAATAATATTAAATTTTAAGAAAAAAAAAACATCTTGTTTTAGAGTTATCTCCCATATAATGAAAAATAAGAGTCTTCTCCCAGTTAATTTAATATTTTCAATATATTTATAACTTGGGTACAAACCTATCGAGTGCAGCAGCTCCCAATCTAGCTTTAACAATATCTGGCGTTAATCTCACAGTAGGACCTACAATAGAGTTGACAATGTATGTTTACAGTAATGATTAATATAATTAGCCTTGATGGAGAAAATTTTTGAGGCAAAAAAAAAAAAAACAATAGCCCCATTTTAAAGAAAGAGGGTTATCAGATTGCTTTTGTGTATTTAAATTTTTGTTTCAATTATTTTATTTACTTATTTATTTATTTATTTACTTAATTGACAATGAAACTAAGTACACCACTTATGTATTTAAAGCTGATAATTGGTAAACAATTAAAAAATATATATCAAGTGAGGTTGTTTCATTGGACAAAACAGTGTTAGGAAACTATTAAAGAACCCATCACATACCAATTGTGAGTAAAGCATGCTGTAACTCTAAAGCAAAGTTGGTTGTTGGTACATCTTCTGTCACTGGAACAATAGCTATAGTTGCCAAGTTGGCAACTGTACTTCTCTCCATCTTAGAGTAGGCATCTAGAAGATCCAACATTGTATAGAAATTATTGAGGGTTAGCCTACCACTCTGCCGTACTGATTCTCTGTAATTTCCTAATCTTCCACTACATCACTGATCAATTGATAGTTTGTCTAGTAATGAATTATTACAAACAGAAAAAACCCATCCAAATACAGGCAAACATTATGGGATTTTTCTCTTCAATGCTAAAGAGCCCAGGTTAGGTTTAGGGCCTTAGGATTGACAGGGTAATTAAGTTTCACTTATTGCGCGACAGTAGAAAATGTTTTTTTAATCCATACAATGAGTGAGATGTTCAAATGACCATTAGATAAATTTATATGTAGTTATTTAATTACACTGTTCCTGCAACAGTTATATAATCTTTTAATTAAAGTTTGTATATCTCAGTAGAAATAACATTTAATATTTCAAGCTGCAAGACTATAAAAGTAAAGTATGCTCTTTAGACCTAACGATCAATTGGGCAAATGAAGTAGAGTTCATGTTTCTTGATATATGTACTTTCCCTAAGCTTGGACCCACAGATTCAAACTCAAGACTTTTGGAGTTTGCAGCCTAGCACTCTACCACTTAGGCCTCACTGTCCCGCAACACTATAATAAAGGGGGTTTTAATTTTCTCACCACTTTCTCTTGATGTAGCATTCTGAAGACTAATTGTGTTCCTCTGCTGCCAGTTGCCCAAGATACTTGAGCCCAAGAGATGGATAAGTCTTGCTACAACTTGCGGGTAGCGCAGTTTGATCAGGTTCAGTAACTCTGCAGGAATTTTAGCCAGCTCTGTGTCTCTGATTGATAGTCGATGGCAACACATTTGAGTTTTTTTTTTGTACAGACCACAATATCAAACTATCTATATAAACTCAACCACCTTACTAGCTATTTTCCTTTTTTTTTTTATTATTCATCGTAAAACAAACAAAATTTTTTAAAAAAAATTTACATATGCTTTAATGGTAGATAAACAGTAAGTTTAATTGTCTAAAAAGTCTGTTATTTAGTTTTATGCCATCTAAATAATTTAGATATTTATATGTCCTAGGCATTTTTACATATGTTTCCCACTGACAGCAAAACAGTTGCCCTGCTATGTGATTCAGCATCAAATTTGAAGAATTAACTTGTGACTCCCACATCAAATACATCAGCACCCACACCAACATCTTAATTTTTCTAATCAACTTCCCAATAAGCCTGAAAATGTACACCCGCATAACACATTAGCATTTAAAAAGCACACCAACCTTATAGCTAAAACTGTTGTGGCCCTCTCATGCTGGGTCAAAACCTCTACAATGCCAACCAGTTCACCTCGGCCGAATTCATTCACCAACTCCTTCTTGCCCCCCACAAGGGTGATCACTGACCTTAACCGACCAGTCAGGACAATGAAGATGCTCTCACTGTTGTCCCCTTGTCTGTGCACCAAGTGACAAAAATGTTTTTGTAAGAAACAATGACTAGACATTTTAAAAGGTACTTTATATGATGAAGTGGCCTTGAGGAAGAGAGCTAGACTGCTAACCCGAGAGTCTCGAGTTCAAATCCAAGTTCAAGTCAGTAAATGCCCTGAGTCCACAGAGATCTGATGGGCAGCTAACTCACATTTAGGAAAGTAAAGCCGAATGGGCATAGAGCTGACCTTCATATGCCAAGATCTATGAAACAGGTGAACTTTAACAGGAACTTTTAAAATTTAAAAAATCTAACATATCTAAAAGACAGATTCGTTAGAGAGATTATGTAATATCAAAAGTATTTCAATTTTTTTTTAAATGTGAAAGATTAATATTTATAGACAATTATAGTCTGATATTTTAATGAAGAGTTGGTTAAAAAAATAGGGGCGCATTAAAAATGTAATGACTTATAAATAGAAAAAAGGCTATCCAAATACTGAAGATCACAAATTAATAATAAAACCAAGAGAAGTTGGTCTAATAGGTCCAGAGTTTTATCTAAAAAAAAAAAACCCCACTTTTTTTAAAGCTGCATGTTTATAGCCCAGAATTTATACTTGTTAAAGATCATCTTACCTAAACAGTGCCTTCCCAGCTTCAAGCATTTGCCAGTCTAGTGCAAAGTCTATCTGACGAACAAATGGTGACATCCTCTTGACTGTACAGTGGGCTGCATTCAAGACAATAAAGGGCTCTACACGCATCATCCTGTAAGATAAGCCAAGTTTGATCATCCATTCACCAGTATACGCTCTACCTCTAATTACATATTTCTATTCACACAACACACATCCGGTGACCAGAAAAATTTGCATAGAAATTAGCGCAATAGATAACTGCGAATAAAAGTTCACATAGGAGCTTTTTTTTTAAAAAACCAATTTCACAGATATTAGCATAGAATAACCACATGTAAAATTTAGCATACAAAAAGTCTTTCCACAAAGTATATCATCGAATCATGAAATTCTGTTTGTTTAGTATAATAAAAAAACCTCAACAATAAACTGTCATTTTACAGGATCCTTGCATGCCACTTGAAACTGTTTCTATTTGCTTACACTAATAGAACACAATTTTAGTAAAAAAGCAGTAATTTTGCTTATCGAATAGGGTTTGTTTCAATTTATTATGGTTCTGTCCATATAAGCTGATGCAGATTAGGTTTGGATTAACTGAAAACTACTTTTACATATCCATAAAAACAAGTTAAAAATTAGCAAACACGGGGAGATTTTTCTATTTAGAATTTCTTACTGGTAGAAATCTGGTTTTGATATAACAGCCATGACTGCATCAGTTTTAGCTCTCATTGTAAAGAAGGAAGGCTCTCCAGTTAATACTGCCAGTACGTCAATTATCTCCCCTGGCTCAGCATGGAACATTAGTGCCTATGATTGGAAAAGGGACATAATCAGCATTAAAACAACCCCACGAAATATATTTTTTTTTCTTTCTCATTATTACATGCTATTTATTTTTATAAGTTTTTTAATTAAAAAAAAACAACTTGTATTCAAACATTTGTGGTTAATTAGTAATAAAGTATTTTATCTGGCCCTAACTTGAAAGAAATATATCAAAATTTAACAAGAAAAGACAGACAAACACTAACCTCCTTTGCTGATTCCCCAACAACATTTTGTAAAACACTTACAGTCCCTTTGACCAGGAAAAACATGCTTGTTTCCTACAGATGTATAATCATAACATATATAACATACTAAATTAATTTTTGTTTTTGTAGAAAACAACATAACTGACAAAAATTACAAAAAAACAACAACACAAAAGTTATTATCTGTGAGGAGATGAGAGAAATTATAGCCCAGAGACTTTTAAAACATTAAGTTATTATATACACAAAGAGTTAAAAAGAGTTAAAAAAGAACAATGGCATTAATTTTATTAATAAATATAATTTAAAAAAAAATTAATATTTAAAACTGCCAACCTGGTCACCCTGTTTGCAGAAAATGGAACCAGCCCTGGCATAACTCAGAGTCAGCCGATTGTCAAGTAAAGTTTGGTCCTGTGAAAATTATTTGAAAATTTTAAAATTAAATGTATGACTCAAAAAATATATAAATACAGTACTTAACTTAAACATAAGACATAAATAATAAGACAACTAACAAGAGCCATCCTAAACTGATCCAACATTAAATATAAATATTTTTAAGACTATAATTTTTGGTCAAAATAAAACCTGGACATCTAAAAAGGTTATCTAACTATATAAGACCATCTTGCTTTTTAAGTACTATTGAATTTAGTTTATTATTTAGTATATGTGCACTATATGCACCCATGATGAGAGCTCATAATTATGAGAGTAAAAAGAGCATTACTAACCTTCATGCCTAGGATCTGAACCAGATCTTTAGCAGCCAGAGATAAAATAATTTCCTCATCAGGGATGGTCTGGGACCTGTAAGAGGACACTTCACCTGCAGACTGCACAAATGACAAAAATATTTCAATCATGTAAAAAACACCAGAACAAATTAAAAAAAAAAAAATGATCTTTTGAAAATTCAGGAATAATTCTTCCCTCAGATGAAATATGAAACTGACAGCAATTAAGTATACACGAAAAAGGAGAAACTTTCATATTTTATTTATTAGAACCAAACACCACATTAACTACAAGCAACAGGAGTTTTAAAATTAAAGTACCCATCCAAAACTGATGGGGGACACTTTGGTTAGGTAGGAGAGCATATATCTGATACCTCCACTAGTTTGGACCCCTTGATAGATAAGGCATGTTTAGCTGGGACTGCACCCCATTTAGAAGAGAAATCCAAAATAAAAAAAACTAAGGTCAAAGATGAAGACCTGATAGCCAAAGGGTCGGATAAATGTTTAGCTGGTTCTATTAGCTTAATTTATGGTCAGGACAATCCCAAACTTTTTACTTTTCCTGACTTGAATCAGCAAACGGCAGCAACAAAAACACTAGGCAACAAAACACCATCATCACCAACCTCTATGACTGTGACTTGTCTAGGTGGGACTCCACTCAACACAATTTAAAGACTTGAAACGGACACAACAAAAACACTAGGGAACACAACACCATCAGCACCAACCTCTATGACAGTGACTCGTCTAGGTGGGGATCCACTCAACACAATTTAACACAACACAATTTAACACAACACCATCAGCACCAACCTCTATGACAGTGACTCGTCTAGGTGGGGGTCCACTCAACACAATTTAACACAACACCACCTGCACCAACCTCTATGACAGTGACTCGTCTAGGTGGGGATCCACTCAACACAATTTAACACAACACCATCAGTACCAACCTCTATGACAGTGACTCGTCTAGGTGGGGATCCACTCAACACAATTTAACACAACACAATTAAACACAACACCATCAGCACCAACCTCTATGACAGTGACACGTCTAGGTGGGGATCCACTCAACACAATTTAACACAACACAATTTAACACAACACCACCTGCACCAACCTCTATGACAGTGACTCGTCTAGGTGGGGATCCACTCAACACAATTTAACACAACACCATCAGTACCAACCTCTATGACAGTGACACGTCTAGGTGGGGATCCACTCAACACAATTTAACACAACACAATTTAACACAACACCATCAGCACCAACCTCTATGACAGTGACTCGTCTAGGTGGGGATCCACTCAACACAATTTAACACAACACCATCAGCACCAACCTCTATGACAGTGACTCGTCTAGGTGGGGATCCACTCAACACAATTTAACACAACACCATCAGCACCAACCTCTATGACAGTGACTCGTCTAGGTGGGGATCCACTCAACACAATTTAACACAACACCATCAGCACCAACCTCTATGACAGTGACTCGTCTAGGTGGGGATCCACTCAACACAATTAAACACAACACCATCAGCACCAACCTCTATGACAGTGACTCGTCTAGGTGGGGATCCACTCAACACAATTTAACACAACACAATTTAACACAACACCATCAGCACCAACCTCTATGACAGTGACTCGTCTAGGTGGGGATCCACTCAACACAATTTAACACAACACCATCAGTACCAACCTCTATGACAGTGACACGTCTAGGTGGGGATCCACTCAACACAATTTAACACAACACAATTTAACACAACACAATTTAACACAACACCATCAGCACCAACCTCTATGACAGTGACTCGTCTAGGTGGGGATCCACTCAACACAATTAAACACAACACCATCAGCACCAACCTCTATGACAGTGACACGTCTAGGTGGGGATCCACTCAACACAATTTAACACAACACCATCAGCACCAACCTCTATGACAGTGACTCGTCTAGGTGGGGATCCACTCAACACAATTTAACACAACACCATCAGCACCAACCTCTATGACAGTGACTCGTCTAGGTGGGGATCCACTCAACACAATTTAACACAACACAATTTAACACAACACCATCAGCACCAACCTCTATGACAGTGACTCGTCTAGGTGGGGATCCACTCAACACAATTAAACACAACACCATCAGCACCAACCTCTATGACAGTGACTCGTCTAGGTGGGGATCCACTCAACACAATTTAACACAACACCATCAGCACCAACCTCTATGACAGTGACTCGTCTAGGTGGGGATCCACTCAACACAATTTAACACAACACAATTTAACACAACACCATCAGCACCAACCTCTATGACAGTGACACGTCTAGGTGGGGATCCACTCAACACAATTTAACACAACACAATTTAACACAACACCATCAGTACCAACCTCTATGACAGTGACTCGTCTAGGTGGGGATCCACTCAACACAATTTAACACAACACCACCTGCACCAACCTCTATGACAGTGACACGTCTAGGTGGGGATCCACTCAACACAATTTAACACAACACCATCAGCACCAACCTCTATGACAGTGACTCGTCTAGGTGGGGATCCACTCAACACAATTTAACACAACACCACCTGCACCAACCTCTATGACAGTGACACGTCTAGGTGGGGATCCACTCAACACAATTTAACACAACACCATTAGCACCAACCTCTATGACAGTGACTCGTCTAGGTGGGGATCCACTCAACACAATTTAACACAACACCATTAGCACCAACCTCTATGACAGTGACTCGTCTAGGTGGGGATCCACTCAACACAATTTAACACAACACAATTTAACACAACACCATTAGCACCAACCTCTATGACAGTGACACGTCTAGGTGGGGATCCACTCAACACAATTAAACACAACACCATCAGTACCAACCTCTATGACAGTGACACGTCTAGGTGGGGATCCACTCAACACAATTTAACACAACACAATTTAACACAACACCATCAGTACCAACCTCTATGACAGTGACACGTCTAGGTGGGGATCCACTCAACACAATTTAACACAACACCACCTGCACCAACCTCTATGACAGTGACACGTCTAGGTGGGGATCCACTCAACACAATTAAACACAACACCATCAGTACCAACCTCTATGATAGTGACACGTCTAGGTGGGGATCCACTCAACACAATTTAACACAACACAATTTAACACAACACCATCAGTACCAACCTCTATGACAGTGACACGTCTAGGTGGGGATCCACTCAACACAATTTAACACAACACCACCTGCACCAACCTCTATGACAGTGACACGTCTAGGTGGGGATCCACTCAACACAATTAAACACAACACCATCAGCACCAACCTCTATGACAGTGACTCGTCTAGGTGGGGATCCACTCAACACAATTTAACACAACACCATCAGCACCAACCTCTATGACAGTGACTCGTCTAGGTGGGGATCCACTCAACACAATTTAACACAACACAATTTAACACAACACCATCAGCACCAACCTCTATGACAGTGACACGTCTAGGTGGGGATCCACTCAACACAATTAAACACAACACCATCAGCACCAACCTCTATGACAGTGACACGTCTAGGTGGGGATCCACTCAACACAATTTAACACAACACAATTTAACACAACACCATCAGTACCAACCTCTATGACAGTGACTCGTCTAGGTGGGGATCCACTCAACACAATTTAACACAACACCACCTGCACCAACCTCTATGACAGTGACACGTCTAGGTGGGGATCCACTCAACACAATTTAACACAACACCATCAGCACCAACCTCTATGACAGTGACTCGTCTAGGTGGGGATCCACTCAACACAATTTAACACAACACAATTTAACACAACACCATCAGCACCAACCTCTATAACAGTGACTCGTCTAGGTGGGGATCCACTCAACACAATTTAACACAACACAATTTAACACAACACCATCAGTACCAACCTCTATGACAGTGACTCGTCTAGGTGGGGATCCACTCAACACAATTTAACACAACACCACCTGCACCAACCTCTATGACAGTGACACGTCTAGGTGGGGATCCACTCAACACAATTTAACACAACACCATCAGCACCAACCTCTATGACAGTGACTCGTCTAGGTGGGGATCCACTCAACACAATTTAACACAACACAATTTAACACAACACCATCAGCACCAACCTCTATAACAGTGACTCGTCTAGGTGGGGATCCACTCAACACAATTTAACACAACACAATTTAACACAACACCATCAGTACCAACCTCTATGACAGTGACTCGTCTAGGTGGGGATCCACTCAACACAATTTAACACAACACCATCAGCACCAACCTCTATGACAGTGACTCGTCTAGGTGGGGATCCACTCAACACAATTTAACACAACACCATCAGCACCAACCTCTATGACAGTGACTCGTCTAGGTGGGGATCCACTCAACACAATTTAACACAACACCACCTGCACCAACCTCTATGACAGTGACACGTCTAGGTGGGGATCCACTCAACACAATTTAACACAACACCATCAGCACCAACCTCTATGACAGTGACTCGTCTAGGTGGGGATCCACTCAACACAATTTAACACAACACCATCAGTACCAACCTCTATGACAGTGACTCGTCTAGGTGGGGATCCACTCAACACAATTAAACACAACACCATCAGCACCAACCTCTATGACAGTGACTCGTCTAGGTGGGGATCCACTCAACACAATTAAACACAACACAATTTAACACAACACCATCAGCACCAACCTCTATGACAGTGACTCGTCTAGGTGGGGATCCACTCAACACAATTAAACACAACACAATTTAACACAACACCATCAGCACCAACCTCTATGACAGTGACTCGTCTAGGTGGGGATCCACTCAACACAATTTAACACAACACAATTTAACACAACACCATCAGCACCAACCTCTATGACAGTGACTCGTCTAGGTGGGGATCCACTCAACACAATTAAACACAACACAATTTAACACAACACCATCAGCACCAACCTCTATGACAGTGACTCGTCTAGGTGGGGATCCACTCAACACAATTTAACACAACACCATCAGCACCAACCTCTATGACAGTGACTCGTCTAGGTGGGGATCCACTCAACACAATTTAACACAACACCACCTGCACCAACCTCTATGACAGTGACACGTCTAGGTGGGGATCCACTCAACACAATTTAACACAACACCATCAGCACCAACCTCTATGACAGTGACTCGTCTAGGTGGGGATCCACTCAACACAATTAAACACAACACAATTTAACACAACACCATCAGCACCAACCTCTATGACAGTGACTCGTCTAGGTGGGGATCCACTCAACACAATTTAACACAACACAATTTAACACAACACCATCAGCACCAACCTCTATGACAGTGACTCGTCTAGGTGGGGATCCACTCAACACAATTTAACACAACACCATCAGCACCAACCTCTATGACAGTGACACGTCTAGGTGGGGATCCACTCAACACAATTTAACACAACACCATCAGTACCAACCTCTATGACAGTGACTCGTCTAGGTGGGGATCCACTCAACACAATTTAACACAACACCATCAGCACCAACCTCTATGACAGTGACACGTCTAGGTGGGGATCCACTCAACACAATTTAACACAACACAATTTAACACAACACCATCAGCACCAACCTCTATGACAGTGACTCGTCTAGGTGGGGATCCACTCAACACAATTTAACACGACACCATCAGCACCAACCTCTATGACAGTGACACGTCTAGGTGGGGATCCACTCAACACAATTTAACACAACACAATTTAACACAACACCATCAGCACCAACCTCTATGACAGTGACTCGTCTAGGTGGGGATCCACTCAACACAATTTAACACAACACCATCAGCACCAACCTCTATGACAGTGACACGTCTAGGTGGGGATCCACTCAACACAATTTAACACAACACAATTTAACACAACACCATCAGCACCAACCTCTATGACAGTGACTCGTCTAGGTGGGGATCCACTCAACACAATTTAACACAACACCATCAGCACCAACCTCTATGACAGTGACACGTCTAGGTGGGGATCCACTCAACACAATTTAACACAACACCACCTGCACCAACCTCTATGACAGTGACACGTCTAGGTGGGGATCCACTCAACACAATTTAACACAACACCACCTGCACCAACCTCTATGACAGTGACTCGTCTAGGTGGGGATCCACTCAACACAATTTAACACAACACAATTTAACACAACACCATCAGCACCAACCTCTATGACAGTGACTCGTCTAGGTGGGGATCCACTCAACACAATTTAACACAACACAATTTAACAAAACACCATCAGCACCAACCTCTATGACAGTGACTCGTCTAGGTGGGGATCCACTCAACACAATTTAACACAACACCATCAGCACCAACCTCTATGACAGTGACTCGTCTAGGTGGGGATCCACTCAACACAATGCTCTTGTCATCACTGACTGAAGCTCTGGCTCTCATCAGGGCAGCATCAAAATCTGTCAGCTGGTACCCAGATTCACTTAAAGGCCTGGAAACTGGAGGAAGAAAAGTTAATTAGCATCATTGAAAAATGTATCAGCTGTTTTCGAAATTAGATGAATCAATTCATCCTTTCAACCCTGAAGCTTTAACTCTATAAATCTTATCCTTCAAACATTACTTTTTCATTTACTGATGACTGACACATTTTGTAAAAACAAAATTATCCAATAATATTGTTGTCAACAGTCCAGCAATTTGTGTAAACATGAAATTTTTTTACATGTATGTTAAACAGCATAGCATTTATCCAACAAGTAGCTTTACTGACTTCCTCATTACTGATAGCCTAGATAACAACTCCACCCAGTAACAAAGTACTTAAAAAAATAATTCAAAAACATTTGCTTTTTTTTTGCTTCTGTTTTTTGAGTCTGTAAGACGTCCCTGAGTCCACCTAGCTATGATGAGTACTTGACTCACATTAAGGAAATAAAGATAAATAGGCATAGAATCGACTACACTATCCCTACATATGCTGAAGTCACAGAAACAGGTGAACTATGTGCACTATTGGGTCCAAAAGTAACCTTCTTCTGTATTTAAAGTGATTTTGTGGTCAGAACAATGCCTTTACTTTCAAGTAAGCTCTATTGACATGGGGCCTCTTGCTGAAGAAAAACAAATCTTACATAATAGCTATTTAAAGTGATTTTGTGGTCAGAACAATGCCTTTACTTTCAAGTAAGCTCTATTGACATGGGGCCTCTTGCTGAAGAAAAAAAAAAATCTTACACAATGGTTTCTTCTGTGGTGTTCCTGCAGGCCCAGCCATCTTTGTATCTACATCATCCTTCCCTGAGTCTGGCACCACACCAACACTGTGGTTTGTGTGAAGTCGTACAGGACTGCCTACATTGGGAGAAACGTTAGGGCGATTGATCTGATGAATATGAAGTTCCTTTGCATCAGCATGGCCATCCTAGAAAAATCAAGTTGAAATGTTTTTTAACATTAAATGTTATATATGCACTATGTTTGTGATAAGCAGAGCTCATGATACTATTCTATGATCAGTGTTCATACTATTGGTAGGGTTTTCTTAGAAATTTATTCAAAACCAATATTTCCCTAAGGGGTCATCTATAAATGATGTCAAACACCTAGGGGGTAGGTTGGAATTTTGTGGCAATGTGTGATGAGGGGGAGGAAAGTGTGACATCACAATGTTGCAATTTTAAAAAGTTATGTTTGAAGCTGAAAGCTGTTTTTGTAAATTGAACAAAAAAATGATTAATATACTCTACGAGAAAAATGGCCCGTTGAGGAAGGATACACCGGGCGCTAGGTTGATAGTGCTGTCTCTTTTCTCTAAACTAAAACCAACCCACCCCCCCCACCCCCCACCCTCACCCACCCCACACAACACCCCCCCACCCCCCAAAAAAACATGTCTACCGTCCCATTCAACGAAATATAATTATATACTTTTTCCAGTGTCCGCCCCCTCCCCGAAAATTCTACCCCCGCCCCCGAAAATTTCAAGTACCCCCACCCCTCTCCGGGGAGGAAAAATTTTGAAAGAAACACTGGTGTCGCGCTTAGCCACTACGCGAAGAATTGCATTAAAGAAATTGCGAGAAAACCACTTTTTAGATTAGACACATTAATTAGGCGGTAATTTTATTATAGAGTATCGATGAGGAAACCACCCCACCCCCACCACCCCCCCCCCCAACCCCAAAAAAATCATGTCTACCGTCCCATTCAACGAAATATAATTATATACTTTTTCTAGTGTCCGCCCCCCTTCCCGAAAATTCTACCCCCGCCCCCGAAAATTTCAATTACCCCCACCCCTCTCCGGGGAGGAAAAAGTCTGAAAGAAGCACTGGTGTCGCACTTAGCCACTACCCGAAGAATTGCATTAAAGAAACCACTTTTTAGATTAGACACATTAATTAGGCGGTAATTTTATTATAGAGTATCGATGAAGAAATTTCTTTTGAGTTGGGGAGGGGGGGGGGGCTCAGACGTTCTTACGCGGGGGGTGGGGCTTCGCCCCTACCCGAAGAATTGTATGCAAGAAACTCTTCACGCAAACCATTTAGATTAGACAACATTTCCTTTTTATTCAATGTTTACGCGATAATCAATGACGTCATTATATTACTGTGTGCACTTTCCGCCTTGAGATTATTTTCAACTCTATGCTAAATGTGTCGACGTCATACTTCGTTTTTCGAATTACTATGCAGGTTTTTAATTTGCTTGTGTTTTCTCTAGAGCGTTCTGGTCAGATAGACAGACAAAGCGTTCTTGTCAGATAGATACACAGACAGCGAAACTATTAGTATTAATGCTGACTGAGGATAAAAATTGTAAAAAAAAATGCTTGATGTCATTTATGAATGATTCCTAAGTCATATTTCTTGAACATGACAGCAGAAAGAACAATAAAACATTACATGGTATAAGTTACTTAAAAAAAAAAGTAGATGGATAGAGTAGAGTATTTACTGGTTTGAGCAGCTCTTTACTTAGGCCAAGATAGTTATGTAGAGCAGAAAAGGTCACCCTCTGTAGCCGAATCATGATGATCTGTTGAACAAGAGATTGTAGGGTTTAAAGTTTAAAGTCTGCCTGCATCAGGTATTTCATTATAAAATTTAGTAAAATGGCTTAAAATAGCAAATTTAGTCAAACATAACTATTAAATACATGTCATTGTCATGCTGTTGATATAACCTGGAGATTTAAATATTGGTGAACACAACATCCCTTGCTGATTGGTACAAATCTACCTAACCTCCCTAACCCACTGCATGTATACCATCTCCAGAGAACAGGTAAATAGAGGTCAATGACCTAAACAAATTATTACTTTTCAATGAATCATCCAAGTCAAAGGCTGTGAGACCAGAATAAATTTAGTTTTTAAAAATTAAGTGACATAATAGAGAATTAATTTTACTAATCGATCTGGGCTAAGAAATTCTTGCTATCCAATTATTTTCTTGAACACATTTTTGCCCAAAATTCACTTTATTCTTCACATGTACTGACAGACTTCAGCCATTTGGTTAGAAACATTCAGTTGAAACTATTTACTTTTCAGCATTAGCAAATTATTTTTCAGTTCACATTTCAGTGTGAAACATTGCTTATTCTTAATGTAACTTAAAAAGAAAACCCATACATTAGGGAACAGACAATATCAATGGACAATTTATTTACCTGAACAACTTTGACAGTAGATTCATTAAATTTCTCAAACATGGATTTGAAAGCATGAGCAGGGAGCCTGAGTATCGTGGAGTCAGCAACAGCTCTAGCAGAGACACTTTTAAAAGCTCCTGGGTGGCCCTGTTCAGTCAATTTAAAGTTGGTCAAATATACATTAAAAACAAAAACTTTAGAAAAGAAACAATTAAAAATAATAATTAAAAGTATTTCCAATCATATCAACTTTAGAAAATAATGAAAAGTATAGACTTATGAATATATTAATTTATAATATTTCCAACAACATAAAAGAATATAATAAATATTGCCACCAATGAGAAAGACTAGGAGACTTACAGTAAGGACATCCAATATGGACAACAGACTGTGTATGCTATTGCCAGTTGGTACTTGCTTAATCAGATGCTCTGTTCCATCCTAAATTTGATATTTATATTAGTCTTTGAAAATTCTTTTTATTTCAATAAGTTAAGTAGATAACGTAGAGCTAATGTTTCTTGACTTTGGCACATGAAAAGATGGTCAGTACTATGCCCAGCTGCCTTTACTTTCTCCAACATAAGACAGGCACCCACCAGAGCTGGGTGGACTCAGTAATGTTCTAATAAGTTTTATTAGAGTTAAAGTTATGTTTCAAATAATTTTTATTAGAATAATTTTCCAAATTAAAATTTTTTTTTTTGTAATTCCAAATTTATAAAATGATTTTGGTTGCTATATACATAAATGGCAAGCCAAATACTGCTGTGCGCTAAAAGGTAAGTCATATGTCCTATCAATTTATGCTTTACGATTTATAAAAACTGCCCAGATTAACAAATAGTTTTTATCAATCAAAAACATATGCACAATGCCCTAAAATTTAAGATATTTTGTAAGTCAGCTTAAAGTTATTTTATAACATTTGCAGAAACTTAAATATAAAGAATAAATATCGTAACGTGACACCACTGTAGCTGATTGCGCTAATATTTGCGTGGTTCGTTTATTAAAAATTGCATTGCATCAATTTAAGTGAAACAAAACTTACCACATCTGTGATGTAAACTTCAAGCAGACCATTCTGTACCACATATATGCTGTCATCTGGGTCACCAATTTTAAACAAAAAATGCCCAGCCCTTAAAGTAATGGTCTCCATATAGCGGCATAACTCTAGGAAAAACGGCTTTTCTAAGTGGCCAAACACCCTAAAATACAAAGTATGTCTAAATTAAAACACAATTCTTAAAAAAATACAAATTTTGTCTTTTATTATGAGGTTTAGAGGTACTATATTATGAAACTTATCATACCTCTCTATTATGTACATAAAATAAACATAACAATATATAATTAAATAACAGGAGGTGGACCAACATGAAGTATATATGACATGGATCTAGAGTTATCTGACCTTATACTTCTAAGCATGTATAAAACTTCAGGGGGAAGTCTGTGATCATCATTAACATCTGACCAATCTGCTTCTAAGAAAGACTGCGGAGGGCTCTGTTGCTTCAGCCTAGGTTTACTAGGATCTTTGCGATGGGCTAAAAATCTGGAACAAGGAACAAAATGATCATGGATAATATCTGATAAGTGATTAAACCAGATACCAAGACATGTAAAAATAATATATTTAAAAGTATTGATAGTTTGCAATTTGCTAAAGCTATTAATAAGCCAGGCTGTAAAAATTCTCAAATCTAAAAGGTAAATAGAATTTTGCCTTTAGAAGCACACAACTCAAATCTATGAGGTATATAGAATTTTGCTTTCAGAAGAATGTGTAAAGTAATTGAAGAACAGAGATGACACATACGAGAAACAAGCACCACATGTGTCTTTAGTGTAAAAACACTATCTGGAACCAACGATAATTTTTTTTTAGTAAACATGAATCCTTAGTTTACAAAGCAGAAGAAGTAGAGTTTGCCTTAAGATATATGTAGTAAGTAATATGTTCTGTAGTAGTTTAACATCCCGTTGAATGAAATTAGAAATTACATTAAAGGTGGGTTGACTCATAAGTTCATAATGCAAATTTCCACCAAACTCTTAAGTGTAAATTATATGTGAATACAGTTGATAAGACACATTGATAAACTTAAATGATGAATAATACATTATTCTCCACACGTAAGTCTGACACTAACATTTTCTCAAAGTCATTATTTAAATATTACATTTAAACCATTAACAGCCAAAATACAAATGAAAACACACATCCAGTTTTAAAATGTGATGATGGATTTTTTTAAGCTCTTAAACAAGTATAAGTATATGAACTTATATACACTCACTTATTTGTAAGATAATAGTAATGTTAACATATCTAAAAGTGAAATACATTTAAATAAACGGGTAGGAGGTGTTTTAAAATTATAAATTTAAAGTTTTGACAAATCATTGGAAGCAAAAAGACGCCCACATGAAAACTGATAATCAAGTCTCACTTTTACACTATAAACTATAAAGATATTGAAAAAGAGAAAAAATATATATATTCATGAAAAAAAAAACTAAATTGAAAAAGAGAATAATTTATACAGTATTTTTCAACATGATTCCTATGGTTTACAACAAACATCACTGAATGGTGGTTTTGGATTACAACATAACTGGTTGGGTAATGAAAAAAATGACAACAGATCATGACAAAACTTTTTTAGCCAAACAGTATCAAATCTTAATGCTACTCTTAGAGTTTAGCACTGAAGTTTGTTTCTCTGACAAGAAAAGAATGCTTGCAACAATAAAAAATATAAATCAAGTTTAGACAAAATAGTAGCTTTTTTAAGAACGGCTTTTGTAGATGCTAGCAAGTACCTGAATTGTTTAGGATTGACCTGGAGTGAACTATAAATAATTATCCTTCTAACTTTTTGATTTCCCTTTTTTTAAAGTAGTTACGTTAGTTTAAATACTTAAGTTGTTAATGTAATTGATTCCAAGCCCCATATTCACACACTTTTGAATATTTAATAATAAGTTGTTCCATTAATTAAAATCCCCCAAGTATTACAGCTAAGCATAGTGTATTTACAGGTTAAGGACTGGCCTTACAGGTTATTTACATTTAGTGCCATCATGTTTATATCTTAAGCTGATAAATAAACCTAAAATATTCTTTACTGAATATGATTTTATTACAGTGAGCCTTCAACCTTCATTTTATGTTCAAGATAAACCTTCTACTAAACTTTTTATACTCTTCATACTGAACTTGAGTTTGTTACACTTCCGAACTAACTGAGTCAGTTTCAATTTATATGTAAACTATCACTCAACCTCAGCAGTGAAAACCTTTCACGCCAGCTTTAATTATCGGCAAAAAACAGGCATGTTATTTTAAAGCGGAGTCTGAACATACACACAAACACACAGATTTGATTAAAAAAAACACACCAAAGTAAAAATAAAAAGACAAAATATTGTTTTGGTTAGCTTGCTTCAATTGTCAAACCTTAAACTATCGACTAATAAGCCACTCACAATATTCTTTTTTATCTCATAATTATGAAAAATAATTTTGTGAAAATAGTTCTCTATCTACAGTGTTAAAAGGTTACCTTGAATCTCCAATGACACTAAAGTAAAACAAAATGCACAAATAACCTCCATCTCATTAAAGATTGTTCCATAAGAATAATCTTTTAATTAGCAATTACAAATTGTAATTAGAAAACTCGATACATGCAATTGTGTTTGTTTCATAAAAAGAAGTTTCAGTTATCTTCTAAGCTGAAAAACACAAAACTTTGATTTGTATCAGTATTCACCTGTGTATTTTGAGGATTAAGTATTAATCTTTTAAGTATTAATCCTTTTCTTATAAACAGATGCTTAATTACTTTTAAGTAGAAGTTAAATATCTGATGGAAAACCTTGTATCTTAAAATTCCTTTTGTGATACACAATATAATAAAATTTATATGTAAAAATTTAAAAAAAAACTAGAGTATTAACATACCTTCTTATTCTTGAAATCATGACTTTATGACTTGGTTTTCTTCGTATGCCACTGGTGGATGAAGCTGATCCTACAGTGTTTCTTGTAAAGCTTTTAACCTAATATTCAAGAAAAACATAAATTATAAAAGTTTAATTGATTTAATTAATTCATTAGATCAACTGATTAGGATACCATCAGTTCAATAACTTAGAGGCATAAATGAATCAATACCTTCCTGAGCATTTTTCTGCCAAAAAATAATATTTTCTCTCGTTTACGAAACCTGTACCTCTTGGGAGCTTCACTTTGACTGGGCAAAGCTTAAAATAGAAAACATATAAAAATAAACAAATAAATGAAATAAATATATAAATAATATATGTATATATATATATATATATATATATATATATATATATATATATATATATATGCCTATAAAATAATATATATATTTATAAAATACATTGCATTTTAAAACATAAGGTCTTAGCACTGTTCCGTGTTGAAAATATTTGTGATCAACAAAATTTTAATCTATTTAGTTTGGTTTTGTATAGTGTTGCAAATTTATTTTAGATATTTTAAAATGCCGGAATGTTTAAAGTAGTTTCTACACACAATGTTTACCTTTTGATTTAAATTTCCATATACCAAAGAATACTATCACTAATATGGTGATGATGGTCACAATCACTGAAACTGTGATACTCTGTGGAGATAAAATAATACAAAATATTTCTAAAATAATTTGCATGCTTTATATTACATTTTTAATAAATTGTTTGATTATAGTTTCTGTAATAACTGTTTATTAAACAAATTAAACGACCAATTAATAATCCTTAATAACCATTATTATTTTTTTTTAGCATCTTAAATCACTCTACACTGGCTGTTTTTGAGTTGGTTTGCCATAAAAGGCATTGGAAATTCTTGGAAATTCATGTACATTTTCTAAATTTCAAGCGTATTTTAATATTTGAAACGATAAGGTAAAAACATTTTTTCATATGTGTTTCTTAATGCAATAATTTAATATTTGCAATATAGTATAAAGTACCCTTTCCAACCTGACAATGCAGAGACAAGAGAAATAGAGTTCACCTGCTTCAGTGACTTCAACATATGAATGGATAGTGTGGTCAGCACTATGCAAAGCCGCCTTTAATTTCCCTAGCTAAAGTCAGTTACCCATCAGAGTTGGGTGGACTCAGGGACATTGTACTGACACAAAATCAGGATAAAAGCTCAAGACTTTCATTTCAAGTTAAAAAATAAGAGGACAGAGCAAAACTAGTGTTCTGAGGGGAATTGATTGTAATTGATACATTTTCTTCTATATTAAAATATAAGGAAGGTGTTGCATAATTGTTCATCTCCTTTACTTTCTGTCTTTATTATATAATTATGGGGGAAATAGATAAAACCAATTATAGACACAAATACTATTATATATATATATTTGACTACTTGTGACTACTTGGAAGAAGCTTCTTCCCCCTAAGCTAGTCTGCTCAGAAGAAGATGCAAAACGCAAAAACAGCTGCGCAAGAGGCTCAAATTATCCTTTAATAGCTTCACAATGGGATCAAATTACTCTTAAAGCCTTATTCTTCTGACAAAACTATTTGTACCCTGTGGTCGAGCAGTTGCGCTTTGGGCGGGTCGTCATGGGTTGCAGGTTCATAGTAGAGATATAGGCCTAGTATGTTTGCAAGGCGGTTAAGTTTCATTATTTTGTATTGTCAAGTTACAAGTATCTCCCAGGCATGATACTATAAATAAACATTTATGAACTTACAATGACCCCAAAACTGAGGCCAACAAAATTTCAAATAGCTATTGCCCAAGCTATGACGTATGCTGATAATTAAAGTCAATGTGAACTCACAGTGAACCTGCGACTGTGTAAGGATTTTTCTCCCGCTGATGATCACACGATATTTAATTGGAACAGTTCTAATGCTTTTTTTTTTTTACCTTTTCTAATTAAAAATCCCATTCATAAAAAAATAAGTAGATCTAGTGTTTTCCTAACGTTTTTGTGTGTTTCGGTTGTATTTATAATTATAATAAAATAAGCTCAACTGGAGGTGAACATGAAACGGGGAATAAAATGGCCGCCTTTGCGGGGTTTGCTCTGCGTAACGCTTAATCTTTACCCTAGGTGGCACGCGATCTAAAAAAAAACAGATAGCAGGAATGCCCGATATTTTTTTCGTGGTAACAATTTAATGTTGACATAGAGTCTAGATCTAGATCAAGTTTAAAGTGTATTTATATTATTTCAACACCTAAGAGTCTAGTACTTGTAAAAAACCAGCACAGTGTCAATCAGTGGGTCAGATGATAGTCATATATCTATCAGCAATCTAGATCTAGCTAAATCAAACTGTCCTTTAACTTTAACCTTTAGGCCTAGCTATCTAGCATGTGTGATAGTAGATCTAAGTCTATATTATTTTTACCCTATGTGAACTTAAAAAAAAAAGTTTTCAATTTGCTTGAGGGGGAGGGGGGTGGGAGGAAGAGAGAAGTGAAGACAGACGATCTCGTGAGCTTGGGTTCATTCTATGACGTATGCTTTAGGCCTGCTGAACTCACAGTGACCTCGCCGACCGTGGGCCGTGGTGGGATTTTCCACTCACGGGATAGTAAACGTAAGGCAAGCAAGCAATCACGCCAGTGACAATGTTTGGAAATTTTATATAAAATAAAAAAAAAATTAATCATAGTCTACGTCATATTTCAATATGAAAAAAATGTAAACAAAAAAAACAACTAGTACCGGCCGAGCTAACCCCGGATTCGAACTCGGAACTCCGCATCTATGAACTACAGTCTACAGCTGGCACACTGTTGTGTCAACCACACCGGATGTGAGACTTGTGCAAAAAGTAAGCGATTTCAATTACAAGATGGCAAATCCAACCTGCGAGACGCGCAGTCTATTCCTTAGGGGCCAAGCTCTGCGAGATGCGTAGTCACTTCGGAATAAAATACGCTAAAATGGAGTTTTACCCAAATTATAAATACATAAATGCCTAGTAGAATCTAGATCTATAAGAATTGATGTCTAATAATCTACTTTTTGCACATACCGTTGTAAATTCTGGATAGCCGGAGAACCAAAGCCAAAGCTCACTAGTGAAACTGGAAACTTGGGATTCCGACTCGTCCATCATCACAGATGAGTTAGATCTACTACTTAGATCTGACAAGTTTGTTTCCATAATTTAAGTTTTTAAACAAAATATCCTACCCTACATTTTATAAACATGTGTGCCATGTAGCTAAATAAATTTGGACGGTTTATTCATGGTTGTGCTTATTGTTTATAAATAAATTATTGTTCAATGGACCCTGGTGTTTATTTGCGTTTCTCGGTTGGTCAAGTTTGCCAGATCATAATTTCGTTAACTTGCCAATCACCAGATTAAAGGCTAAAAAACGAAGGGATATAGATCTATTTTGATCTCATTTGTTATATTCTGCGAATTACGCCTAAGGTTAGGGTTTAAATTTATAGTTAGGTTTTACGGCTAAACAAAGACCATACTTTCAAAATTTCATATCAACGTTTCTGACACTCTAACCAGTGGTTCTTATTCTTTTTGGAAATATCGCACCTCACTAATTTTATACGCGCCTTCTTAATGGTTCTATTGTCAGCAATGAAATTGAACATCATACGAGTCTGGTGTGTCTTGATCCCCGGCGAATCCCTGAGACTGACTTACTCAACCATTAATAATAATAATAATATGGCTCTATTGAACATATGTTAAAACCCACTGCTTAAAAAACGAATACTTAGATGCAGTGTTTATTCCAGACTTTTTTTCTTCGGGGGGGGGGGGGGGCACTGTTAAAAGTATATATTTTCTGTATGAATTCAGATAAATTATATAAATTTCATTTCGTTCGGGGGGGGGGGGGGGGGGGGGGGGGGGGGGGGGCGGTGAATTTTGCGTGGACGAAACTCTGCTTAGTTGCATAAAAACTTAAAAAACGGTGGCATTAACTTATTAAATTAAACGAGCCGACCCGCGGCGTATCATACGCCGCTATTTATTTGTTTTATTTTCTACTTTTCAGTAATTCATAATATGTGAATTCGACAATACCACTGTTGTCACTGAAAATATTTGCTTTAAAACACTATCAGTAAGTCGTTAAGGACGATAACCCCCCCCCCCCTCCTTTCCCCCAACCCCTAACCCCCCCCCCCCCCCGTGAAAGCAACCTCCTATTAGCTACCTCCCCTAAGTTTAAAATAGTTTCAAACTAAATTATCTGCCCCTAATAGTCGTCACTCAAACCCGGCTCTACGATTGTAAACATTTAGCGTGAACCACAGCTCACCAGAGGAACAAAGGGGACTGCAAGGCGCGCTTACTGTTTTCTAACGTCTCCAAGAAGAGAATTATATAGATAGATAGATATTAAACCACAACATATTGCTAAAATATTCTACAAACCTTTTTAAAAAGATCAACGTAAACAAAATTCCATTTTAAACTGTTGTAGTTTTTAAAATAAAAATAAAATAAAAACAAGAATAAATAATACAATCAAATGAAAAATGATTAATACTTATGCAATTAATATAGATTCTATTTTGAGTCTAAATTTAAAATCACTGTACTGTCCATAAACAATTTTATTTTGGTGACATTTAAATTAAATCAGTCTGTAAATCTAATTTAAGATTACGCAGCATGAGTCTATTTTCTTGTGTATAATTCAGTAATGCAGATCATAATGAGCTTTATTTTTATTTTTTTTCTACCATGTGCATTTAGGCTTAGGCGCCCGCAAAGGCCGCCTTTGCGCCAAATAACATGTTATATTTTATAGCATATCTATCTAGGCCTACATTTAACATTTGGAACAGTGGTGTCACTAGATTGGGTGTCACTTGGTGTAGGCTAAAAAGAAAAGGTGTCCCAGCCACTGATGGATTCTTTAGTATGTAGGCATCTGCTATAATAGTAATATTCTCCCGATTAATAGTGTTACCCTGTGCTAAACGAGGTATCAACTTATTAGATTAGTAATTACTTCAATTGACTAGTAATATTTTCTTTGGAAATTTTGGTGTCACCCTGCTTGTAAACTGGTTAGGAATAAGTGGAAGCCCAGTAATATTATTGTATTGGAATAGATAGAGTATTGTCAATTTATTTTTCTAGCCAAAAAAGGTATGAAAAATGTAATTAAAAAAAAGTGAAAACATAGAGTTAATTTTGCGAAACTCAAGGGAAAGCACTGTAAAATTAGAAATGAATGGTAGCCTAGGCCCATTTCTGTGATGATTACATTAAAGGAACCCTTACATGGGATTAGTTAGACTATTAGACTCTGTGACTCTATCTATTGGTAACGGGTAACGATGTCAGCGTTAGGTTGTTAGTACAGTAACAGTAACTGTAATATCAGGTTTAGTTTTATCAGTTATGGTTAGAAAAATTAGGGTTAGGTCCGGGTTAGGGCTAGAGATCTAGGTAATCTATCGTTTCGGGTACGTAAAATCGCCCGCGACTAGTAATGTGAAAAACAGGTGACTCCTTAAATTTTTAATAGGGCCTAATTATTTCACATTTTGAGGAGGATTTGTGTTTTGAAAAATACAAAAATGTTTCCTTGTTTCATTTATGTAGATCTACCTGTTTTCAAACAATTGAATTAAAACTTTTCAATAATAAATGAAGACTAGCGATGTTTCCAACAGATGCCACCTTGCTCATTTAGCAGCCATCTTATTTAAGTTCTTTCTTTGTTAACGAGATTCAGGGGAAGGCAACTCTATTTTACAAATGGTTGCTGTTTATATAGGAAATCCTGCTCGCAAACACTGCTGTTAAAAGTTAATTTCTTGCCTATATTGATATATTTAGCTATTGATTTAGGTTTATTATTCATTTATCTATAATATTTGACACAAATTTATATATCAAAATATACTTCTATTAAAGCCTTGACAATGAGGTAACTTTTTCGTACATTACTAGCCGCGGGCGATTTTACGTACCCAAAACGATAGATTACCGAGATCTATTCTATTGATTATCATTATTGATTGTTACTTTACTTGTGTTACTTAGGCCCTACTTAATTAATTATTAATTAATTATTAATTATAATTACTTAACTTTAACTGAACTGAACTTAACTTAAACTTATTACTTGGGTAATCTATCGCTTTAGTTAGGTTAGGTACGTAAAATCGGCCGCGGCTAGTAATGTACGAAAAAGTTACCTCAGTGTCAACTGTCAAGGCTTTACTTTAATATAAGTATTTTGTGAAATATTTGTGTCAAATATTATAGATAAATGATTAATATACCTAAATTGCTAAATCAATGGCTAAATAATAAATATATCAATATAATATTATAGATCTAGGCAAGAAGTGTTTGGGAGCAGGATTTGCTATATAAAAGCAGCTATCTGTAAGTTAGAGTGACTTCCCCTGAATCTTGCGCTATAAGTTTACAATACAAATAAAATAAAACAATGAGCATTGTTGCATCTGTTGGAAACATAGCTAGTCTTCATTTATTACTGAAAATTTTTAATTCAATTGTTTAAAAACAAGTAGGGGCCTACATTAATGAAACAAGGAACCATTTTTTGTATTTTTCAAAACAAAAATCCTCCTCAAAATGTGAAATAATTATTAAAATTTAAGGAGTCCCCTGTTTTTCACATTACCAGTCACGGGCGATTTTACGTACCTAAAACGATAGATTACCGTTACTTGTTAGTTGTTAGGACTTGGGTTAGCCAGGGCAGGAGGGCAAGTTTAGTGATATTTTTAATTTTAGGTACAATAGTTAGTGTCATAGATTACTCATAGCATAGACTCATAGCATAGATTCTCCATTATTGTATTAGCAAGTCATATGTGTAGGACCCCATCATTTAAAATCTATGTCATCAGTGATAGTAGTAGGATTAATATTTATTAATAATAATAAAATAATAATAAGACTAGCATATGTATTATGTATGTAGTATATGTACTATTATGTAGGGTAGGGTATAATTTCCACTACTATAATTAGTAACAGTATAGGTTACCATGCCAAAGATACTTTTAAGATAGGCTTGTTAAATATTAATTATTAATGGCTTAATTAATAATAAAATATTAAAATAAAAAATATAATAGGCCTAATTATAATTTGGTTACTGCAATTTATCAAGGCACACATTTTAAAACTTAACTAATGAAACCACATTTTAGCCTATAAAATCATCTAAAAATTCATATATTTATTATTTCTTAATATAGGCCATAGAATCTATAGGCCTAATTTAATACATAGCAGTAGTTCCCAAACTTTTTCAAGTAGCGACCCCCTTTTATAAAAAATAAGTGACCTTGATCCCATTGAATTAAAAAGTCAAAATTAGTGAGGAAATTAATAAGCACTAAAATAAGATTTTCTAGTAGTCTTTCAATTTGAATTATTCTTGATAACCTGAAGTTTCTGGGAAAATAAACGAAAATATCTCTTTTCGTGATAATCTTGGGGCATTTTCCCAGAAGCTTCAGGTTAAGCTTATGTTGATGTTCGAATAATCAGCTAGGTATGATAATCTCTTTAACCACTCTTTTTCGTTAAAGTTTATCAAAAGATCTTTTTTTCCTTACACTTCCAAGAACAAGTTAATTTCATCTTTCAATTCAAAAACATGATTCACAACATTTCCTTTTGACAGCCAGCATACTGTAGCGTAGAAAAGCAGAATCATGTGATCTTTATTCATGTCTTTGCACATTTCTTTAAACAGACCAGTGTTTAGCGCTCCAGATTTAATATATTTTATGACTTTTATTAGCTATGGAGTCAGACGAGTCTTGCTGGCGAGGACATACCGGTGAATTATACAGTGGATTCCCCTTGGTTAGGGAGCTAATTCTTTTACTGTTTTCTGAAAGTAGTGAAAGCCTGATTTTGACCCAAACATAGATTGCGCACCATCAGTACGAACCCACAGCCATATTCCCATTTTAGACTCCAATTTCAATAAGCATATTTTTTTCACTCCATAATATTTTCACAAAATAGCAGCTTTTCTTTGCTATCATCTGAATTAATATATTTCACAAAGACAAGCCATGAACTCACGTTTGTTGATTCATCAACTTGAAAAGCAAACAATAGTGAAAGCTTGATTTCAAAATTTGTTCTTTAACATCTACGGGCATGTCTGCTATAAGCCACTGAATAGTATTATTAGACAGAGATATTTGATGTATAATTTCATCATCTTCAACATGCAGGGTTTGATGACATTTTCTCCTATTGTGTGTTTTTTTACATTGCTTGGCAATTTCTAATGCGACTTCATTTGAAACTTGCACTAATGCTGTGTTTCCTTGGTGAAAACTTCCTGTTCGATCAAATCTCTGACGTTTGCAACTAGCTTCATGCCGACAAAAAACTCCATATCTTTTTTTATTGTGTTCCAATTGACTCGCCTTAAAATGACGTTTTAGTTTTAAAGGTTTCATAAACTCATGACTAAGAACAACTTTGCACTGTATGCACTGTTTCTTCTCTATTCCATTTCCATTGATGTTAGTAAAGTCAAATTTCAGATATTCTTCTCAATATTTATGTTTTTAATTTCTTAGCTAGGGTTTAGTCTACCAGTTGGCTACCCCCCAGAAAGCCCTTTGCGACCCCCTGGGGGTCGCGACCTACAGTTTGGGAACCTATGACATATAGTATAGAGGTGATACATCTACAGGCCTATCCAAATGTCTATATTTTAACTAGGAAAGTTGGTGGAGGAGGGCAAGTGTGTTTCATTTGATTTTTTAACATCTTATGTATTGGAATATACAGACTAAATATTTTTTAGAATACTACATTGATCATATCACTTTAAAAACACCATCTTTAGCTAATATACCGTAGTTACTATAATAAACCTTAGTTACGCATTGAATATTATTTTGGGAAATTGAAATTTGCTCTCTTCAACCCCTTGTTCTTGCAGAAATTAGAAGGTAGTAGCTACATGTCTGATATGAATTTAGCTGTAGGTTGATATACTCAACTGCTGTTGTTGCATACAAAATGCAAGGCTACAAGCACAACTTCTTTCATAGTAATCTAGCAGTATTAGTTTGATTGTGATTGTGTTGAAATTGATCTTAACATACACAATAAAGAATAATTAAAAATTATTAAAAATTATTACAAAATTAAAAATTTTCAGGAAAATAACACTACTTTAAGGATAAAAATGAGTTTTTCAAATGGTGAAGATAAATCTCTTCCACCTAACTGGGATATAAAACATTCAAAAACTAGAGGTGGGAGAGTCTACTATTACAACAGAGTAACTGGAGAATCAGTGTGGAAACTTCCTAAAGCCACAAGTGATAAGGTAACCATAAAATGTTTTTTTAGTATTAAAGAAAGTAGGATTGAATTCAGTGAAAGAATTACTTTATGGGAATAAGAACTACTCCAAATTATGAAAGGGTTAATTCATTTTGCTGTCTATTATAGATAATTTTATGTAATACAGTTTAGAAATTAAAAACAATTTCTTAAAGTTAAATTTTATAAATTATAAATACATAATTTTCCAATTAGTGAATTTTTCCTCATCTAAATTTTTTTACTGAAATTAATAAAGCCATCTAAGCAATATATACAAGCTGTGGAACATGTTAAAATTGCTTTTCAAAATAAAATACAAATATTCCTGCAGGTTCTCTCTAATGTACTGACACCTACAGATGCGCAGGGTCGTAATGAAAATACTGAAATACAAGATCAAACTTTTCATAAAAGAAAACAGCCTTTTAGCCCAGAAAATATGTTGCTAGAGAAGAAGTCAAAGCCTGAGAATGTGTCAGTAGTAAAGAGGAGCGCTTCAAGAATTCCAATACCCATAAAGAAACACAAGTCATTATCCAAGGGGAAGCAAAAAACTGAAGGGGCAACAACTTTAAGGGAGGCAATCAAGCCAGAAGAGTTATCTTCAGTAAGGGAGAGAGACAAGTCTGAAGGTTTATCTTCAGCAGTTGGGAAAAACAAGTTTAAGAGCTCAACCTTATTAAAGAAGACTAACAAGTCTGAAAGTTTTAAAGACAGGTTTGAAGGTTCAGCATCATTGCGAGAGACAAACAGATCTGAAGGTTTACCTTCAGTAAGGGAAAAATCCAGGTCTGATGATTCAGTATTATCAAATAACTCAAACAAGTTTAAAAGTTCCATACCATCAAGGGAGACAATTAAGACAGAAATTTCATGTTTAGCAAAGGAGACAAAAAAACCTGAAGGTTCTGCATCAGCATGGGAGACATACCAGTCTGAAAGATCCTCGTCACAAACCAAACAGAAATTAAAAAGCTCAGCTGAGATTAACAACTCTCTCACATGCTCACCCTCCAGGACAAATAGCACATTTTTAAATAAATCAGTTCAAAATTGTGACGGAACTCTTGCTGAAAAAAGTTTCATTAATAGTTTCAGTCCAGTTATTAAAGCTGATCAAGATCAGATTTTTGACATAACAAGAAAAGATCTGGTAGATGGCAGGAAGCCAGAGTTGGAAGTTCAGAGTCAAGTGGCCATTGAAAGTCCTGCTGGTACGCTGACCACAACACGACCTATTGCAAAAGCCAGGAAACGTAAAAAAGAGAATTCCATGGGCGAAGCTCCAACAAACCTAGGTAATACTGTAGACCCTGATCATGCAGCACAGTCAGCTAATACTGTCATTGCAATCCCCAGTCCAGCTGAGATGAATACAAATTTCAATGTAATTCCAAGTGAAAAAGGGGATGATGCAAACAGGCAAAAAGAAACAGTTGATATCCTTAATGGAACTGTTGACCAGGTTAGCCAAAGAAATGTGGCCAAATTAAGTTTTTCTGGAACTAACAAAAGCAGACGAGATGGAATAACACATTCAAACCAAATGAAATCACAGAAATCCCATTTAACCTCAAGTTTGTTATTGGGTACGAACTCTCTTCAACAAAACCAGTGTTATAGTGAGAATAATTTTAACTTAAACACAGCAATTAGAAAAAACATTCCTGCTGATAATAGACCAATTTCTCCTACATCAAAAGACTTTTCTCCTGGTCTTTCATTAACACCTGGTTCTAGAGGAGGGAGCAATGATGTTAAAACTAGCAGCAATGTGGATCTGATAAATGCAGGATCTAATGAAAACATATTGAGTTTTGAGAACTTACAGTCTAGTCACTATTCTCCATTCAGTGGATATGATCAAAACTGCAATCATAACATTGATGTTGGAGCTATACCTAACAGTGGAATAACAATAGATGTGATACAACGTAAGTCCTTGTTTCATTTTTCTTGTACTGTTACTGAGGCATTGATGTAATTAAAAGAAATAATGTTAGCCATAACTTAACGTAAGGTTTTTACCCCTGTGGGATGGTTGGTAAAGTGATAGCGTGCACAAGTTTACAGTACATCACTGAGTCCAACCAGCTCATAACTTTACTTAAGTCAGGAAAAGTAAATACAGCTAAGCATAGTACTGACCACACAATCCCTTTAGTTGCCCAGATAATTAAAGCAGGTGAACTCTACTTTGTCTATGATATCATCATGTCAGAGGAGAAAAAAATGACCATCGAAATCTTTAGTTTAATTAATTTGTTGTTTTAAGATTATATATTCAACACTCAATATATTTTAAACCAAGGGAGAGAATTAACTACACACCTTTCATATTTATTTTTAATGAATAAAATGATTGACTTTGTTTTCATTTTAAAAGCAGCAGCAAATGATGGGAATGATAGGTTAGAGGAAGTGGAGGACATGGAAGTGGATGAGGATGATGAATTGCATCTTTCTAATGTTAGTGAAATTTGTTTTCTATGTAACACTTGTTAAAGTTATGACCTTTGTAACTTAATATTAAGTTTAGAATTACATTTATATGTTTAAAAAAAATCCTAATACCTTGTCTATAAAGCCCTCTCTAAAATCTGAAAAAGAAATACTGAAATATTAAAAAAGTTTATTGTGTAAATAGACATGATTATTTTTAATTGTAGTAAAAATATTAAATTCAAAGTTTTATTTACTTGTTGGGTAGTCACCCCATAGGAAGAAAGTAAAAAACTATTCACATTTTAATTCATTCTGTTTCATAATTGCATTAATAAAAATAAAATCACCTAATTTAAATACACATCTAAAAATTTTAATTAGGTTAAATAAAAAATAGTCAGCGTTATATTTCAAGTTTCTATTTATTTTTAATCCTCCTTCATCTGGTTATCTGTTGTGCTTTTAACAGCTCCAGGATGTAAGAAAGCAAGCACTGCCAATATCCCATCAGGTAAAATAACCAATCACAAACACTAATATTTAACACAGAATTATACCTCTTACCTTTCATATTATGGTATTGGCTGTTTTAGAGTGTTGAATAAAGATTTCCCTGGAAAATTGTGCTCTGACAGATTGATTTTAATGTTGTAAACTAAAATGCTTTCATGTTAGGAGTACCTGAATTGGCTGAATTAAGAAAAGTAATGAGTTATGTGATTATTTAAATCGAATATTTCATATTTTTTCACAAATGGTTTTGTAAAGAATGTAATAATTTTTTTCTTTCAGCCTTGTGATGTATTTATAGATACAGTTCCTAATACAGATAACTCAAAGAATGCACAAGTAAAGATTTCATTCAATATTCATAGATGTTTTAAATTTTAGCAGGCATTTGAGAATTTATGATTTCCATACCTTATTTAATGATTATGTAGTTAAATGTTGTCAATAGATTTGTAACAGTAATTTGATATTGTTTCAGAAATTTGTTTTGATCATTGATACAAACATTTTGATTTCCTGCCTGACAATAGTGCAAAATATTTTATTCATGGATATTCCAGGTACATTTTTTTATGCTTTCTGGTAACAATTGAATATCAGTGATCTACTTAATATAAAAAAGTATTTTTAATTTAGTCTGATGGTCCAAAGGGCAAATAAAGTAGATTTCACTTGTTTTTGTGACCTCTGCATATAAAGATATAATGTGACCATTTCTATGCCCAACTGCTCTTACTTTCCCTAACTTGAGTCAGTTACCCATCATAGCTGGATGGACCTATGGGCTCCAGTCCCAAAATAAACTCTAGACTTATGGCTGAGTAGTCTTGCACTCTGACCTCACCTAGTCCTGCTTAATATAAATCATCACTTTGTATCTTTTGTTTACTAACAAATTAAACAATTATTATGTAATTATATAATATTAATAACATGAGTATAAAATATTCAGGTGTTATTATGAGAAATTAGTGCAAGTTATAAATTTTGATCTATTTTCTGTCTAGTATTTGGCCCTCCGTTGTTGGTGCTGCCGTGGGTGGTTGTACAAGAACTGGATTACCTCAAGAATGGCAATAAGTCAAGAACAGCTTCAGTAAGTTTTGGTTGGTCATTGTACATCATGTTGCTACATTTTATTGGAATTTTATTCACATATTTTAATCAGGCAAATTCTGCCACAAGCCAGCAAATTGAACCCTGGTCTATTAGTCTAAAAAAATAAAAAAGTTTAACCAAAATGTTGCTAATTGTTAACTATTGATGTGAGGCTATGATACATTTTAAAATTTTAATTTTGAGACAGTTTGGGAATTTGTTTTTTGTGACACATTTTGGAAGATTTTGTATATTTCTGTGTCGTTTTCCTGTGGTATTTCTGTGGTAAACGTTATTTATATCTGTAACACATTTCTGGAATTCTATTTATGTCTATGACATATTTGTGAAATTTTGTTTATGTCTGTGACTCATTGTAAAATTTTTATTTCTACAACACTTTTGTTAAAAAAAAATTTTTTTGTGAAACTTTAAATGAAGAAAATTGTTAAAATTTTATTTATTTCTGTGACACTTTTTAGATGAAGGAAACAGCAAACAAAGCAGCCAAGGCGATAAGGTTTATCAATGGCAAGCTCTCTGAAAGACACAATGGTTTAGTTGGACAGACACCCCAGGAGGTTTGTTTGAATAGTGCTGCAAGATTTCAGTTTGCACTTAATAATCCACACACAACAAACAATCCATGCATGACATACCATTTGTGCATGACAATCAATCTACAAACAGTACAGGAGGTTTGTGAAAACTCTAGCAAGATTTCAGTTTGCACTAAATGACCCATGCATTACATACTATTCGTGCATGACAATCAATCTACAAACACCTCAGGAGGTTTGTGTACATAGTGTTGCAAAATTTCAGTTTGTACTAAATAATCCATGCATGATGAACAACAAACAATTTATGCATGACAAACCCTTCATTCATGACAATCAATATACACGTGACAAAACAATTCACTCTGGGAATAATTCTTTCATAAACAAATCATGTCAACCATGACACGTTTTATCTGTTTTCCTTTAGTTTTTTAATAGTCTGAATTATTTTCTCACAAGGCAAATGAATCTGCAGACTTCCCAATTGAATGTAACGACGACAGAATTTTACAGTGTTGCATCCAGTGCAACAAAAAATGTAAGTCTAACAGTTGAATCCTTAGACCACATTTGCACTTTTGACATGCATACTATTTACATTTAGGAAAAAACCTTGCAGAATTTTCCTGTGAAACATATCTACTTACTAGTTGCAATTTTTTTTTTTTCTAGACATGTATAGTATACATATGGCAAATGTAAACGCAGTTTTAGAGACATTGTCTAGTAGTAGTTAGCCTGTATGGGCTGCTAGCATTTATTTTCCCTGGAGCTTGTCCTTGGTCATTAGCCACCATGATTGTTAGGGTCGGCCCATTTTCTTTTCCCCTGGGGGTTCCAGTCCATATACTTACAAATATTTAGAGATATGGAACTGATTCTTGTATATCAAATTAGATTAACTGGACATTTATAGAGACAATTTTTGAAAATGTTTACAATTACTTAGTTTTTGTATGGTTTGGTCAAATCCATGCTGAAAATAATGTTTCAAATCTTTGTATTTGTGCTGGCCAGAATATATTTTAGAAAATGAAATATGTTAGAAATGAGGCTTTTTAGCCTATAAGCACATCAGTATAAAATAATTAAATCATTATGTGATAAGATATTTTATGATTTCCTGGTGTACTCTCTAACTGTAAAGTAATTCAATACTAGATTTTAATTTTAGAAGACTGAAGTTTTTTTATGATACATTTTTCAATGGAAAACCAAACTGAAAGGTGTACGTGATTGTTGATGATTTTGTTTGTCTTCTGCCTTGTGTAGATATAAAGAGTCTTGTGACCTTGCTAACAAGGGACATCAATCTGATCAACAAGGCAACTATAATGGGAATCAATGCTGCCAACACAGAGGTAGTTTTTTTCTTATCCATTTTTTGTGTGGCTATTTACAGATCAAAACCTTTTTAAAATACTTGATAAATTGAATTGTTTTTTTTTTTAAGACTCTGTGGAAACTTCACAACCTACCTAAGCCTAGGTTTATAATCAATCAAAATCTGCTGCAGCCTCCAGGTAAGTGAGGAAGGTTTAAACAACTTTAACAAGTTTTTAATGTTAAATGTAAACTTAACAAGTTTTTAATGTTAAATGTTCACTTATCAAGTTTTTAATGTTAAATGTGCACTTATCAAGTTTTTAATGTTAAATGTTCACTTATCAAGTTTTTAATGTTAAATGTTCACTTATCAATTTTTAAATTATTTATTAAGTTTATTAATGTTAAATGTGTATTAGAAGTGAGATAAAAATAACATTTTTTTCTAGGCAGGCAAAGTAAAACAGAAGCAGAGAAAAATATGCCAGTAAAGCAGGTATGTTTCTACTAAGGGATTATTGTTAGGTTCTGGCTTAAGAGTGTAAAGTAAAGTTCTCTTTTCCAACCTGATGGTCCATGATATTCACCTGTTTCTGTGAAGGTGAAGTATGGCCAGCACTATGCCCAGCCATCTAACTTTCCCTAACAAAAGTAACCTTTATCTAATGTAAGTTAGATACCCATTAGAGCTGGGTGGACTTCGGGACGTTCTACTGACTTGATCCTAGATTCGAACATAAAGTGTGTTTATATGGTTTAAGGGCTGTCATACTTTTCCTAAGCTGGACCTTGAAAGAAATATTTTGAGTATTTTTCATCTGGGCTGTGAGGTGGACTTATTTTAGAATATAATCATGTGAAATTTTTTTTTTTAAGAATAAGATTGGTTTATATGTGTATATAAGTTGACTACCTTTCATCTAGGCCATTATCTGGACTATTTTAGAATATAGTCACTTGAAGACAATTTCTTTTATTAAAGAATAGGATTGGTTTATATGTGTATATTATTTGGCAGAGTGGATTTGATAAACAGATATTTTGTCTAGTGTGAGCTTGTTAAAGTTCTCCTCAAAAGTAGTTGTATTGTTAATTTTAAATATTGATGTCACATTGTCTAATTCAGCCTACTAAAGTTACATTGACAGACGGGAATGAAAATCGACAGACGCCAAATCTATCTAGTGCCACTACCTCATTGCCTGATCCAACACCTCATAAAAATGCGACTTGTATGGTTAGTACAACCTCTTTAAATTAAAGTTAATACTATTAATTTTTCTAATCTAGCCAAAAAAATTGTCTGTGTAAATGTTAACACTATTGATGTGTCTGATTTAGCCATCATATATTGTCTGTGTAAATGTTAACATAATGGTGTGTCTGATTTAGCCAACACAAATCGTCTGTGTAAATGTTAACACTATTGATATGTCTGATTTAGCCAATAAAAATCTGTGTAAATGTTAACACTATTGATGTGTCTGATTTAGCAAAAAAATATTGTCTGTGTAAATGTTAACACTATTGATGTGTCTGATTTAGCTAACAAATATTGTCTGTGTAAATGTTAACACTATTGATGTGTCTGATTTAGCTAACAAATATTGTCTGTGTAAATGTTAACACTATTGATGTGTCTGATTTAGCCACCAAACATTACCGTGATAGAACAACATCTATCAGTGTCACAGATGAATAAAGCCACAGCTTCAGCACCTGCACAGGTTAGTGTTAACAAAATAGAGACAGTCTGCCATCAAATCAATAAGTATTTTATTTTATTTAGTAAAAAAAAAGTAAAGATTCCTCTTAATACCTAGTGATCCATTGGGCAGATAAAGTAGTTTTGTTTTAGAAAATGAAATATATTGTTTCAGTAAAATGTTTACAAAGGAGGATATAGCTTTTGAAGAATTCAATAACATAAAATAAACCTTAATAGTTTGAAACACTGACCATTATGTTTTGTTTATTTCTTGAAATTTACATTTTATTATTATAAATGAATTATTTAAATGATGTAAAACAAATATATTGAGTGTGGAGTAAGAGAAGTAAGGAAAGAATAATTTTAAACCTTAAGGCCCTTAAAATAAGATAATCCATTTCCATGGCAAGTTTGTATGTGCAGACAGTTTTTAAGCTAAAAGTAATTTTTTTTAACACTTATTAACTTTGTAGTCTTAAAATTTTTTTATTATTAGTATTATCTACTCTGACTTTTTAGATTTTAACCTAAATTGTGTATTTTTTATTTAATTTTTTTTACTTTGAATTTCTAGTCTTCTGAACCACAACATGTTGAGGGAGACAACTCAGCAGTCCTCTCAAAGTTTGAATCAGTTTGGAGAGTTATCTTTGAAGTCAAGTAAGTGATGTAAGGTATAGCTGAACTATCATGGAAATACGTGAAAAATAGAATAAATTTATATGCTTTTTTACCTGAGTTATAAATCCTAAATAATTTGAAAATTTCAGTAGAAACCTTTAAAATATCATTAAAAAACCACCTTTATTGGTAATCATAAGCCTACAGTTCTAATATAATTTATTTTTACTTAGTATGTATTCAGTAACAGTAATGTTACCCTGTAGGACTTTGTGACCCATGAAATAGATAAAGTAAAATTCAGTTTCTGTGATTTCGCCGTATGAAGGGATAGTTTGGTCAGCATTGTGCCCACCACCTTTTCTTTCCCTCGCGTGATATACCAGTCAAAGCAGAGTGTATTCTAGGATATCTTACCGACTCAGACCTGAGATCTGAACTCAGGACTTACAGGTTGTGTGCTCTACCATGCGACCACAGCATTCCATATAAAATTTAAAAAGAGCCTTTAAAGAACATAAAAAAAATAATTTTTTTTTAAATCAATTAGAATTGGTCCGTTCTATTGTTGCCATCTTTTACTCACATTGAAGTTCAATCATTTCCCCCCCCCCCTCCCCACCAGGCAACAGATCAGTGATATTGTTTGTGCTGGCAAATCTCACATCAACTTTGGACAAGCTGTGGACATGTTGCAGACAATCCAACCCATCCTATCTGAGCTACGTGACCACTTTGACAGGTACTTGTGTTTAATACACAACAGTAGTTTCCCTTGGTTGTCTAATTTTATATGGTAGTTGTGTTTAATGTACAACAGTAGTTTCCCTTGGTTGTCTAATTTTATATGGTAGTGTGTTTAATGTACAACAGTAGTTTCCCTTGGTTGTCTAATTTTATATGGTAGTTGTGTTTAATGTACAACAGTAGTTTCCCTTGGTTGTCTAATTTTATATGGTAGTTGTGTTTAATGTACAACAGTAGTTTCCCTTGGTTGTCTAATTTTATATGGTAGTTGTGTTTAATGTACAACAGTAGTTTCCCTTGGTTGTCTAATTTTATATGGTAGTTGTGTTTAATGTACAACAGTAGTTTCCCTTAGCTGTCTAATTTATATTAGCATACATAAGTAGATCGTTTTAGTTCTCTACCCTAACAGGTTGTTGTTTTTAAGATACAACAGTACTTCCCTTGTATTTAAGGTACTACAATACTTCACCTGTATTTAAGGTACTATAACTCTTCACTTATATTAAACATACAACACTAGGCCTACTTCCCTGTATTTAAGATACAATACTTTCCCTGTATTAAATTTACAACAGTACTTCCCCTGTATTTAAAATAATACAACAGTACTTCCTCTGTAATTAAGATACAACAGTACTTCCCATGTAGTTAAGATACAACAGTACTTGCTCTGTATTTACAACAGCACTTCCCCTCAGTTGTCTTACTTTGGCAGTTTTATTTGTATTAGGAAAACAACACTAGTCCCCTTTTGTTGATTATTGGTAAATGTATTGAAGATAGTCGATTGAGTTTTTCTTAGCTGTTTTACTTGGAGAGGTTATTTAAGAAACTGCAGTAGCTCCCTTTAGTTATCAACATGCTAGTCTATTCACTTGTATTACATGTTGATAGATTGTTTAAACCACCCCATGAATGTGTTTACACAGGATGCCCCTCCATATTTCAGGTGCTTGTCCTTCTCCCCCCTCGTCCTTGACAAGTCTAAACCAGACTTCACCAAACTTTCTACCAGCCTCAACACCTTCTTCCAGTGTGCTGGTCTGTCTGGTACTGACCCCAGTCTTCCAGTCTCATCACAGCAGCTGATTGGCTACTTTCACATTTCTAAAAATAGGTACATCCTTGACCTAATTTTTTTTTTTTTAATTTAAGGAGCAGGTAGAATAAAATATTCGTGACGATTTATTTTTAGCTTTAATTATAAATTTTATTTAAATTTTTTTTCCCCAGAGTGATGTTGATGACTGGGCTGGAGCAGCTGACAGAATTGATACGCGACTATAACAGCTTGTCCCAGCAAATTTCTTGACAGATTAATCTGGCAACTTGTCTTCAATGCTACCAGATTTTTCACCACTTGTTATGGGTTTATCTGGCAACATCTTCAATACTACCAGAATTTTACCATTTTTTTGGTAGAAGGTGTAAAATTATACCATGATCTGAACTTGTCTTCAGTACTACCAGATTTTTACCACTTGTTATGGGTTTATCTGGCACCATCTTCAATACTACCAGAGTTTTAACATTTTTGGTAGAAGGTGTAAAATTATACCATGATCTGAACTTGGCTTCAGTACTACCAGATTTTTGCCATTTTTGATGGGTCAATCTGGCAACATTTTTGCAATGCTACCAGGTTTTTACCAATTTTGGTACCATCTGTGAAACTATACCATGATTTGAACTATTCTTGACATTCAATTAACCCGATATGACTTAAAGCCTGGAACCTGTCCAATATTCCTGGGCTTTTGAGAATTAAAGAGTTAAAACCAACATGATAAAGAGAGATGTTACTGACCTCCAAACATGTAGTTTGAATAAGATGGAACTGGAAGACATTGTACAAAATATGTCTAGCTGTTGTCTAGATTGGTTTCATTGTGAATTTCAGTCAGTTCAAACATATGGGGGCAGACCTATTCAATGGTCAACCATGAAGTATGCCTACGATTGGTTTGTTATTTTTAGTGATGCATATTTTTATGTGCCATGCATAAAGTCCAGAAAATTAACTCGAGTGGTAAACAGTGAATTACCAAAAATCAGTACAGCAGTCTGGTAGGGTAAATGCTACCAGGCTATAACCAATTGTGACAGATCAACCGGGTATCTTTTGTCCAGTATTGCCAGATTTTAACCTCTTGTGACAGGACTATCAGGCAACTTTTGTCCAGTATTGCCAGATTTTACTATTTTTGTCAAGGCTAACTGGCAAGTTGAAATAAAAATAGATGGCTGAGAAAAAAAAAACAAGTATAAAAAACTGATACTGTCAGCAACTGTTTGGATAATTGCAATCAGTTTTAATGTGACAGGATGTGAAGGGTAACTAATCCATTAGCACTGAATATCTAGTAATTAATTTATCTTAATTTAAAAGTAGTAACACTTGGTTTATGAGGGATAATTACTGGTTTGTTTTTAAACATAACTGGCATTAACGTACATGCATACAAATAACATTTATATATAATTAATTGCTTTTACAACTATTTGTTTTACACAAAGTTTGCCTTAAAAGTTAAGGCAGTCATATGCAGTATAAAAACCAAACCCAATAAAGTAAAGGCAGCGAATGAAATAATGGTGCTTTTTGTTAATAATAATAAATATTACTCCTTTGACTGTTTCATTAGTAAAAAATGTTAGTTTTTGTGCAAATTAGTTGTTTACAAATTTTTTGTTTATTTCCTTATGTTTATTTATTTGTACATATTATACATGTGATATGTTCTTATTCTTACATTCCTTGAATTGTTGAAAGGTAAGAGGAATCTGACTGTTATATATTTTACTAAAAAATACTTCCCAGTGTTGTAAAAATAATCTATGCATGACTTTTAGTACTGTGTTGAATGCATTTCTATAAAACATGTTTACAAGTATGTAAGTGTTTGTTGTTTTCAAAAACTACATATAAGGGTTAAAGGTTACAAGTTAAAGTATCCTACCTTGCTGTGATTTTAAAATGCAACAAAACAGGTGAAATAACTGTGAAATAGTAATAGACCTACTACTTCAACAATCTATTACTTGAAAAAAATAAAGAGATAATAGCAAAGAAATAATTTTAACGTTTTATAAAACGTAGTAGGTAAGTGGTGTGAGTTTCATGCAGGTACCCCCCCCCCCCTCTTTCCCACGAATCACGTTTAACGCCCCTCCCCCCCCCAACGAATTATTAGTTCATGTACAAAATACATACTTTAACTAGTGTATCCTTCCCCTCATCAGAAGTTTAAAGTCCATTCCCTACTCCCCCGAAGTAAAATGTCTGAAAGAAACATCGAATGGTGTGTTTAGAGGTGGTGTGTGGGAGTTGGTGTGTGCAGAAGGGGTGGAGTAGAGTCTATCGTTTGATGTATAAATTGAAAAGATAACTTGCTTATTTCATTTTAAAAAATCAGTTTTTAAACTTTAAATGACGATATATACACGAAAACAAACTAATTCTGTTTCAATCTTTACACCGACGTAAAGTTCACTTTTATAACTACTTTGTGTTGTAAATTCAAGTCTTTCTGATTTACGGTCGCGAAGCCGTACCGCATGTAACCCTCGAGTCAACTTTCAGCCCCGAATGAGTTGCTCGCCGAACGGTTTTAAAGGTTGACGACCGATGATGCTAAACGGATTTTACCCTTGCTAGAGCCTTCAAACAAGTTGTAAGTATCATTTTTAAAGTTTCATTTCCATTTTAATAAATGAATTTTAAGTTTGAATGTCAGTTTGGTTTAATTAGCACACGTTATTAATGTAAATTTGAACCCTACTAGTCCACGGTTTTAGCGTGTGAACTACGCTTGTACACATGGTGTGTTTAAACGTGAAGCTATTTAATTCAGGACATTAATACTTATAAAATATTATTAAAACACAAAAGAAACTTATAATTATAATAACTATACATTTTCATCAATTTATTTAAAACAAAAGATACTAAATTTTAAGGACTAATGTGATTAATTTTTAATTTTCTGTTGTGCACTTTGATTCTGATTCCCCTTCTGAATAATGTGAAATGGTCTGCGCCAGTCTCCTTAATAAAATGTACCAGATCTATTTTTAGATGGTGGTGCAATTTAATAAGATTGTACATGTTGTGACTTAGTTTTAAATGTTATATTAGTTGTAAGTGTAAGTAGTACTAGTAGTATTTCTCATTATTTATTTATTTTATATGCATATAGTAACAATGAAGGACAGTTAAGTTGTCCTATATGATGTTGAGAACTACAGTATGGCATCTTCATCATTGGATATCTCAACCATTGTGGCACAAACAACGAATATTTCATTCAATAGAATTAATGTTCAAAATGTACTATCAAGTATAAATTACTTTAAACAAAAAGGTGTTTTCAGGCTTTTTCATGTTTCCAGCTACAGTCATAGGACAAATAGTAGGCCTACACAATAGGCTAGTAGTAAATCTAATTATATTTTATTAATCACTAAAACAATTATTTATTCCTCCATAGCTGGAGACATTTATGGTGGCCTATCCAGAACTTTTCTTACAAGGGAAGGGAAGAAGGCCAAGCCCCCCCCCCCCCCAACTACAGTTGCCAAAACATATCACTTACTCTTGATGCTCCCCAAGATCAAGGTTGGGGGAAACAAGACATACAAAGATGTGGAGTTGTCGTTTTAAAAATTGTTCCCCCAAAGCAGTTATCAACCCAATAGGTTTGAATGTAACAGCAACTGCTGCATTACTTGTAGGCATCACGTCTTTATTAGATTACATTACATTACTCCACTAAATTTTGATTCTGTTTTTCCTGCTCTAGATAACTGTGGCATTTTTTTAAAATAATATTTTAACTCATGTGATTTTTGAAAATAATGAACACATTCTTCCTGTTAATGTTACCAACAAAATAGTTTTAGAGTTATTCTATGTCCAAAGCAAAAAAAAAAAAAAAATTTTATGAAAATAAAAGTGACCAAAACGCATTTTTGTCATTTTCAATTATTTTTTTACCTTAGAAAGACTCATTTTAGATGACTGAAAAAAATTGGGCATATATATTACAAACTTTGCAGTAACTTTACCAATTTCTACACTTCTATGTTATTTAGTTTAGAAAATATGGGTTCTCAAAAATGTCACTTTGTGAAAATCAGTTTTTTACCAAATTTTGCTTTTTTAAAAATCGCATAACTTTTTTTATTTATTAAGATATTTTTATAACATTTGTGGCATAGAGCTTACAATTAAAAGTTCTTTCATGACATACTCACTCCAGAAGTCTGCAATCAATAGTTAATTTCAGTTTGGACTACCTAATAGAATAGAATCCCGTAAAAAAAAAATTGCACACCAAGTGAACACCAAATAAAATGTGCATAAAAGTGGGGGATATTATTAGTACTTTATAAATTCACTTGCGTTTTTTTGAGAAATCGGAAATAGCGTAAATTAGTACTTCCGGTCAACGGAAATTACTAAAAAATTTGATAGAAGGCAGAAATTAGAACGTTTACTTACATGTGAAATTTCATGTATCTATCTGAAATAGTACTCAAGTTATAGGCTTTTGAAAAATTCAAAGTAGAAAAAGTTCCACTTCCGGTTATCGGAAATCGCTCAAAAGTTGATACGGATCTACGATTTTGATATAATACTTATATATGAAATTTCATCAACCTAGCTGTAACGGTTCTCAAGTTATCGTGTTTACACACACACACAGACACACACACAGACACGCATACACACACAGACATACTAACAAGATTGCAAAACTATGTTTTATCTGACTCAGGGAGGTGTAAAACGTCGAGATTTTTCTCGATTTTTTTCACGATTACAAGACTCTCTATATCTCGTATATACGAGAAAGTAAAAAGCGACTAAGATAAATGAACGGGTTTTCAATGGTACCATTGAATCAATGGAACTCAATTTCGATGAAATATTTGTTCATGTCTTCACTCCGTGTTGTTACCATGAAATTTTTTACATAGGACTTGACTACTGGGAATCATACAGAACATAAGATTAAAAATAATTTTTTTTGCCTGCTACCCAACAGGCTTTTCTAGTGTTTAATGAGCGAACAGTGATGACAGTAAATCATAATAAAAAAGAATTTTTTTTCAGCAAATCTTTTATTTTTTACATATGAATCTCTAGTAACCGGCTTGGGTCACAAGATCAATGTCTTACTGGCAAGGATCCTTGAAGTCTTCTCTCCATAAGGCGGACAACCACGGGAACCTGTTTAGATAAGGATATCAGTTACACCAGTGGCTGAACTAGAAAAAAAAACTCCCCCGCAAACATTCTTTTGCCCACTATATATATATATATATATATATATATATATATATATATATATATATATATATATATATATATATATATACATACATACATATATATATATATATATATATATATATATATATATATATATATATATATATATATATATATATAAGTAGCCTGCTTCACAAAATTTTAAATTAATCTCTTACCTAGTTTAGAAATTTAACTTATCTTATAGCAAAGTATAACCATCATGAGACAAGAAACCATAAAAAAATATGTCTAAACTCATTTCGGTCTTATAATAATCGCGTTTTAAATAAACCGGGAGTGATCTCCCCTAAACTTTCTCGAATATTTTTATATAAAATAACATGGGATGTGAACTCGGGCTATAGACATGATTTTTAATCCATTTTAAATACTTAAAGTTTTAAAAATAGAATAAAATCTCGTAGACAAAAGAATTGCACTCCAAGTGAACGCTAAATAAAAAAAGTGCATAATAGTGCGCAATATTATTAGTACTTTAAAAATTTACATTAGTTTTTGAGAAATCGGAAGTAGCGTAAATTACTACTTCCGTTCAACGGAAATGACTCAAAATTTAACAGAAGGTAGAAAATTAGATCTTTTACTCATATGTGAAATTTCGTTTATCTATCTGAAATAGTACTCAAGTTATAGGCTTTTGAAAATTTCAAAGTAGGAAAAGTACCACTTCCGGTTATCAGAAATCGCTCAAAAGTTGATACGGATCTACGATTTTGATAAAATACTTATATATGAAATTTCATCAACCTAGCTGTAACGGTACTCAAGTTATCGTGTTTACACACAGACAGACAGACAGACAGACAGACAGACAGACAGACAGACAGACAGACACACAGACAGACACACAGACATACGGACAAGATTGCAAAATTATGTTTTTCCGTATCAGTGAGATGTAAAACGTCGAGATTTGTAAAAATCTCGATTTTATTTTATTGCACGATTACAATACTTTCTCTATACTTCGTATATACGAGAAACTAAAAAAAAATGTTTGCGATAGCATTTCGTGTTTGACGAAATATGTGAAGGAGAGTTATGGGCACCCCTATTAGACTATTTAAATTTAAAGAAGGGCAATAAGTCATGGAACTAGTGTGAACGTTTGTCTATCTTTCACACTACAGCTGAGGTAGATATTTAAAAAAAAATTTTTTTCTACGCAACAGTGTGTTTTAGTTGCTGTAGAACTATCACTACTGTAGTAGACCTGTTTTTTTTACAGAACCACCATTAATGTGCAAGAAAACATTATTATGAAAATTTTTTAAATTTTTTTTTGGGTCGGAATCGGGCCCCCTAAACGGCCTGCCAGCCCTCCTCCCCCTCCGCATTTCGGGGTCTGGCGGCACACATTTTCTTCCTAATGACCTATTACACTCAGTGGCGTAGCCAGGAATTGGTCATGGGAGTTCAAACATTTTTCTATATGTATACAATCCTACATATATACCTATATATATATACCTATATATATATATATATATATATATATATATATATATATATATATATATATATATATATATATATATATATATATATATATATATATATATATATATATATATATATATATATATATATATATATATATATATATATATATATATATATATATAGGGGTCAATGGGAGGGGTTATAACCCCCCTACCCCCCTTGCCTACGCCACTGATTATACTTATGATTATACTCTACACTATACTTACCAGTAACACGCACAATGTGCTATTGTACATGTAAAATGTCCTGCTAAAATCTTTGGCACTAAACTTATCAGTTACACCTCCTACTGTGCTTATAAAATGCCCTGCATAGGTCCTCTCAACATACCTGGGCCCTTGCCTAATGTGTATGATGGGTACTGGAATGTATTCCAATTGATTTTGATTCCTCGTGATGGCTACCATAGAGTTACAGGTCCAAGTCAGGTCGTAAGCTGGCACTATCTGAAGAGAAGAATCAGAAAGAGGCTGTCAACTTAGGTTACGTGCATGTGTTACGTAATATCGGTGTCAAGTTATTTCCGGATTATCTTCTTCTTTCTAAATTCCAGTGTTGGAAGGGACCCCCCACCAACACAATTAAGTATACGTGTCAACCGGTTATGCGCCATTGAGGCCATTGACTCCGATTTCAGCCTGTTCCGGATTTTATAAAGCACGATTTCCGGTTGAACCAGTTTGCAGTATTTAGTTTTTAAGTGATTGATTACAAAAGAACAACAAACATTTGGAGTTTTGAGTTCCTATTGATATATTAGCATCATAATAAAACATAATTTCTGCGATAAAGCACGTCACACTTCTGAATTTGAAATTGAATAAAGTACCAATTAAGATTATCGGAAATTGCTCAAAAATGAGGGCAGCCTACGAATAGTTGTATATGAAATTTCGACAATCGAATGGAAATGGTACTCAACGGTTTTTAACAAACCTAGAATCAAACACAAACAAGCACAAGCACAAGCACATGCACATGCACATGCACGCACACATACACATACACATACACGTACACATACGCATACGCATACCCATACCCATACCCATACCCATTCTCATACTCATACTCATACTCATACTTATACTCATACTCATACTCATACTCATACTCATACTCATACTCATACTCATACTCATACTCATACTCATACTCATACTCATACTCATACTCATACTCATACTCATACTCATACTCATACTCATACTCATACTCATACTCATACTCATACTCATACTCATACTCATACTCATACTCATACTCATACTCATACTCATACTCATACTCATACTCATACTCATACTCATACTCATACTCATACTCATACTCATACTCATACTCATACTCATACTCATACTCACACTCACACTCACACTCACACTCACACTCACACTCACACTCACACTCACACTCACACTCACACTCACACTCACACTCACACTCACACTCACACTCACACTCACACTCACACTCACACTCACACTCACACTCACACTCACACTCACACTCACACTCACACTCACACTCACACTCACACTCACACTCACACTCACACTCACACTCACACTCACACTCACACTCACACTCACACTCACACTCACACTCACACTCACACTCACACTCACACTCACACTCACACTCACACTCACACTCACACTCACACTCATACTCATACTCATAGACACGCACAAGCATATGCACATGCGCACGCACATACACATGTATATTCATACGCACATGAACATGTACTTTCACATGCACATGTATGTGCACATGCGCATGCACGTGCACATACATGTTATAATGCAAAATTGGTTTTCCTACGCATTCGAAAAATGCCGATTTATAATGTTTGTCTGACTACGATATTCCCTGCTATAATCCGTTTACAAGAAAGTAAAACAAAAAATATAATAACTTTAAGGAATGAATTGATAAAGAAGTCTGGACTAGTGTTGAAATGAACTCAAGCAAGCACTCGATCTATTTTAAGCTTTGAACTTTGAACTCACCCCGTGGTCGTGTACGGTGCAGTCGGGCCAAAACGTCTTGTACGTGACGTCATCCACCTTCACCACCCAGATCTTACACTCGTCCCTTGTGGTCAAGTCACTTGCGGTCAACTTCTTGACTTGGTCAATTGAGAACGGCTGGGACCTGAGGCAGCAATAAAACAACAAAAAAAAAACAAAATAAAAAAATAAAAAAATAAAAACCTACACCTACACCTACACCTACACCTACACTTACACCTACACCTACACCTACACCTACACCTACACCTACGCCTACGCCTACGCCTACACCTACGCCTACGCCTACGCCTACGCCTACGCCCACGCCCACGCCTACGCCTACGCCCACGCCCATGCCCATACCCATACCCATGCCCATACCCATACCCATATCCATACATACCCATACCCATACCCATACCCATACCCATACCCATACCCATACCCATACCCATACATATACCCATACCCTTACCCATACCCATATCTATATCTATCTCTATTTCTATTTGTATATCTATATCTATATGTATATCTTTATCTTTATCTTTATATCTATCTATCTCTATATACGTTTAATGTATGTGGCTTTGTATGTGTGGCTGAGAAAGGGGGATGTAAATATATCGACAATTTAAAAGAAAATGTTGAAAGAACGTGTCGTCCGTAACCATACATACATGTCGTTAGGGGGAGAGGTGATGTTGTAAGGTTGTATGAAGATCTGACCGTTGCTGTCCTCCCAAATGACACACACCACACGACGACGCAGCATGCCGTTGAAATACTGCTCATACAGGTAGGTCACAGCCTGCAAGGTAGAAGTTAGGTCAGTTATGGTGGTGGTGGTGGCGGGGGTAGTGAGTAGTGGGTGGTAGGTGGTAGGGGAGGAGTAGCAAAATATATAGAGAAAAATGATAATTCCACTTAATTAAGTCATTAATTCGAGTGTTAAATAGTCTTTTAATACGTGCAAATCGAAAGTTTGAGAGGGGGGTGGGGTGGTGGTAGTGGTTGCAAATCGAAAGTTGGGGGGGGGGGGGGGGTTGCAAATCGAAAGTTGGGGGGGGGGGGGGGGGGTTGCAAATCGAAAGTTTGAGGGGGGGTGTGCAAAATCGAAAATTGAAAGTTTGTCCCCGGGAAGGCTCGCTACGCCTCTGGGGGGGGGGGGGGGGGGGAGGGGGTGACACCATTAAGTGCCGCACCGGGTGACACCCGACCTCGCTACGTCACTGTAAGTAAGAAGTGGGTTTAATATTTTAAAATCTATGCTGGGGTGGGGGTATGTCAAGTGTGTACCTGTCCCGTATCTATGGTGGTGGGATTTCAAAAAGTGTGTATCTGTCCCGTATTTATGGGGTGGGAATTTCAAAAAGTGTGTAGGTCTACCTGTCGCAAATTTATGGGGTGGGAATTTCAAAAAGTGTGTAGGTCTACCTGTCCCGTATTTATGGGGTGGGAATTTCAAAAAGTGTGTATCTGTCCCGTATTTATGGGGTGGGAATTTCAAAAAGTGTGTAGGTCTACCTGTCCCGTATTTATGGGGTGGGAATTTCAAAAAGTGTGTAGGTCTACCTGTCGCAAATTTATGGGGTGGGAATTTCAAAAAGTGTGTAGGTCTACCTGTCCCGTATTTATGGGGTGGGAATTTCAAAAAGTGTGTAGGTCTACCTGTCCCGTATTTATGGGGTGGGAATTTCAAAAAGTGTGTAGGTCTACCTGTGCCGTATTTATGGGGTGGGAATTTCAAAAAGTGTGTAGGTCTACCTGTCGCAAATTTATGGGGTGGGAATTTCAAAAAGTGTGTAGGTCTACCTGTCCCGTATTTATGGGGTGGGAATTTCAAAAAGTGTGTAGGTCTACCTGTCCCGTATTTATGGGGTGGGAATTTCAAAAAGTGTGTAGGTCTACCTGTGCCGTATTTATGGGGTGGGAATTTCAAAAAGTGTGTAGGTCTACCTGTCCCGTATTTATGGGGTGGGAATTTCAAAAAGTGTGTAGGTCTACCTGTCCCGTATTTATGGGGTGGGAATTTCAAAAAGTGTGTAGCTCTACCTGTCCCGTATCTATGGGGTGGGAATTTCAAAAAGTGTGTATCCGTCCCGTATTTATGGGGTGGGAATTTCAAAAAGTGTGTAGGTCTACCTGTCCCGTATTTATGGGGGGGGGGGGGGGATTTTAAAAAGTGCGTAGGTCTACCTGTCCCGTATTATGGGGGGGGGGGGGGATTTTAAAAAGTGTGTACCTGTTCCAGAGCGGGAATCTCAACTGGCATCGACTTGATGACCGACAGGAACGGTTTGTCAGGGTCACTGGCATCACTAGACTGGTAACTGGCCACCTCCGCTTCGTCAGAGAACTGACCGTTGAACAGGGTGTAGAACGTCATCAGGTTGTACGATATGGCTGGGGGTAAAAAGTGGAACACAGTTTGTTAGTGATTAACACAGGGGTACGGCGTATTCTTTTTTTGTTGTTGATGTAGTCATGTTATAGTTGTAAGTTTATTGCTAGTGGTGTTATGTTATAGTTGTAAGTTTATTGCTAGTGGTTTTATGTTATAGTTGTAAGTTTATTGCTAGTGGTGTTATGTTATAGTTGTAAGTTTATTGCTAGTGGTTTTATGTTATAGTTGCAAGTTTATTGCTAAGGGATTCATGTTATAGTTGTAAGTTTATTGCTAGTGGTTTTTGTTATAGTTGTAAGTTTATTGCTAGTGGTTTTTTGTTATAGTTGTAAGTTTATTGCTAAGGGATTCATGTTATAGTTGTAAGTTTATTGCTAGTGGTTTTATGTTATAGTTGTAAGTTTATTGCTAAGGGATTCATGTTATAGTTGTAAGTTTATTGCTAGTGGTTTTATGTTATAGTTGTAAGTTTATTGCTAAGGGATTCATGTTATAGTTGTAAGTTTATTGCTAGTGGTTTTATGTTATAGTTGTAAGTTTATTGCTAAGGGATTCATGTTATAGTTGTGAGTTTATTGCTAGTGGTTTTATGTTATAGTTGTAAGTTTATTGCTAGTGGTTTTATGTTATAGTTGTAAGTTTATTGCTAGTGGTGTTATGTTATAGTTGTAAGTTTACTGCTAGTGGTTTTATGTTTTAGTTGTAAGTTTATTGCTAGTGGTTTTATGTTATAGTTGTAAGTTTATTGCTAAGGGATTCATGTTATAGTTGTGAGTTTATTGCTAGTAGTGTTATGTTATAGTTGTAAGTTTATTGCTAGTGGTTTTATGTTATAGTTGTAAGTTTATTGCTAGTGGTTTTATGTTATAGTTGTAAGTTTATTGCTAGTGGAATCATGTTATAGTTGTAAGTTTATTGCTAGTGGTTTTATGTTATAGTTGTAAGTTTATTGCTAAGGGATTCTTGTTATAGTTGTGAGTTTATTGCTAGTGGTTTTATGTTATAGTTGTAAGTTTATTGCTAAGGGATTCATGTTATAGTTGTAAGTTTATTGCTAAAGGATTCATGTTATAGTTGTAAGTTTATTGCTAGTGGTTTTATGTTATAGTTGTAAGCTTATTGCTAGTGGTTCTATGTTATAGTTGTTAGTTTATTGCTAGTGGTTTTATGTTATAGTTGTAAGTTTATTGCTTGTGGTTTTATGTTATAGTTGTAAGTTTATTGCTTGTGGTTTTATGTTATAGTTGTAAGTTTATTGCTTGTGGTTTTATGTTATAGTTGTAAGTTTATTGCTAGTGGAATCATGTTATAGTTGTAAACATGGTGGAATCTAATCAAACACCAACTGGTATTACTAACATGTTGGCTGCCTTAAGGGGACGGGAGGTTAAACAGTGTCGACCCGTGTCGTTGTGGGACGTTAAATATTGGTGGCCTTTGTTCTAATGGGACGTTAAATATTGGTGGCCTTTGTTCTAATGGGACGTTAAATATTGGTGGCTTTTGTTCTACTGGGACGTTAAATATTGGTGGCCTTTGTTCTCGTGGGACGTCAAATATTGGTGGCTTTTGTTCTACTGGGGCGTCAAATATTGGTGGCCTTTGTTCTAGTGGGACGTTAAATATTGGTGGCCTTTGTTCTAATGGGACGTTAAATATTGGTGGCCTTTGTTCTAATGGGACATTAAATATTGGTGGCCTTTGTTCTAATGGGAGGTTAAATATTGGTGGCCTTTGTTCTACTGGGACGTTAAATATTGGTGGTTTTTGTTCTACTGGGACGTTAAATATTGGTGGCCATTGTTCTAATGGGACGTTAAATATTGGTGGCCTTTGTTCTAATGGGACGTTAAATATTGGTGGCCTTTGTTCTAATAAGACGTTGAATATTGGTGGTCTTTGTTCTAATGGGACGTTAAATATTGGTGGCCTTTGTTCTACTGGGACGTTAAATATTGGTGGCCTTTGTTCTACTGGGACGTTAAATATTGGTGGTCTTTGTTCTACTGGGACGTTAAATATTGGTGGCCTTTGTTCTACTGGGACGTTAAATATTAGCAGCCGGTGTTCTAGTGTGAAGTTAAATATTGGTGGCCTTTGTTCTACTGGGACGTTAAATATTAGCAGCCGGTGTTCTAGTGTGAAGTTAAATATTAGCAGCCGGCGTTCTAGTGTGAAGTTAAATATTAGCAGCCGGTGTTCTAGTGTGAAGTTAAATATTAGCAGCCGGCGTTCTAGTGTGAAGTTAAATATTAGCAGCCGGTGTTCTAGTGTGAAGTTAAATATTAGCAGCCGGCGTTCTAGTGTGAAGTTAAATATTAGCAGCCGGTGTTCTAGTGTGAAGTTAAATATTAGCAGCCGGTGTTCTAGTGTGAAGTTAAATATTAGCAGCCGGTGTTCTAGTGTGAAGTTAAATATTAGCAGCCGGTGTTCTAGTGTGAAGTTAAATATTAGCAGCCGGTGTTCTAGTGTGAAGTTAAATATTAGCAGCCGGTGTTCTAGTGTGAAGTTAAATATTAGCAGCCGGTGTTCTAGTGTGAAGTTAAATATTGGCGTTCGGTGTTCTAGTGGGACAGAAGGTTAAATATTGGCAGCCCTTTATATTTAACGCCACACTAGGACAAGGGCCCCTAATATTTAACGCCACACTAGAACACTTGCCGTATCCTAGTCGGACGTTTAATATTGTCGGCCCGTATCCTAGTCGGACGTTTAATATTGTCGGCCCGTATCCTAATTGGACGGCAGGTTTAACAGTGACGGTTTTGTAATAGGGCTGGTAGGTAGGTCACCAGCCAGTTCTATGGATCATGTAGGCTTTATTGAGCCGTAGAACTGGTTGGTGACCTACTTACCAGCCCTATAGTGGGGCGGCAGACTAAATATTGGAAAATGCACAATGCATAATTTATGCACCAAACACACGACAAACACGAAACAAACACAAATACCGACACACTCACCACACACACATAAAATATATTTACCACACACGCCAAACATATTACACACACATACACACACTCAACAGCATCACAAACACAAAAACACAGACCCACTCACCAAACTCACAAAAAAAAAAAAAAAAAAAAACAACAACCCACACACACAAACTCTCACAACAGTTGACCCACCTGGAGGTTCCTCAACATTGTCGTCGGCTCGACTGGCCCCACACCCAACCACCAGCAATACGACCAGGCACCAAAATTTCGTCATTCTAAAATATCTCGAGCACCGGCAGAGAGCAGCAATAGCCCAGCACATGCGAACGATCCGGTATTTATTGATGTTTCTTTCATTTTACTGCCGCATTTGTTGCGTCAATAGGATACATTTATGCAAATCTATTTAATCTTATTTATCCACCATCAAATAGGTTTAAAAAAAAATGAATGATAGATAATATTGACTGGGAAATTCGACCGTTTGGATACGATCGTACCAGGTCGAATGATAGTCGATGTTGATTGGGAACTCCGACCGTTTGGATACAACCGTACCAGGTCGAATGATAGTCTTGACTGGGAACGCCGACCGTTTGGATAAATCGTACCAGGTCGAATGATAGTCGATGTTGATTGGGAACTCCGACCGTTTGGATACAATCGTACCAGGTCGAATGATAGTCTTGACTGGGAACTCCGACCGTTTGGATACAATCGTACCAGGTCGAATGATAGTCTTGACTGGGAACTCCGACCGTTTGAATACAATCGTACCAGGTCGAATGATAGTCGACGTTGATTGGGAACTCCGACCGTTTGGATACAATCGTACCAGGTCGAATGATAGTCGATGTTGATTGGGAACTCCGACCGTTTGGATACGATCGTACCAGGTCGAATGATAGTCTTGACTGGGAACTCCGACCGTTTGGATACGATCGCACCAGGCCAATGGCCAGAAAAAAGCACGTCTAAGAATGATAAATAGTGTGGGGATGGAACTGCGATAGTTTGCAAGAAGACAGAAGGCAAGTCAAAGTGGAAGAGGCTTGTGTAGCAGGTAAAAAAAACCCCACCATTGATTGTAGAGCCACAGAGATTGATGGATATACAAAGGACGCGCATTAACATCAACGTTGCTATCTTCTCTTTTCCTCTTTATTTTCATCTACTAATGGTGATACTTCCATGCTTTTCTGTGCTTTGCCATTTTTTCCATGCACTCAAACATTTTAAAACGAAATGAATATAACTTGATGTATGTTTTTGTTGTGTAGGTATTCGTATATAAAAAAAAGTATTATGGCTTTATTAGGTTCTCTTTAAGCAGGGAATACGAATTCTACCTATATGTTCTAGAAAGTTTGCAAGTGAGGCCACCATAAAGACCAGTGTTCAGTGTGGCGTTCAAATATTTAAAAAAAAAACAACAACAAGAAGCTTAATTTATATATGGAGCTGCACTTTCAGTTGACCTTAATATACATTGTCTTAATAAACCGTTTAGTAATTTAGGGAGAGGTACGATTGTACAATGGTTGGTTCTGAAATTTACTTACCTATATCAATTAATATGGGATATATTTGTATATATATATATATATATATATATATATATATATATATATATATATATATATATATATATATATATATATATATATATACTAGCTGAATACCCGAGCTTCGCTACGGTGAAGCTTTTTTCTAACTGTACCAACAGGGAACAGAACAGAACAAAACCAAACACAAACACAAAAGAAAACACAAGACATACATACATATACATAATCAAATAATTGGTGTTGCTAAGCAGCGCAACTCGCCATTGAGTTGGGTGGTTACATTAATATTCCCACCCTTACACCATACTATCTGAGTCCGCCAATGATACAAATATGTAATGATAAACTTTCTCATAGAGTATCTGTCATAGACTTATATACATACGTTACATAGCTTTGATGTCAATCATTCTGGACAGATGATATCAATCCCGAGTGTCACATTTAAGCATGGTGGTTTTATTATAATTCTCACTGTGTCTTGAAACTAGTGGTAAAAAATTGACAGGCCCCTAATGCGTTTATGCAATATTTTTTTGGAAGGCTCACCTCGCGAAGTATTAGCCCGGTTTAAACAAATTTAACACAATATGATGTAATAGATAAATAATTTTTTTTTTGCGTTGACTGAAATTTTTTTGTAACACAGACAGACAAATAAATACACACAGACATATCGACAGACAGACAGACACCGCCAGACTGCTAATCCGAAAGTCTCGAATCCGGGTAAAGTAAGTACGGCGTCCCTGAGTCCACCCAGCTCCGAGGAATACCTAACTCAGGTTAGAGAAAGGACAAGCGGCTGGGCATAGTGTTGACCACACTATCCCCTCATATGCTGAGTTCACAGAAACAGATGATTTCTACTTCATTTGCCTCATTGACTTTTTACTTTCTCGTATATACGAAGTATAGAGAAAATCTTGTAATCGTGCAAAAAAAATAAAATCGAGATTTTCACAAATCTCGACGTTTTACACCTCACTGATACGGAAAAACATAATTTTGCAATCTTGTCGGTATGTCTGTGTGTCTCTCTCTGTGTGTGTGTCTGTGTGTCTGTGTGTGTGTAAACACGATAACTTGAGTACCGCTACAGCTAGGTAAGTTTATTGCTAGTGGTTTTATGTTATAGTTGTAAGTTTATTATTCATATATAAGTATTTTATTATAATCGTAGATCCGTATCAACGTTTGAGCGATTTCCAATAACCGGAAGTGGTACTTGTTGGATATATGTTGGATATTTTTGTTTGTTTGTTTGTCTGTTTGGTTACAGGAGAGAATCTGCACAATATGTAGAGCTGTAGTATTTAGGTAGAGAACAATGTTCTTTTTGACCAAACTGTTAATCACACATTAATTTTAGGTGTTAGGTTCTGGCTTTGAGTTACCATGGGTGAATAGGGGAAGGTAAAAAATCGTTAAAACTGATCACGTCCTTTATGATAAGGATGGCCCAGTGTAGGTATAATTGTATCCAAAACTTTATTTACACATTGCGATAGGCTTAAAAAAAAACAACTGTCCTCTTAATTGTACTTTTAACATGCAAGGTACAAGTCTCATGTAAAAATGTATAAGCACGTCCATGTTAAAATCAACATGTTGAAGTCCACAACCAACCGAACAAGCCCCCACCCCTCCTTAGTCCACACGCGCCCGCAAAATTTGATTTTCTTAAGCCCCCCTCCCCCCCACATGCCTTCCGTGTGGACGACTTAAATAGATGACCCTTAAAGACGACTGATGAGTTGATTTCTATGGAGCTTTTGTTCATTGTATAACTTAGTTTGTCGTGATATGCTTAACTCTTCGTGGATAGATATCGAGGAAATATGACCTAGCCTCGTTCAAAAGTTAAATTAGTTTTACCGATATTTTATCAAATCAATATCTTTTTTTAAAAAAATAACCTGCTTTTCAGATTGGCATGATTTACATTAATTTAAAGAAACCAATGAGATCTTGCCACGACAGTACTTTCTATCGATCTTTGGGAGTAGGATTACACCTTGGAATTATACTAACTGAAAACCTCGCATAACACTGACCTTCCCAATAAAATTATACTATTATTACACTAACCTTGACCCTCACATCATCGAAATTAAAACTTGCTTAGTACAGCAACTCTAAAATTCAGGGTCAAATATTTCTAAAATATAACATATATTCCTAGGCGTAAAAATGTAAAAAAACTAACAGCATATTTAATGTCGGCCAAAGTTGAATCTAATCAAGCACATTTCTTGAAAGGATTTGTCCAATCAAAATTGATGTTTGACAATGGACTGATGGACTCTTCCAAAATTGAGTATTAGTTAATTTGTGATATGCGGTATCATTTTAGGATAAGTAATACACTTCATGTTTTTCTTTGGTTAGAGTTTAGGATAGGGATACGATTATTGACATCAGTTCGAAAAAAAATTAGTTCTAACAACCTAATTCCTGACCTCAATTCGCTAAAGGCTCGTTAAATCAGGATGTACACGACACGTACGAGAAAAGAACTCTTAATCATATTGCCATATGGTGCCTTACTTAAGACTATAAGTTAATGAAAAAACTTCATGCTAGTTGACTCGTTTGGCTGTTCAAGGGAAGAAGCCATCTGGAACGTTCTTCTATTTACAGTCCAGACCCCAGCCTATCTGATATCCATCTACGATGGACTACTTCACATGGTGGCTAACCATTGCTGTCTGTTTCTTTCTGTTCAACTGCTCATACGCTGATGATACATCGGGTGAGACTTTATATTCCGATATCTTGTATATTTTTTTTAAGTTACAGCATAAATTATTTTTCACTTTAGAAAGTCTATAAACTAACAAAAGAGCTACATAATGTTGTAATGCTTCGTTATATACGTTTTAGTTCTATTACATAATAGTATTTGTGTTAAAAATGCATATCCGAAACGAATCTTCAATTAATTAAAATTTGGCATGATAAAATAATGTGTTACTAAGGAGAGTTATATGTGCTAATAATACATGCAGTTTGTGGGTATGACTGTGCTTATATTTGTGGCTTTATTTGTATGTGCTTATGTTTATGCGAATTGCGTGCAAATTTAGCTGAAAGCATATCGAAACTTAAAACAATCCCATATTATATATAAGATAAAAACATAAACAGATATCTCATTAGATTATTGAACTAATTGTATTGTAGGCCTATATTCTTTTGTTCACTAACCCCGTGTTTACCTATATTGAATGTATGATAAGAGAACAAATACACCAAGAAGGCTGGGACAGGTCGCTGCAAAAACAGACCTCAAAAATGTAGATCAACATTTGGTCAAGTCAGTATTTTTTTAATCAATTACATTATTGACATTATCTTTACTAAAAAAATCAGTTTCATGAATTGATAAAGCTAAAAACTAAAGTTCTATCTTACACACACACACACACACACACACACACACACACACACACACACACACACACACACACACACACACACACACACACATATATATATATATATATATATATATATATATATATATATATATAGATATATTGATTTATGAACTGTACGCTTAAGCAAAAATGTGAAAAAAACGCCAAGTTTACCTGCCTGAAAGACAGAGTAGTGGTTGAATCTCTGGATAGTAAACTTGTTCTTTGTGACACTAAAACTGATGGAGGTGGTTGGATTATTTTCCAGGTTAGTTGTTCAAACACTTAATCGAAAACAGTTGGTAAATTCTGTGTTCTTTG